CCAACGAGCACGACGCTTCCAACGAGCACGACGCTTCCAACGAGCATGATGATCACGTTGTGGATAATGAAGTTTCCGACCATAATGAGAAACGGGCAGAGCCTCTTGACGATAGCATAGCGATCGAACAGCCAGACCAACCTCAAGGGGCCGAGGCCGTTGACTCAGCAACAGACCCTGTCACTGAGATCACTGAACATCTGGAGCATGTCGAGAAAAACGAGCACAGCGAAGACGCACCGCAGGTTGACCAAACTGAACGCACAGAGGGGGGCGATCTGCCCGAGCAAGCCAACCACGTTGAACAGACGGAAGACAATAAGGAGCCTCAGGCCGATGAGGCTGAAGCCGCTGAAAACCACGAGGGCGGTTCCTAGATTGAGCCGAACGTGAAGATTGGTTGCCAGACGGTTTTGGGAAGCGTGGGATACTGGAAACTATCTTCAGAAGGTTGAACGTAGGCAGATGGCTCACTACTTTCTAACGCTCACGCTCATGTTGTTACTTCGGCACGAGCGTGTGCTTGTATTTCCTCTCGCAGAAACGTTGATCTTTGCTATAGCTTTCTTCTATTTAGACGGACTCCAACTACTACACTCGCACACTGTTCTACTGTTGATCCCCGTGTGGCTCTTGCTCCAAACCCAAGGAACTGTTCCTTTTGGGCAACAATTCTCAGAGCCAAGCGTGGATAGCTGCGTGACGCAGCACAAGAAAACTGTAGCCTGCTATTGATATTCTGTACGGCTTTCCAGCTTGCTCCAGAGTTGAGTATCTGAGATCTCGGCGGGCACCAAGTAGGGTACCCCGACTGGGCGCCTCCATTTCAATAGATCGGCCTGGCCACACCATCTCCCAAGAAACCAGACATAGAATTTTCATCTCTGGGCAAGGTTGCCTTCCGCCCTAGGCGCTACGGGCGCGGAGCGGGAATGAACTGACCGTGCTTACGTTGCGAAGGTCTCCGGGTACACGTGTCACATTGGCAGGATACACCGTCTGTAGCCGTCGTGGCCTGAAAGCAGGGCAGCTACGCTGAATGGAGGCAATGCTAGTCAGTGAACGTCGAATGCAGAAGTTTCATGGTGTAACGAAGTCGCCAGCCCCTCGAAGCCGCGGCCGAAACTGGCCGCCTCACGTTGGGCGATGCGGGATGATCAGGCTGCCAATCACCGTCGCCATCGCCCGATATTCCTCGCCTAAGCTCGGGGCCCGGGGGGGCGCCAGGGTGGCCGACCTTGCCACCGCGAGGGTATCCATTGCTGGCTAGCTTTGGTCAAGGGGTTCAGTGGGATGTGCTGGGAATGATTTCCCAGGCCGACGGGCATCGACAAGGAGTGACCCGGTGACCCTTTCGAAGGACTGACTTCCTATATCCTTGATCCCGGCAGCTCTGACCGCGACTGCACCTGCACCCGACACTTAGCCACATCACTGAATTGACCGCCCGATGGCATCCTTGGAGATGCTGCCCATTTGCCGCATCGGGGTCAAGTGTATAAGACGTGCATTTTGTGGTCGTGGCCGAGTAAGAATGCACCTGGAAAGCCGGAGGGCAAGGGAACCCCTCTCAACAGCAATGCGCCGTAGCCTCATACCACTGACCCGATGGACCAGTAGAGATGTGCCACGCTCTGCTGCCCTGCACGTAGACCCAGAGTGCCTTCATTCATCAAAATCGAAGTATCAGGCGCGTTGCGGCTCTGCGTGGAAGTCAAGCGAGGGCAACATGAGAATCGGTTTCGTCGTGGACTCAAAAGGCGAGGCGCCTGGAGGCCTTCTCTCCCCCCTTTTTTCTCGATTCTTTACTCTTCCACCATCTTTCTCAGGCCCAGATGACCTAAATCTTGTGCCTCAAAGGTGGGCGTTGCAGCACTATGGACGCCCAGCATCGTCCGCTCTTCATCAAGTTTGTCGCCCTTCCCCATCCTCTTCCCGTGAAGCATCATTTTCCTGCTCTGACATGACCGCAGATGGAGCCAGAGTCAACGTGTCTCGCTGTCGGTGGTTAGACCGGACGGCGAGACCGAGACACTTGTGATCCCTGGAGAACTCCTTCGGCGACGATCGCGAAAGTTTCGCGATGTCTTGACATGCTACGTTTCCGGCATGCCGGTGCCCGATACGTCGCTTGATACGATGCATGATTTCTACATGTGGACGATGGATCCGAAGCCACACGTATATGACGATACGACGTTTGACAAGGCGGTGAAATTGGGCATCTTCGCGTCACGATACGAAATCCCAGCCCTGAGCAATCAAGTCACCGATGTGATTCGGGGAAAGCTTGCAAGCGGTGACTGGAAGTTGGGGGCCTCGATGGTTGACGAAATCTACCAGGCTGTCCCGGTGGGCAGACCACTTCGTGAAGTCGTTCGGGCGGCACTGGGACTGTTGCCGAGGTCGATCACCACAGATCCAGAGGAGCCGACTCGAGAAGACTGGGCGGCCGTGATCCTGAAACATGGACACTTTGCGCTGGACTTCATACAGGCGACTTCGTCCGAGTGGACACTGCAAGCTTATCTTTCCAACGTTTGCCGCTTCCATGACCATGAGGATATGGGAGCGCAGAGTCCATCCTCGGCATCATGTGATGGATGTCGTTATGCTCAGGACGAGTGTTACCCCACTGGCGGGCAAGAGGCTCTGGCCAAGGTGAATGGCGAAAAAGAAGCGCCGGGAGAAGAGCCAGTGGGCACCGGCGAGAGCAGCGATAAGACATACTACACCGCTGAGGAAGCAGCAGCACCAGAGCCAGAACCAGAGCCAGAAGCGCTGCCAGAACTGGTGCCAGAGCCAGAAGCGGAGCCAGAGCAGTGGCTCGAACCGATCGCAGAAGAACCAGCACTTGATTATGAGGAAGCACCACAGGTTGCATATGCCGATCACCTCACCGAACATCTCGCTGAGTTGCAACAGGAACCACTACCGGCTTATGAAGAACCAGCCCGCGAACCAACACCAGTCTTATTAGCTGAACCAGTCTATGCTGAGACTGTAGATTCAGCACCACCAGCACCAGAATCCGTCCACACCGAACGTCCCTTCAACTGGGCGGACGATGAAGAGCCCGTGTCAGAGATATACGGGGTGGCACCATCGGACACCAATGAGGTGGCCGTGTCCGAAGTGAACGCCATGGCGCCATCTGAGGTCAGTGGCATTACCTCGGAGTCGAACGGGAGCGTCGCCTCTCATCTCGTCGTCAAGGAAGTGGCTGGAGAGGTAGTGGCGTCGGAGTCGCCGATCGAGGAAGTCGATACACCTGTCGTGGTGGAGGCGGCCGTTGTTGAAAATGGACATGCAGCGGGAGACAAGAAGCTTGAGCAGTCTGCGGGAGTTGAGACGCCGAGTGAGCCCTCAAAGAAGAAGAAAAAGAAGAAGAATCGGGGAAATAGTGTTAGTCAAGTCAAGTAGCAGCCTTTGGGAAAGGGGAAATTGGAAGGGCTACTACGCATATGGGGAGGACGGATTGCAGAGGGACACGACATGGACTGGTAAATTGTGACGGTGCGTCGGAGGAATAGCTATCACCTCAATATGTACGGACACGCTCGCTTTGACAGGCGTTTGATTGAGAGCAAAATGCATTGTTGTTGGGTTCAAGATCATCATGTCTCTCTCCCGTAATGTATAAAATCCAAGTATCAAACCCGGGACTATTCAAGAGATCCGGATGTGTAGAGTGGGTCTCAAAAGCATGGTTGAGGAACGTGACGGAGGAACACGATGGCAGAGGCAGAAAGCAGAGTGAAGGAGATTAAATTGTAGAAGCTCGAGGCTGGCACGGTCAGGGGAAGGACATGTGGAGGATCGGACGCCCATCAAGCTAAACTACTTTTGGCCATGTCAACACGAACGCCGAACGCGCCCACTATTTTGCTGTACACCATTTGGCGACCGCACACACGAGTTATTCAGAAGGAAAAGGACAATTTCAATCACAATGAACCAGTACTCATAGATAGTCGAGCCTCCTTTATCGCAGTGTATTTACCTCGAATGTATATCACGTTCTCCGTCTTCCGTACACCAACAACATCAACATCACGATGCCCATCGACGAAACAGTGCTCGACCCTCCGGTCACACCGGCACCGGTCTTCGCCTACCGCGCATTGAAGGGTGTGTTCTTCGGTTCGCCGGAATCCTCCCCGGAGAATGTCTACCACAACAACAAGGAGAATATCACGCCCGTCCTCTCGCTGTCGCCTTCGCCGTCGAAGCGGAAACTCGCCCTCGACGCCGCGCTACACTTGACTCCGTCAACCAAGCGCACCAAACGCGACAGTGGCGGCGCAATTCTATCACCTACGAAGGGGATCCTGAGAACACCCGGACTCGCGACTCCGAGGACGAAAGCGTTGAGAGATGTCAATGTTAAATTCAAGAGCGTCAGTCCGGAGGAGGTGGCACAACGGCGCAACCACAGATTGAAGATGGAAGGTCCACGACAAGTAGACAAGGACAAGAAGGAAGAGACACAGGCGCCTGCAGTCAAGAACGACAACGCGTCCCTGAATAATGGCGGTCTGGTATGTGCGTCTACGACCAATACCGCGGGCACCGCCGCCGTGTCTACGTTCACGCCCTGCGCGATCGAAGCGTACATCGCCCAGACGGAGAAGGAGATGAAGAAACTCGTCAAGTACGGACAGAAGATGAGAGAGTACGCGCGCAAGAAGGACGCCGAGAATCTTGAACTGAAGGGGATGATTGAGGTGTTGAAGAGGGAGAATGAGAGGTTAAGAAGAAGCTCCGACGTGGGGCTGGGTCAAACCCATCAGCAGACGGAAAACAAACAGAAGCAGCAGCAGCACCACCACCACAGCGAGTCGGATACTAACGGGCATGGAGGTCAAAGGGTTGAAAGTGTCGCGGAGGACAAAGCGAAACGAGCGCAAGGATACGTGCGAGAGGAAGTCGGTCGCGTCGAGGCTAGAAGCCAGAGCGTACGCTTGCACAGTCATCAAAGCCTTGCGCACCGGCGGAAAGAAGAGCCGCCGCGAGTGGGCACGGGCACGGGCACGGGCACGGGCACGACGGGGAGCATGAGCACACAACGACGAACCACAAGATCTGTATCGTCGTCGAGCACGAAAAGACATCAGGTGGTCCAGGGTACGACGGTACACGATGAATTTGGAAGGCCATCCACAATCGCATCCTCTCTAGCACCCGCACCGGTACCGGCACCGGCAAAGATGGACGAAGGCGGCAATGAGCACCGCACATCGCTTCCTTTGAGGTCACCATCTGGTTCTATGGCGATTAGAGGCACCAAAGGTACCTTTGATAGGGAGATCGGGACCGGGAGTACGCGCCTGCCGCCGGACCGTCTGGCTGCTGCTCGTGAGCGCTTGCGACGGCGCGCCGAGGCGAAGAAAGCCAGCGCCGAGATGAACGCCGGCGATCACGACCAAAGTCATGTCAAGGCCCACGGGCAAAGGGAGGGCGTCTTGATCGACAACGGAGAAGACGATGTTGGACCTCCGCAACTGCCACGGCCAGCGAGTTTCGGTCCTGGTCGACGAGAAAGTCACGAGCAGAGTCTGGTGGACTGGGTCAATCTATGAGAGAGAGTATGCAGTCCTAAGCAGATTCTGATCTTGCACCGAGTACTCCGTACGAACCACTGACCACTGTCGTACCTACGTATCCGCGCACCCATGACCCTCCGCGGTATGTATGTAAACTGGTGCATTCACTGTACAGAGAAGTGCTTGGATCCCACCGCTCGCAGGTATAGGTAGTGACGGGTCTTGTTGGTCACGAACCCATCGCACAGTGGGCGGCGATTGGATCGTTTGGAATCGTTCCGTCAATACAACAAGTAAAGGACCACAGACCTGGGAAGACAACCAAGCCATTGCCGCTCCGTGTAACTGTACTCGTAGGAGCCTGAAAGTCTGCATGTACGCTACGCCGTGGACTACATTTATCGTTAAAGCATTGACAGCTTCGACCGGATGGACTAGAGGTGAATTTCTTCGTTGATCACACATATGATGTGCATACATACCCTAGATACTCTGTACGTAAGGTATAGATCTATATATGTGTGTTCTTGAAAACAATTCTACCCTAGGGACTCCTCGAGTGGCGTCTCCTCGGTCTGCGTGCCTTGCGACCGGGAAGACGACACGAAGCGAGCTTGTGCTTGAGCTTCCTCCTGCGCCTTTTGCATAGCCTTTCGCTTCTTTTCGGCCTCTTCCCGCTCCCGCGTCTTGATGGACGAGTAATTCAGAGCGGAAATGATCATGACTGCGGATCTGTTAGTCGAATTGAAGGAGGAAAAAGGGGGAGAACCGTATTGGATTGCCGAGGGGCCAAGCACACTTACAAGCACAAAGTCCGATGGCCAGAGCCGCCCTGCGCGTCAGCACCCATCTCAGACCCTCGACCTCGCTCTTTGCTTCGCTGTTGAGCAGCACCGTGATTTCGTAGTTCAACTCGGAGATCCTGCCGTCGATCTTGCGTTTGTCTTCTTGCAGGTTCAGCTTGCGGTCGTTGAAGAGACCCTTGAGTTCTTCCTTCAGGTTCATGAGGTCTTGCGTGACTTTCTGATTCAGGATGTCGAACTCGTGCTGCAGCTGCGCGCGCTGGCTGCGCTGCTTCAGGGTCTCAGAGTGTCGGGTCGTCTGGAGCGTCGTCTTCATTTCCGAACACGCTGCGCGGAAGAGGTACGATTCGTTCTCGATGTCGGATTTCGAGACCAGGCTTTCTTTCGCCACGTCCAGGTTCATGGACAGCATGAGGCGAATGGCTTTCATCAGCGTCGTGGCCTGTTCGACGGTGTAGGCGTCTTTGGCCGCCAGTTGCTGCACCAGGCCGTACGTGTCAAAGTGATGCTCGTACGGCGGCGCCTCTAGGTGTGGATGTCGGTGGCCTTTGCTTTTGATTTCAGACGGCGAGGGTACGGATAACACGACGTCAAGCTCCTTGTTCTCCAGCTTCTCTTCGTCCTCTGGCTGGATCTTTGGCCGTCCTATGGTCATAGAAGCCTCGTCGATGTAGTCGGATGTGGTATTTGACTCTTGCGGCACGTCCTGTCCCGTGTTCTCCTCTGTATGGTGATTTTCGCGGGCTGATGGCGCTGCTGAATTGTCGTCCGGCTTTCTCTCCTGTTCCTGTTTCGGCGTCGAGGGCTCCTCAGGCTTGGACGCAGGAGGGGGAGGGGGAGGAACATTTTGACTGCCTGCGGCCGGGCCATATCGTTGCGGAATTGCCTCCTGCTGACGACGGGCTGTCGTGTGCAATCTAGCCTTGCGCGGAGACTTCGAGACCGGCGGAGACCGAAGTGAGTGGTGCGTCTTTGGTTCACAGGCACGTACGGCTCGAAGGAAGTTAGGGTATAGGAAGGGAAGGCGTTGAGTCGCCATGCTGCTCCGTAAAGCCGCGAATGCGCTTCGTGGTAGAAGGTTAGAGGACGGCGACTATGCTGGGAAAGCCATAGAGCGATGTGTCGTGACCTTGAACGCTGGGGTAGGATTGTTTGCTCTGGCGACCACAAACAGGATACAGCGAAACGCGGGAAAATTTACGTTCTATTAGGGTATAGCTTGGTTCCAACACGTCCAGCAAGCCGACAACGGCGAAGCAAGGCGAGCGGGCAGGCAGCATTTCACCACCACCGTGCCCCTTCCATTCCTCAACGACACAACCATGATGATATACATACTGTAAAAGATGTTCCAAGTAGATGCTCTCCCTCGTCTCTCAAGACAGATTCCTGCTCCAGTTTGGCAGCGCAAGGATGGCGGGGTTCATAAATTTACCATTTTTGCGCCAGTCAGACTCCGCGTCAGGACGACTGTTACACTGCGCAGGGCTGAGGACATACTTGCTATGCATCGAGTCGAGCTGCGGACCTTGTGATATCCTCACCTGCGTCAGATCTAGATGCAACAATTGCCCAAGGCCATTAGCACGCAGGCGCCTTCCAACTTGGCCGGAATAACTGCTCCCGTGATATGAGTTGCGGTGCAGAGGGCACTTGTGATCAAGTGGACCGTAGCCCGTACTTGAAGGCCTCAGTTGGTCTTGAATATTGCTTCGAAGTATGTGCTCAGGCTCATTCAGAGCCGGCTTTGTTTCTCCTTGACTTCCATCGCTGTTGGTCGTCCCATTCGATTCTTGGGAGTTCATATCATTTTGTGCAAGATATGACCCGACAGGGTAACACACGCAGTCGAGTGAGCGGACAGCTCAAAAGAAATCTCCATATCTACACGAGCACATTAGAAAGCGCGGCAGCCAGAAGTCTATCAAGGGACCCAACTGCGAGTACCTATAGGTCAGACACGAGGCTCATCAGGAGTGAGTACTCATCCGAACACATCATCATTGCTCCCACATCATCGTCCCGGCTCGGAAAAATGCGGCACCCGGTGAGTCTCTCAATTGCACCCACTCATTCGTTACTTGGTCGAGACTTTGGGCAGAACCCATCGGGGCGAGGCCTCCGCTTAAACATTTAGGCGGGCGCGCTGCTTACAAGATCTGGAAGGACTCCAAGCATCGGTATCACCCCCACAAACTGGGTGCGAGATCCCCGAGTTTACGCCTTTTCATGCCCAAATAGTCAATTTGTTTACCCTGAACTCTGTGGGAGCAAGGAGAGGCTTTGCTTTGAGTTCCTCGCACCTTCACCTCAGCGGATGATCGTTTCAGAGGGATCGTGGAATAGCCATCCTTGAATCAGCATAATTTTCCACAATGCTAGCCTCCCCGAACAATGACCGTCGAAGCGTCACGGACGGAGTAAGAACAACTCCCGCTTGTGTATGTGCTCTGGTCAACGAGAGGTACTCGTTGCCGAGAGACAGCAGCGCATGGTCTGGACTGATGCTTTAGAGCTGGTACAATGCCTACGGCAGAATGAGGGCTGCGAGCGCGAGCAAACAAGGGTTTGTCTCGGGGCGAGTCAGAAGACCGCACAGGACAGGGTAAAACTCCACAGCCACGGTGGTGATGGTGGAAGTGCCGTTCACAAGTCAGCACAGGACTCGATCCGTGTTCCATGCACAGCGGACGACGAGTCGCGTGGTGGGGCAGTAAGTCAATGGACAGAGGAAGAAGAGGAGGCTTCAAGCTTGGTTCACCTGCTCCGCAGAGAAAAGAGGGGGAGCTTATGGATCGCAGACCACATTTGGGTGGTTCACGACGGTGGTGGACAAGGAGAAGATCTTGAGGTTATAAAAGAGTTTGCGCTCGTCCGATGAATTTCTGACTGCTGTGTTTTTTCTTTCTCTATCAACCAAGTGCACTCACCGTTTGTACGCGTACCGAGTGTTCCAGCAAGGCTCTTTTGCTCCAAAACGAAATAGGTACGTACCCCTCGCCTGCCCCTCACTGTGCTGTATTAGTTACTGGTTTCGGGGGGAGATTCTCCGACGACTCGAACGCTGTTGTTTGCCCACCAAGCACGAGTACGAGTATCGCGAGAGAGGGACGGAGGGAGGGAGAGAGCGCCATGATGGCTGCTTGCTCCATTATCAGCCGCCGTGTGCCTCCTACTGGAGAAACACAGGCAGTGGGCAGCCGATGCTCCCGGCCCCTCACATTCCCCTTGTGCCAAATTCCATCCCATCGTCTACTTACTCGTCTCTTGCTTTGGCCCTGTCCGGCGCGTGTCGTCAGTCAGACCCCTGTCGTTGCATGAGCTTCCACTTCTGCGTCATCAAGCCCCAGACGGAAACTGACTAGCTTTGGTCCAGGTACCTCCCCTTCAGGCTCAAAGCTCTGCCGGACGTATCTAACGGTCAGAAAGATACAAAATCACCTGCCCTTCCACTTAGGAAACACTTCTCAGACCTATCTCTTCTTCACTTTGTGTGTTTGAGGCTTCAGTCAAAATGGTATTTGCCCGTGTTGCTGCTCGCTCGTTGCCCCGGGCATCGTCCCTCCTCTCCTCCACTTCCCCGCACTTCGCTCGTCGAGCTGGGGCGCCCTCCTTTCATCCCTCGTCAATTGCGCGACGCACACTGACAGCCACCGCTTCTCGCCAGGGCAAAGTTCTTTTGGTTCTGTACGATGTATGTGAAGACCTCCTCTCCCTCCCCCCCAGGTCACCGTTGCTGAACATCATCCAGGGCCATGAGCACGCCAGAGACCAACCCAAGCTCCTCGGTACCACAGAGAACGAACTAGGCATTCGAAAATGGCTCGAAGACCAAGGGCACACCTTGGTGACCACCTCAGACAAGGAGGGTGAGAACTCTACCTTTGACAAGGAATTGGTCGACGCCGAAGTCATCATCACCACTCCGTAAGAAGAGCTCTGGTTTCCATCCAGCAGGGCACCGTTGCTGACTCGTCTCCTCCAGCTTCCACCCTGGCTACCTCACTGCTGAGCGTCTCGCCAAAGCCAAGAAGCTGAAGCTGGCCGTTACCGCTGGTATTGGCTCTGACCACGTCGACTTGAACGCCGCCAACACCACCAACGGCGGTATCACTGTTGCCGAAGTCACCGGCAGCAACGTCGTGTCGGTCGCTGAGCACGTCGTGATGACCATCCTCACTCTCGTCCGCAACTTCGTTCCTGCACACGAGCAGATTGAACGTGGTGACTGGAATGTTGCCGCCGTCGCCAAGAACGAGTACGACCTCGAGGGCAAGGTCGTCGGTACCGTCGCCGTCGGCCGTATCGGTGAGCGTGTCCTCCGCCGTCTCAAGCCTTTCGACTGCAAGGAGCTCCTCTACTTCGACTACCAACCCCTCAAGCCCGAGGTGGAGAAGGAGATTGGCTGCAGACGTGTTGAGGATCTCGAGGAGATGTTGGCACAATGTGATGTCGTCACCATCAACTGCCCCCTGCATGAGAAGACCCGAGGTCTCTTCAACAAGGACTTGATCTCCAAGATGAAGAAGGGTACGTCGTGAAGCTGCCCTCGGTCTCGTCGTCCAATGCTAACGTCCCACAGGTTCATGGCTCGTGAACACTGCCCGCGGTGCCATCGTCGTCAAGGAGGATGTCGCCGAGGCCCTCAAGAGTGGCCACCTCAACGGCTACGGCGGTGACGTCTGGTTCCCCCAGCCAGCGCCAAAGGATCATCCTCTCCGATATGCCAAGAACCCATGGGGTGGTGGCAACGCCATGGTTCCTCACATGTCCGGTACCTCGCTCGACGCCCAGGCGCGTTATGCTGCCGGCACCAAGGCCATCCTGGAGAGCTACTTCTCCGGCCGCGAGGACTACAGACCTGAGGATCTCATCGTCCACAAGGGAGACTATGCCACCAAGGCGTACGGTCAGAGAACCAAGAAATAAGCGACGACTAGTTAGTTGTTGACCGTGCTCTTGGCTCCCTCCCTCCGGCTATATCTCAGCAGCATAAGTCTTGCTCATTCCGAGAGCCTTTCTCAGAAGTCCAAGCTGGCGCATTTAGCTATTGGCATTGAAAGGCCTACGACATATATATGATGGGGTATTTGCGGAGCCATTTTTGTCATATAACTATTTATGAAATTGTGATGTGAAAATAATTAAAAAAGTCTACAACCACCACTTGTATTCATCTACTACGTGGATAACCTTTTGCTGCAGTGGCTGTTCTGTACACCCAAAGCTATCTCGGATGCCTGGTAACTCGGCGCAGCACAACGTTGACTGTCATCAGAACAACTTGAACATACAGTAGTCCCGAGCTGGCAATGAGGTCTTCGGCTCGGACAGGTCCGTGGACAGGGTCACCTACCGGAGGTACCTAGGTAGGAGGTATTGTCGGCACCTGGACCAGCTAATGGCCCGGGGGGTGAACGATTAAGCGGACGCCTGTGCAGAGCGGGAATGCGTCGGGAGAGACAACTTTCACTATTGTCATCTGCGGGGTTTCCCAGTGGAAGCCCTACCCGTACAACAGTAAACTCACTGTCAGAGTCGTCGGGACTTGTGCACCTATTTCGATGTCTGTTTTCCCCGGATTTCCGGGCTGCCTGAGAATTTCCGCTTAACTCTGTTGAGGTAACTCTGACACTTTTCTTAGAATATAAAGTTAAGGCACGTATCTGACGCAGTGTCATAGGAGGGCAACAGAACCCTACCAGCACCTGTTTTTCGTCGCTATAATTTAGACATCTCTAAGAGGTCCCTGACAATGTTACAATCTTGCGCCGACCCCCGGACGGGGTCAAAGATTCTGCGATCAATCTGCTTCCTCGCTCTCTGCTGCGACTTGTGTGGAAATCCTCGATCATCGTCAATCTTGACCACGGCCGTGCAGAGTGGCTTACGATGTCGGTGGTTGAAAAATGCCGTGTGAGGTTGACGTTGTACGGTGGGTGAAGAATCAAGCAAAGGTTTGTTGGGAACAGAGGCGCCGGGCCCATGTCGAGAGGCATAGCCAGGTCCTGAGGTAAATGGAAAGAGGTGGCAGTTCCCTAGTCATGAGATATAGTGGTAGAGTTGACTGTGCCACAGACGTCGTCCACACAAAGATCTCGATGAGAATAGATTGACAGCCTTGCTCTGCTGTCAGCAGCCTCGCCAAAGTGACCGTAGACTGCCCCCTTGGCAGCCCCCCGCAAACGAGGTGTACTTCTCATAAACCAGCTCTTGAGTTCAGGAATTCCACGGCCTCGAGACTTTGACCGAGAGGCAGCTGCTCATCAACATCAGTCGACGTCCTGATGACACAACAATTCTTGCCCGGATCAGAATTTCAGAACCACAATCTCCATGCGCTCATTCTGTCCGATGAGCCATCGCTCATCGCCTGCGATCCTTCCCATGGCACTGACCTCTGAAGTCAGCTTATCCTCCAGTGTGACCCAGTCACCAGCCTCCTCTGGCCTGACAGTACCTGTTACCTTGAACCTGACCACCAGTTTATTCTCAATACTCTGACCCGAGAAACACGTTTCGACAAGACTCGCCCTCACACCAGCGTCGCTGTCGACTACGTCCATGATTGGCACAAACCAGCGTTCACTCTCCTCGACATCGGCACTCTCCATGCTGCAGTGACCTCGATACGGTGGAAGATTTCCATCCCACTCTCGATAGAGCCGAGGTCCCTCTCCCTCAAACGGGAACATGGTCGTCTTCGTGCACCACAGTCGCTCTGCAGGGTCAAAGTAGCCCTGCCCTGCGACGTTCACATTTTCCCGAACAGTAAGAGACTTAGTTTCGGAGTCGACGTGAAGAGACATCAGCGCAATGCTGGCATGCTGCCGAATACCCACAAAGTCCATATCTGTGAAGGAGAACCGCGAGACGATGTATGGGCCATCCTTGTCGGGCGGGCGGAATCTGCCGGATGGATCGGTGGAGGGCTGATAGGGTGAAGGGGCAGAGATGTCCCACACCGACAACGATTCAATGGGCAACTCCTCGTCCCCTGTGTACATGCTCCGGTTCGGCTGCCAGAAGTACACAGCATAGTGGGTTGAGTTATGCGTGGAGAAGAAACGATCGTGATAGTTGGGCGGAAGGCCAAGGAAGTGCATTTTCCACTCTGAGCGCCAGCACACCTCCCACGACTCGTTGCTTTTGTCGCGACGGACATCGAAGCAGTTTGCAAAATGCCGATTGACTTGCTCCATGGCGTTGAGATTGTGAAAGGGATCCTTCTCGGCCCACTCAATGATCAGGGTCCGATCTTTGAGACGCAGATTCCGGATGATTTTACCCTCGTTGCTGAAAGGTACACAGCTGTGTCGCCCAGTGGACAAGTCTAATAGGCTGAGCGTCTCGGGGAAGTACCCTTTGTCAATTTGTTGAGAAGGCGCGTACACAAGAAGTCCTTCATCGTACGACCACATGGTCGGTCTGAACAGGTATGGTTTGGCCCCGAGCTTGCTCAGATGCATGGCAGCAGTCTCATAGTACAGACGACCTCCTGGCTGGCTCTCGTGGTACTCCCACTGACCGACACTGTACCAGTCGCCGTGCTGTTCCAGAGGTGCCATGGGATACTTGATCACTTTTCTCGCGGTGCCCAGGGAGAGATTCTTGTATCGTGTTGCGATCGAAAGAAGAGTTTCTTGCCATGGGAGAGAGTCTCTGGAGGAAGTGTTGAAATTGAGTGCGCTTCTAGGCAACGTCCTGATCTCCCTCGTCCGCGGGTAATTCTGCAGGACGATTCTGATATAGCCCTCTTTGCTGAATGCCGTGCGCCACGACCTGCATACTCGTTGACAGTTGACCAACTCCCATGCCGTCAAGTTCCTCAGAACTAACAGGAAGATGTCTTCTGACAGGTTTGTTACCGAGAGTGAGGACAAGTTGCGGCAGGCGGCAGCATTGATATTGGTACCCCTGGATACCGGATCCATGGGACACGGTGACATGACCGTGATGCTCCCAAAGGACTGGTTACACCTTTCTGAGCTTGACTCACAGATTTGGTTCGGTGCGATTTCGACAGACACAGCTCTCCAAGCAACGCATCGAGAAGCCCAAGAGGCTGGTCATGCCCGTGTAAAGGAGGGGAAAGCGGGCAGCAAGTTTAATAAGTCACCTCATATAGGGGATGTTTCCCGATCAGGTATGGCGTGGCCTTCTCGAGATCCTCTGGTCTCTCTCTGTGTGTGTACACGGACTGACTATTCCGGTGGCTGCTCAATCTGTGACTGGCTTTCCGCAGCTCCGGCAGTGAGAGGTTAGATACTTCTAGATCCCTCATCAACGACAGGCGCACTGCCAACCTTGTAGGGGCGAAGGGAGCTTCACCCCCCCCGATGGAGGAGCCTTGACCCACATGACCGAAGCCCCCCCGCGGCCGCCCAATTACTCGTAGAGGGGCACGCGATGGTCAGCTCTTCTTGCTGACTCATCATCACCACCCGGCAGACTTGCTCTGTTGGTGAACAGTGCAAAAATGGGAGGAAGGTTATTCCGATTGGTTCGTATCTCGTACTCCGTAATCGGTCGCTCTGGATTACACGTACCCAGGACAATTTTTTTTCTTCCACCAAGAAAAGTCTTGGTAAAGGGTGCAAGTGAATGTCCCAAGGCGCATTCGGGAGCTTCGGTCGTGTCTTATTGGCGTGAGATTCGGATATTGCCGGCTTCTGTCGCCTCAGAAGATCTTAGTTGCCTACCTGGGCAAGTGAAAGGGTTGGCATTTTAGATTGTGTTTTCTCGGTCCCAAGATCTCGTGTGGAGGTCTCTCCATCAGGTGGTGGTGGTGGTGGGTTGTGACTCAAGCACTAGTTGGTTTATTTCATCCTTTGGTGGTTTGTATATCTCTGTCGATGCTCACATCACTCTTCCACGTCTCCGTGACCATCCTACCGCCACGACATACTCTCTTTTTCTCCTCTCCCTAGCTTTCACTCCCTTCGTACCTCATAATGGGCGACAACAGCACCATGCCGGTACCTTCTTTGACTGCTGCGGCCTCGGCCTCGGCGTCCGCCACAACGTCCTCCTCCGCTGCCACCGCCGCCACCACGCCTTCGTTCACCGTCAAGGCCGGGCTGGCACAAATGCTCAAGGGCGGGGTGATCATGGACGTGGTGAATGCCGAACAGGCACGCATAGCTGAAGAGGCGGGAGCTTGCGCGGTCATGGCGCTGGAGCGTGTGCCGGCCGACATCCGCAAGGACGGCGGCGTGGCTCGCATGTCGGACCCGCAGCTCATCAAGGAGATCCAGGCGGCGGTGACAATCCCGGTCATGGCCAAGGCGCGGATCGGGCACTTTGTCGAGTGCCAGATCCTCGAGGCGCTCGGGGTCGACTACGTCGACGAGTCCGAGGTGCTCACGCCGGCCGACGACACGTACCACGTCGAGAAGAGCGGGTTCCGCGTGCCGTTCGTGTGCGGCTGCCGCAACCTGGGCGAGGCGCTGCGGCGCATCGCCGAGGGCGCCGCCATGATCCGCACAAAGGGCGAGGCCGGCACCGGCGACGTCGTCGAGGCCGTCAAGCACATGCGCACCGTCAACCGCGACATTGCCCGCGCCCGGGCCGCCCTGGCCGAGGGCGGCGACCTCGCGCTGCGCGCCATGGCGCGGGAGATCGAGGTCGACCCAGCCCTGCTGAGGCAGGTCGCCGAGCTGGGCAGGCTGCCCGTCGTCAACTTTGCCGCCGGCGGTATCGCCACCCCCGCCGACGCCGCCCTCATGATGCAGCTGGGTTGCGACGGCGTCTTCGTCGGCAGCGGCATCTTCAAGAGCGGAAACGCCGCAAAGAGGGCAAAGGCCATCGTGCAGGCCACGACCCACTTCCGCGACCCCCACGTCCTGGCCGAGTGCAGTGCCGGCCTGGGCGAGGCCATGGTCGGTATCAACTGTGGGACCATGAAGGACGACGAAAAGCTGGCTGGAAGGGGATGGTGAAGAATCAACTCCAAGAATGAAAATAATAAAAAAAAATCACCAGACGCCAACGACCAAATGACGAGGACGGCGACAAACTACACTGCAGGCGGGAGAATGAAGGTATAGTCGGTCAACAACAACCCAGCACGAGGTCAGAGGTCAGAGGCAAACGAGTCTCGAGTTGCGTCAGGGGTGATGCTGAGGGTGAAGGCACCTAAGGCAGATGACTCACGGTGTGAAGATAATGATGAAGAAGAAGAGCAGTAGCAAAAGTACGAAAGCAAATACGAGAGAAGAAAGAAGACAGAGATTCTTCAAGCACGAGAAAACGGCTTTCCCGAAGGCGCACTTTAGAGGAAAAAGGCGAAAAGCATCAACTGACTTTTTTACTTTGGGATGGACCTTTTCCTTTTTTTTTTTGTGAAAGGGAAAACAAATGATAAATAGTTTGCTGAATATACCTTGGTCAACAAGGGTACAGGTATCTATCATGAGACATGAAGACGAGCACAAGCCACGGCATGGTGTTTCCTTATTTTGCTGTGAGCGTGTCTCATGCTGAGATATATATTGTGCCATTCATCAGTGATGCTTCATCGAAGATAAGTCTACCCCATGGACATGCCCTTTGTTCAACAGAAAAGCGGCCAGTTTATACGTTCGTGATTGTGGCTGTCGATGTACACACATAACACCCTCAAGATCGGATCAAGATAGATCCTCCAATACAGCTTCGATTTCGTCCCTACCCAATGGGACACCCAACATTTCTGTACCCGTCGCATCCCGCCGACTCGTTATCACCTGGTGATCGTGGAACTCTTTCAACAAAAACTGAAAGTTCATGCTGCTCGAACATATAAAGTCGGTACTGGCCTTCTGGTACAAAACCCTATACTCGACGCCGACTTCGTCTGCACCGCTGGTGCTGTCGCCTCCTGCTTTTGATTTTGATCTCCCTCCCCCTCTTCTTTTCGGTTCCGTATCGGCAGCATCATTTTCATCGTCGTCGAAGCCGCCGCCTCCCTCGACCAGTATGACCAAAATCTCCGAAAGCAACAACTTGTACAGATTCCTTGCATTCTCAGGGAGTGATTTGAGAACGAAGCCGACGCCTTCTTTGCCTCCGACGCGCGTCCTCTTCCGACCAAGCAGTTCATGTACGTCGTCAACGACATTGATCTCGGCATCGTAGCCCGCAAAGGTTGTACAGTCGTGGTACACGAACCGGAACTGGTCGAGAAGACTTGAATTCCACATTGTCGCGAAGGTCGGGCTGTCTGCCGTAGCGAGGAAGGAGATCATCTCGTGTCCTGCGAGGCGAGCAAGGACCGATTGTACGCCGCCACGCCGCAGGGGAGCGGCGTCGATCGAGTTGATCATGACCACAACGGGTTGGTGAAGGTGTGTAAAGAGCGTGTCAAGCATCTCATGCGGTTGGCCCACAAGTCGCAGTGTCGAATCTTCGCCTGTGATTGCACTCCCGACCGTGTTGAGAATGTGGCGGACGTTGAGTTTCGGCGTGTAACCGTTGACAATCACGATCTTGGCCCGAGTCTTCTGGCCCTTGAGGAGCGGTTGGGTGTAGATGTATTCTGCGAACCTGTTGATCAATCCACGCTTGCTCCCGTAGCCGTACAGGCATAGACTGTAGCCCTGGGAAAGCTCGAACTGCCATTGTGCAAAGGATCGGGTGTGCAGGGTCATTAAGTGCGATATATGGCTTTCGTGGCTATCTTTGCAAGTCTGGATGTTCTCAAAATATTCTTCGTGTGTGAGCAGTTTGACAGATGTGAACTTGTTGCTGGAGATTTGAGGTGGACCGGCACGGTTCTGGAAGAAGTACCGTTCTTCAGGAGGGATGTTACCTTCGGGTGTAGGTGAACGTTTGTTCTTCGCGCCCTTGGGCCGACCGCGACCTCGAGATGGTGGTTGTGTAGGTGTTGTGGGCTCTTGTCCTTCCACTGCCCCTGCAGGGTCTGGCTGATCTGCGACCAAAGCCTCGTTGTCACCGTCTGCTAGAATCTCTCTTGCCAATGCAGCCTGGCCGTCCCAGTCCTCCTGTTCCTCTTCCCCTGGGGCCAGGGCGAGTGCTTGTGCGCTCTTGCGACGTGCCGAGCGATCTGCTTTGGACTTTGACGGGGTCGCAGCGGCAGCTTTGTTTCGTCGTGGAGTTGAGAATAGGGTGCGGCCGTTGGTCTTGGGTGTCGGACTGCCACTGTCAAGCTCTTCTGCCTCTAGTACTATGTCTGCAGCAGACTTTCTCTTTCTCCGAGACGGGGTCTCTTGTTTCTTGGGGGACGGTGCGACATCTTCATCATGGTGTACGCCGTTTGTTAAACCGGCTTCGGTGGTCTTTCTGCGGCGCTTCGAAGGGGTTTCGGCGACCTCAGGAGAAGGGGATGCTTCTGGCTGCTTTCTTTTTGCCATGGTGGACCGACGCGAACGTAGAACCTTTCAGAGGTTCATCGGGTAGTTGTGAGGACTACTAGGTGCTGACGCTGCATGTTGGCTTAACCGCAAACAAGGCTGGGCCTGCAATATCCCTTGGTTACACGGAACCGCGACGAGGCTGCATTCATACGTAGAAAGTTCTCTCTCCGCAAATCGGCCAAGTTGGCGACTCGTCCAAATGGCGACTAAGACGCCCGCAACTTTTTCTTTTTGAGACAGAGTCACCAACCCAATGCACTATGTTGTGACTCAGACTGTCTGTTCCTTTTGAGGAGTCCATATAAGAGAAGCAAAGAGGTTTCACATCTCTATACAGGCTTGTCTGACTGTGGTTCAACAGCCTTCTTCACCCGCCACTCAACAACATCCTCTAGCTGATCTCTTTCTGTGGGCTATTTGCACGACACTCTGAAGCTCGCTGTCACAAGTCGGCGACAGGCTGGACTGAACAGGCGGAAGAAAACACCATCCTATACACAAGGAAGCGTCAGTCTGAGGGAACACGGCTTCTCAGAAACACCTGGATTGACCGCAACTTCAGAGTACCATCGTTCCGTACCAACCAAGCTCGATAAGAAGCTCGACGAAATAGCGAGCAAGCTGAACCGCTTCGGGACCAACCTTGGCTCTCACACTATTCACTCCATCTGAACCATGGCATCTCACTCCCCTGCTCGGTCCATGATGCGGACCTTCATCCGCAACTATTCCGCCCCAGTGGACTCCTCCATCCCAGCCAACAAGGTCAAGTATGTCCCGACGTCAGGCACGTATCCCAAAGGGTTTCGCGTGAGCGGCACATATGTGGGTGTGAAGGCCTCAAACACGTCCAAACCCGACCTCGCCTTTATAACATCCGACACTCCAGCGTCCGCCGCTGCCGTCTTCACAACCAACAAATTCCAAGCAGCACCTGTGCAGATCAGCAAGTCGGTTCTTCAAGCTCGAGGTGGCGCCAACCTCCGCGGCATCATCATAAACTCAGGATGTGCAAACGCCGTGACGGGCAAAGGCGGCATGGACGACGCCCAAGCCATGTCCGACACTGCCACCGCACAGTTCCAGCAAGGAGCCCAGCCAGAGGACAATCTCGGATCAACCAGTCTCGTCATGTCGACAGGAGTGATCGGCCAACGCCTCCCCATCAAGAAGATCCTGGCTGGAATCCCGACGGCGTATTCTAATCTGGACAACGACCACAACGCGTGGCTGACGACTGCAAAGGCGATCTGCACGACCGACACCTTTCCCAAACTGCTCAGCACGACGTTCACGCTTCCCTCGACCGCGCACAAGGGCACACGATACACCCTGGCCGGCATGACCAAAGGCGCAGGCATGATCCACCCGAACATGGCGACTCTGCTAGGCATCCTGTGTACCGACGCGCCCGTCTCGCCCGGCGCCGCACAGTCCCTGCTCACCGACGCCGTGAACAAGTCCTTCAACTCCATCTCCATCGACGGCGACACGAGCACCAACGACACGGTCGCTCTTCTCGCCAACGGCGCCGCGTCCCCGTCGCCCGACACGCCCGCCATCGCCGACGACGCCTCCAACGAAGACTATGCTGCCATGTCGTCCGTGCTGACCTCGTTCGCCCAGCGGCTCAGCCAGCTCGTCGTGCGGGACGGCGAAGGCGCGACCAAGTTCGTCCAGGTCACCGTCCGCCACGCGCCGTCCCACGCCGACGCAAAGGCCATCGCGAGCACCATCGCGCGCTCCCCGCTGGTCAAGACGGCACTGTACGGCAAGGACGCCAACTGGGGCCGCATCCTCTGCGCCATCGGCTACACGCCGGGCATCTCCCCGGACGCCGTAGTGCCCAGCAAGACGAACGTGAGTTTCGTGCCGGCCGAGACCTCCAAGTCCAAGGACGAAGGCGTCCTCGACCTCCTTGTGAACGGGGAGCCCGAGGCCGTCGACGAGGACCGCGCCGCTCGGCTGCTCGAAGACGAAGACCTGGAGATCGTCGTCGACCTCGGTACCGGGGACGAAGAGGCAAAGTACTGGTTCTGTGATTTCAGCCATGAGTACGTCACTATCAACGGTGATTATAGGACGTAGGGTGATTTACAGTCGTGTCGTGTCTGAGAGAATTGAACCACTGCTTCTTGCTCATGTTGCCCGCAAACTTCCACGCGTCAGAATTGGGAAGACGACGTCTAGGATTTACAGAGATCCCTCGTGGGCGGATACCTAGAAAAAGACCACCACTGCCGCATAGCCAGTATACACGCAGCACGACGTACCACAAAAGTCGTACAATACCATCTCCTGCCTGTGTCCTGTATCCTGTCGGACTTCGTCGCATGCAAGACAATAAATCGTCTGAGAGTGACTCGAAAGGAGAACATTTTAAAAACTGCCAAAAGATAAATTTTGATACATGAGGTTTTTCATCAAAGCAGTACAGAATTGTCGTCGTTACATGTTTTACTGTACACACATCAGTGATAAATCTTGCTATCGACTTGCTATCGTTTCCCCAGCTTGGATCCCTTGCTATGCATAACAGAAAAAAGCAGTGAAGCAGTGCTTTTCTTGTCTCCTGCCCCTTCGGTGGTATTCACACATGTACCTTGCCAAACCACAGGTGCCCCAAGAAGTTGCCTATAATTTTTATGCTGAAAAAGACTTCCAAACTACTACTTCTTAAAGCAAGGTATCAGCGAAATCTAGGCGATGAGGCCCTTGACACTTTGGCCGAAATCGCCTTCCTTCGCTGCGATCTCGAAGTAGCCATAGATGATGGTGACTGCCAGAAGAATACCAGTACCGCTGCCCAAAGCACCAAGCATGTCGCTTGCAACAGAGAGAGCGCCGATACAAGCACCACCGAAAGCGGCAGCGGTGGGGATGACACGCTTGAGCTCCTTGTACATGCTCTGCTCACGATGTCCGGCCATGACGAGACCTTGCTCCTTCAGTGTCTTGGCGACGTCGCGGGGAGCCGAGCCAGAAACCTCGATCCAGGTCTTGGAGAAGACTGCACAGGTGACGATGATGAAGGTGACGTAGATGACGGTGTGGATCGGGTCGAGGAGAGCGTCACGGAAGCTCAAAGGAGGAGACATGTAGTATGCGACACCACCGGAAGCGTAGAGCTGAGAGGATCCTTCTCTTGGTTCCCAGGTACCGATCAGCTTGACCAACAAGTTGTCCGAGAAGCGAGTGTAGAGCATCTGGCTGATCATGAAGATGTTGGATGCGAGAGCCGATTGCAGCATGATGGGCATGTTGGAGGTGTAGAAGAGACGGACAGGGTACGAGCCGCGCATGCCACGTTGGCGGGAGGACTTGACGGGGATTTCGACGCGGAAACCTTGGAGGTAGATGACCGCCGCGAAGACAGTCAAAGTGGCCAACAGGTTCATGACATTAGGGAGGTGTTGTCGGTAGAAAGCCTCACGGAGCGCGCGCGTCTTGTCTGGCCAGGTGACGAGCAGATGGAAAAGAGCAATGACTGCACCTTCAAACTCCTTTCCACGGCCGGTATCGATGGTGGTGGGGGAGAATGCCTTCCAGATGATCGACTCGCAGATGTTTGTCGCAATGAACAATGAGATTCCAGATCCAAGACCATAGCCCTTTTGCAGCAGCTCGTCAAGCAGGATGACAACCAAGCCAGCGATAACTAGCTGAACGATCAAGAGGAGGCAGATACCGGCACCGAGGTCACTTGGCTGGCCGTAAAGACCAGTAAGGACGAAAACGCAGGCTTGACCGAAAGACAGGATAATGGCGAACAGCTTCTGTGCGGTCTGGTAGAGTTCGCGATCGGACTTGAGATCGAGATTGACATCGATGAGGTGAGTACCGGCAAGGAGCTAAACATGCCGTTAGTCAGTGTCCCGGCGTAGATGTCGCGTGTTCACAAACCTGGAAGACCATGCCTGATGAAATGATGGGCGTGGTACCCAACTCCATCAGCGTTCCTCGATTACTAGCCAACATCATACGCAGCCAGTAAAGAGGATCGGAGGTGTCAGAGGAGACGATGCCGTACAAAGGCATCTGGCTCATGACCAAAAATATCAAAAGTGTACACTGTCCTCTTTGTCAGTCGTGTTGTTCCCCTTGCGCGTCTGCATGCGACTCTTACTCCTGTCCACATCAACTTCTGGTTGAAGGGTATTTTGGACTCCGGCGCTGCCACCTCCGGTAGGAGGGGCGTAAAGGGTTTGATCAGATCAAGAAATCGGACTGAGTGATACTGTTAGAAATTCCACCGACGGTGCGGAGAGGTTGATAGCACGTACGGCCGCTCATGGTGACTACGAGGGTTGCGCAGGACGGGTGTTTGGTGTTTTGATCAGCTCTCCAAGTGGTAGAGCGCGGTCGAGATGGTGTTTGAGAAGACGAAGAAGAGGTAGAGAAGGAGGAGAGAAAGGCAGGACGTGTTGATCCCCTGAAGCTACAACCACTCCATTCTTTTGGACACATCGACAACTCCACAAATTGTGAGCTCATGCTCAAACGCCAAGTCTACGGCGGATTATACGGCAGAGCAATAACGCCCGCGCCATACAAAAGTACGTACATTAGGATGTTATCACTCACGAGGTAGCTATAGGTCCCCAGACTAGATACTTAGATTCCATCACTTCACGCTCGTTGGCGCTGGCATAGCAGCAATGGTAGTTGCATTCCGTACTCTACAAGACCTGTACGATCTCATCTCGGTCCTTCATCTCCAGAATGTCGCTACTATCCATTGCAGTGCTGGCTAGAGCAGCATATAGCACTGCGCGGAAGAGAAGAAGCGTCTCCATCGCCTCAAGTCGGCTCTTAGGTCGCAATATTGGCCGCACTCTTTCACGAGATTGAGACCGTCTCGCTCTCGCCTCGTCGAGGGGAGGGATTGAAGTCTCTCTGCCTCGACCTCGTGATGACCTCCGGCCTGTATCGTCAAAATGTGTCCGAGGCTGAGGTGACGACGGTTCATCATCCTCATCTTGTCGAAAAATTTCTAACCAGAGTCCATGCTCGAAGGCAAACAGAAGGGACTGGATTGCATCGGACACAGCTCCACTAAGAATGAGCTCAACATCATTTCCGTTTCTTTTATCAATGACTGAATAGGGTTTACCATTGATCGGGTATACGTATCGTGCAACCCTTCGCGCGTAGACCAAACCTCTTTTGCAGAGTCCTGAACCACTTTGAAGATGCATCTCGTGAAGATCCGGACAGTGACGACAGCGCTTCAGATGCTTTGCAAAACGTGACATGACATATTCCTCGTCCTCGCGAGGTTCTCGCGAATAGTTAGGTGAAGGGTCACCCTCATTACTTGCAAACGTGCGCAAAGGGATGTCCTCTTCAGAGTCCCCTTCCCTCTTTCCTGGATACCATTCAAGCAGAGGCTGGCCAGGGGATTCAGTATGAGTACCTTCATCATCAGTGAGTCTTCGCTCTTCGCCATTCGTATAAAGTTCCCCCACGAAATCGTCTCGTATTGCAAGATGACCCCGTAGATTGTGTTCCACACGTTCAGCGGGTGTTTGATCGCCTGCCTCTTCACCATCAAGAATAGCAAGAAGAGGACGGGAAGGGCCGTCATGCACTTTGAGTGTATCTCTTGTGGTAATGTACAATCTGGCCAGTAGGTTCATCGTCGCGCAAAAAGAGTCTTCACTTCCATGTTCTCTCAACCAAGAGTCGACGGTGGCCAGCTGCCAGGCAAGCCATTTTCGGGCTTCCATTCTCTCAGGGAGAGTCAGGTTGTTGAGGTATTGTGCACCGCTTCTCCACTGAAAACACAGCTCTAATGCGTCTGCGGACACCAATAAATCACCATCCGTGGCAGAAAATAGCTGAGGGGGATGAGTTGCTGTCGTTGCAGAGGGTTGTGGGGGGCTCAATGGAAATGCTCGCAAAGGTGCACTTTGTCCTAGAGAGACAGCCGGCCCAAACCATGTCTGTTGAGTGGTACCGGCAAAATGGTCGTCGATGAGCGGTTGCATGCCGATATTGGTTTCATTTGGTCTGAAGTGGTAGTCCTCAACTTTGGAATGCCGACGATCAACGGCAACATCACGCCGAGATGGGTGATATCTGAACAACAGCAGACTCTTTTCATCAAGAGGCAAGAGCTTCAGCGCCTCGATAACATTCAGTGGCTCCGCACTCCAGCTCGGACTGCTTTTTATTGATAAGTGAACGTCTTCATAATACCTGAACAGTCTGAGCGGAAATAGCGTACTGGCTCGAGGCCTGTCGGCAAAGAGCAACACCAGCAGCATCAATTGTGAGTAGCTGTTATGACGCATCAGAAGTTGAGGAGACAGGCGGAGAGATTTAACCCGTTCCGTACATATTTCGTGGTCGCACTGGTCTTGGTGATCGATGATATTTAGCAGGGCAGTCAGATTAGTCCTCACATCGATCTGGTTTTTCGGGAGGCATCTTATCTCCAGAAATGGTTGCTGATGGAAACGAACGTGACCGAGTGCTTCAAGACATGCCCAACGCGTTTGCTCCAATGGGAGATTCTCCGACTCACTTCGCTCTTTGTAACTTTGATAGATTCCAACGAGTCCTAAACTGGGGTGCTGTCTCAGGACTATTTGTACTTGTGGACCTTTTGCCAGTGGAAGATCCTGCCTGACATAGCAGGACGTACACCCAGCAAGGACCGCAAGAACCATGAGAGCTTCGATAGTCGCAAAAGCAGGTGCCGCGGGGACATCTGCCGGAAGGTGGTCGGTCTTGCACAGTCTGGTCCGCAATTTGATAGGCTCGAGACCAACGTGTCGCAGTAACATGGTCCAGCTCGCCGACACGTCTTCAGCATCTGACTGTTCCTCTCTGGGAAGTGCTTCAACATCGCGAGAGTGTGTGGCAGGATGACACCTTGAAGAAGAGCGCATAAATATCCGGGACAGGAATTTTCGGGCTCGTCGTTGTAACGATGCATTCCTTTCAATGTGGGACTCGGAATCCCATTTTCGAGAAGCCGAGATGATTTGAGGTAGATCAATAATAGGAACCTGGACGGTGGTTCGGAATCTCCATTCGGTCCAGTCGAAGCGTGTCCGCGCACTTTGTCCGTAGACGAAGCCAATAACATTTTGACTTGCTTTCAGTCGCCCGGGTCCAGCAGCAAGAACACCTTGGAGCAGCGCAAGTGTAGCGACGAACAACGCGAGGATGCTCAGTATGGCCGTAAATGCGAAGTTGAGAGGGTCCCACTGAAAGCCACGTCCTTGATCCACAAGCTCACCCAGCAGGCAGTCAGTCGTGTTTCCTAGACACGATGGCATGGCAGGGACCTTGTAATCTATCGTCAATGTGATAGATCTCCTAATTTTTCGTGCCTTTGCTCATGTCGCCGGCCCACCCGACTTCCAGGTCGAAAATTCCCTGGTTTCTGCTCAGCCTCGCGCGCCTCGCAAAGTCAGTGCAACCCCTGCTACACGTGATGGGGGCTAGTTCTGACACTGTCTTCTATTGAAGTTAGTGGATCTCATTGCAAACCCTTCAGATTCAGCCGCTGTGACATGGATGCCTCACCATGGGTCAAGCTCATCTCCAATATCTACGTCGCATGCCCTAATCGTTTCTCAATGTAATGCACAAAAAGCAATCCAACAGCAAAATCAAGGACAAACAAGTGATGACCTTAGCTTTCAGATTTCCACCGCCATGTATATCTGCACTCATTCTCTCTCTGCGTGAAGTCAAGTCCACTGTACAAAAGCGGCCTCGACAATACTCACAATTCCGTCGGCCTTGCCGAATTCTAGAGGCACTCAATCGTAAGCTTTCCTTTCGTGGCTTTATGAATCATTATCTAGCACTTCGGAGTTGGACCATTAGTGCCGTTGACAGCCTGGGCTATTCCATCCCATATCTCCTTAGCCGTAATACCACGAGGCTTCTCCTCCATGACCCCTTTCGCTGTGGGGGTTCCAACTGCGGCCTTCTTCTGTTCTGCCTTGGACCACTCCTCAGCTCTGCGGAGGTTTAAACCGGTCACTTTGGCAATCAGGGCGTCTTCGATACTGAGCTGCTGCCTCTCTTCGTCACTGGTCAGAGTCGAGAAAGTCGGATTCCAAGGGATGTGGAAAGGCTTGGTCTCCAGCTCTGCAGCAAAGCGCTCTCGCAAGCCGATCACCAACGCGTGGTTGTAGTCTCGTTCAGCTTCTAGGGCGCGGACGCCGGCCAAGTTGCTGCTCACCCAATCTCTGAGGATGACTAGGTCATCTTCAAGCACCGCAACCTGAGCATTGAACTGGCACATCCGACGCATCAAGGCCTCCCTCTCGTGGGTGTGCCGCTCGGCCTGCTCCTTGAAGGTGTTTGCAAGAACATCAGCAGTGGGTCCCCCTGCCTGGTGTATGCATTGGTTCTTCCAGCTGTTCGCAATGCCGTCCAACATACCGACCTGCTCCTGCATATTCTTGAGCTGGGCCTCGAGGTCATGGACCTTAAAATTTTCACCATCTAGCTTGATATTCTGCTCCTCCAGATCCGTGATCTTCTTGCTCATATGCTCAAGCTCAGCTGCATGGTGATGCTTTATTTCCAGGAGCTGTTGTTCTAGGTTCGTATTGTCCCTGTAGACAAAATCCAACTCCTGTGCGAGGGATCTCGATTTCCCGTCAGGGTCTGCAGATTCGAACTCGCTTCTGTAAGTTTCTAAAGACTCGTAAAGTCTAGCGAGGCTCAATTTCTCAGCAACCAGAGATTCGCGAAGATAATCCACCTCCCTCGTCTTCCTCTGAACCTCTTGCTCCAAGTCTTGATTGACCATGGCTGCCTCGGCACATTTCTTCTGAGACATTTCGAAAGCCTGCTGTAGATCACGAAGTTGGTCGGGCCTGGTCGTCAGGGGGTTATTGACCACGGGAGTTGGGTCCTTCACATAATCGGCGGTGAGGTTCCTGCCCAGAGCCTCGACAAACTGTTTCAACTCCTCGACATCACCCTCTGCCCGATCCTTTAGCTGAGCCATGTGTACTAGCTGTTGCTCAAGCCCCGATATGGTGTCGACGGCATGATCGAGGTTCTCATCACATTGAGTGCAGAATTTTTGGAATTCAGTTTCCTGCTTCTTCAATTGTATTTCCAAATTGCTACGCGCAATCGCCGCTGCGTGGGCACACTTTTCAAGCATGACAGCCTGCTCATAGTAATAGTGTGTTTGCTGGTTGGACTGATCCAGCTCAGCAAGGAGCTCTGGGTCACCGATGACAACTGGGTGCTGCCGGAGGTGCTCAAGTTGCTGAGTCGTAACGGCTGACTTGGACTTTAGCGCAACCAGCACTTCTTCTTTTGCGGCCAATTGGCGCTTAAGAACGCAGATTTTGACGTCGTTGTCGTCGGACTCCTCTTCATACTGAGCGAGCCGGGCCATAGCTCGCTTCAGCTCTTTTTGAAGCGATTCAGTCTCATGTTCACGGCTAACAAGCTGTAGACGGAAACTTTGCGACAAGTCTTGCTCATGCTTGAGGGATTTCTGCAACTGGCCAATGATGAATTGTTGCTCTGTCGCCACGAGTTCCTTTTCGACCTCTACGATCTGCTCCCAAGCAAGGTTAGATGTCGCAGCAGTGGACGTTGAGGCGATCCTGGTCGAGGTTCCTGGACTGTTGTCATCGAAAGACAGAGAGGGATCGCTGTCTTCCTCTGTGGCTTCAACTTCAGACGCCTCGGCATCCCCAGTGATGAGCAGCTCATTCATTTCGGGGGTGCCAACCAGGAACTGCGGCAGTGATACCTTCCATTCATCGTTTTCTTGGAGGAATGCACCATCTTCTGCAGCCTCGAGGTACTCTTCATGCCCAAGAGAGACGGTCTGTAAATGGCAGAAGGCTGAGTCGTACGTGGACTTGAAGTCGAAGTCAATATCGAAAGCTCGCCTGCTTCTGGGGGTTAGCTGCAGGAGCCCAGAGCGATAGGGTACCAAAGTCCATTTTGCCTCGTCATAAGGATCTGCTTCTAGTCAGAAATGTCTTCCCATGAGAACGAAATGTGCACAGACCTGACGGAGGACTTGAGGTGCCAGGCTTCTCCCGTTGCTGGGTATGATGCCCAATGGGTCCTTTCGTGGCCTCGTTTGCATGCACCCAAACACTTTCGTGTCTCTGTTTGTACCTTGCGTCAGGGAACCCGATCCTCATATGCAATGAGTTAGATAGTTGAGCTGGATTAGGGTGAGGAATGATGGCCTTTGCATGAGTCATATGCTGCATTTTTGATTGCTTTTCCGTGGATAGCTTGTGACCCAGGCTTCGACGGGACGGGCTCGTCTCCTTGTTATCCAGGGTGACAGTGGCTGTCCCAGCGATGACTCCAGCGACAATTCGCTACGTCAACCCTGTTAGTGCAGATCATTCAACAATACCAGGCACTTACTGAGGTATAGGCATTGCCCAGGTTCTTGATGAAAGCTCTAAATGACATGTTCAGATTTCGATCGGCGCTTGCAAAGTCGACAGCGAGATAGATGTTAGGAAAGGGATCTTGCACCCTCTGGCCGTTGAGAATAGGAGGCTATGTCGAATTAATTGTCGTTGAATTTGGTGTTTCCCAGGAGAATACTGAATATCTCTTTGCGAAATTTGAATCGAAAGTACTGGCAATGAAGAAGATGAAGATGGGAAGGGGAGATCGCGAGGCTTGACGGCAAGTAGTAAACATGTTGTTTTGTTCTTCACTCTTGTGCTGCGTGGGATAAGGAGTTACAGCCTCGTCGTCTAGCAACAACAAGACGCGAATTGGTGTGAAGGCAGAATATGTGGTGCAGTTTCCAGTGCCTAGGATGATTTCACATCGTGAGAAGTTGTGAAAGTAAATGACATCGGATGGCTTTTAAACTAGCCATAAGATGGAGAGGATCTTCTGGTTGAGATGTTTGGATGCTGTGGACTGATCGAGCGTGGTGTCCGTTCATGTTCGGCAGGAATCAAGACTTCCGAAAACCGAATGGGGGGGCTAAGCCACGGTATGCAGACAATGGAACCATCTTGCAAACATGCTGCATTGGTGAGCGAGTAACAATGATCTGCACTTGTGAACAGACTGTTTGTCTTTGTGATTTATATATTTATACCCTCCTGGGGGCTGTCAGCAACTTCGTTGACTTGAAGTCAGGAGCACCCTTCAACTCAATGCTTCAAAGTTAGCAGAAGATAGATAGGCCCCAACATGTTCTGGGACCTCTCTATCATACTGATTGAAGACGTTCGAGGGACAAGGACATTGCAGCAATTCACAGGAAGAGTAAGAGTTTACGTTCGAGGTCGGGCGGTCCTGAGGTCCTTTGAAGCCGAGGAACAACGAACTCCGCCAACAAAGGATACTTACAAAGAATGTTCTTACATGGGTTCTTGTGCGGCTCATCTGCATTGATGAGCGACCGCTGGTGAGCAAAAGGCAAATTCACGGAGGGAAAGCCATTTCGCACCAGTGACCATAGCGCCTGGTCATTCTCTCAATCTGTTTGTTGTACCTAAGGAAGAGCGGAAAGAGTGTAACCCTGTGCGACTGTATATACCTGAGTTGCTCGATGCTGTCTGGGAAACCTTGTGGGCGTGAAAAGACTGGGAAGTCAAAGTGCGGGATGGGGGAACCATCAACTTTATGTAGCTCACGTGCATCTGATGCTGGCTCATCAAAAACGCTCACTCGTCCGTATTAGGAATGTCAGACTACTCGATCTGGAACAATGACGTGTTTGACGCCATTTAATTAAGACCGGACGCGTCGCGATCAATAAAGCCCACGCACTCAATTTCTCCAGACGCAAGACTTTGTCCTCGGGGCTTCGTGAAAGTGACTAACGTAGAGCTCTTACTGGCTTTAGCAGGCCCCTCTCACTATGTGATGCTCCTACAGCATGCTTGTAAAGGCTTTTCTTCCATCACACCGTTGACTCAGGCATGGAGGACATTCGGCCAATCTTGCAAGCGTCGGACAGCCACAGAGCCATGTCGGGTGAGTCAGAGTATCGACCTGCGCATCGGAGTCGATGGACATATCAGGCTCAAGTAAGAACACGTTCTCTCGACAGCATACCACCACCTACTGACTCAATTAGCCTTGAAACTGCCGCGAGACAAGAACGTGCGCAAAAGGGACCACGACGTATTCTTGTCCACCTACCTCCTGGACCATCGCTGAGAACCCCAGCCCACGATGTCCAACCTCAACTGAGAACTCTCCTCTCCCCTAACACGTCAATCGTCACGGTTCATTACCGCCTTGGCCTCGCCAATGACGCCACGACCGAGGAGACGACATGTTTTCCAACCCCCATCCACGACGTTTCCACTGCTCTGGAATACTTGACCTCCTCGACGTCGCCCTTCAATGACGGTCAGCACGAAGCGCCTAGGATCTGTCTCCTGGGGAGCCATATTGGTGGGGCATTAGCCACTATGCTGGCGCTAACTCAGCCGAACGATGTACACGCACTGGCTGCCATCGAGCCCTTGGTAGATTGGGTCAGCCTGGATGAGATCGTTGAACAATTCCGCCCAATAAAAGACATGGCAAGGAAACGGCAAAAATATAAGGCTACCCGCTTCGGTATCGAAGATGGATCTATATTGGCTGCGGCAGAAGATCTCGTAAAGTTGAGGGCCAAGTTATTTCCGACACCGTCATCATACTTTGATCCTTTTGCGAGTCCCCTACTGTTCCTTCGCGCTCCGGGCAGAGATACGCCGTTGAGTAGCACAGTTGGTGACGAGCTTGTTGAGGAGATGGGCTTGAACGAACACGATGGTGGTTTTGTTGAATTTGATTATCCTGAGGATCCTCTACAAGAAGAACATTCTTTATATGCACGATCCACCAATTCACCTCTTTCTCCGAGAATAGGCTCGACCGGCTCATCCGAGGACCCAGTAACTGGCTCCTCGTCCGCCGATACAGCGCCTACGTCTGTAGCAACGCAGCCTCAATCTCCGCCTAGACGACGTAAAGTCCTGCAAAGGTGGCCATCGATCGGTCGGCCAGAGTCTGTACTCCTGCCATATGTCAAAGTCTTTGTCCAATCTCCACCAGTCAGTCTTGATAAAGTGGAGTGTATGTCGGACGAGATTCGCTCCGATCTGGGTCATACGGCGTTGATGCGAGCTCAGGGCAAGGAACTGGTCGAGCTAATGCGTAGGGCATGCTTCTTCGGTCGAGAGAAAGGCTTCGCTGAAGAACGAGTCCAGCTTTCTGAAGGTATTGCTCATGATGAAGACAGGTGGAGAGGGGATGTCGAATCTCATCCATCGACACGACGTCTCAGCATGCACCTCCAAGAGCAAGCACTTGGATGGGCTGAAGCGATGCTCGCTAAAGAATGAATCTAGGAGCAATACGAATGATTTTTTTGGTTCTTTGGAAAGAAAAACCTCGGTTTCATGATGCGGATCTCCTATAAGCTGGTTCAACATCGTGCCAAGCTGGATATGAAGGCCTTTATCTACTCCTCCAGCTGCACCGTGGACCTTGCGAGAGTTGCCCTTGTCTTATTGTATGGATAACAAAAGAATAAAAAGAAACCCTCCTTGATAGTGCTTTTGTTTTCGGGAAGTGAGGCGGATGGTTGTGAGTTTCAAGGCAGGGAGGTGGTCTGAGACTGGGGAGAAAAGGGGCCCGTTATACCTATTCAGGTAGACTCCCCTTTCGAAGATTTTGCTTGAGTGAGTGGCCGTCCACTATACAGCCCTGCGATGTAAGCCCGAGCCACACTGAGGGTGACTGGTGCCGCATTTCCTGTCGCAGCAGCGGAAATCTGCCAATCATTCCACATCCAGACGTATCGTGCCCCAATGACGCCTCTATTCAATCTTTAACGTCTGCTGCGATATACTCACGGGCACAGCGCCCGAGCTCTCGTTGTCGTGCTTGACGCTGGTTGATTCTAGGTCTTGGACTTCACCTCTTGACCTCTGCCTCTCCAGATCGCTCTTCAGACTGTCCAGATAACGAGCCGCTTGGGCCGAGTATTTGCACTTCCGCCTGATGACCGGGCCGTACTTGTAGAAAAAGATGGGAAAGGGAAAGCAAGCCAGGGCAATAAATCCAGGCACTGCAGAGCCCCATCGTGTCCCTAATGAATCGTACATTTGCACGGTAAAGAGCGGGAAGACGGCGCCGAAGGCCGATCGCAGCATCGAGTTCGCGGCCATCATGGAAGCGGCGTAGATCACGTATGAGTCGATTCTGAAGCATGATTAGCAGGTCCTTGATCTTTCTCCGAGACGGAGGCAAACAACTCACAAATAGTTCATGCACGACATGAAGATCAGCAAAAACCCAGCTCCAAAGGGTACTTCGGCGAGGATGGGTACAATCCAGTGAATCCGGGGAGACGCCGTGGCCGCGAACCATGCCAGACCAACTATCGCAATTACTCCACCCAGTATGACGGTCGGAAGGCGAGTCTCTGGCGGTGCAAAGCCCCCTGTCTCCCTGTGGATGCGGGTGTAGCGCTTATTATCGTAGATGATGATAGCGACACCGACGAAGACGCCGACTAGCATACCCAGGAAAGCGAGACCGCCCACGCCTGCATTCCAACCGTGTCCTCGCTGAAAGACTATAGGATACGCAGCGAAGCAGAGATACAAAGTTCCGTAAATCACGGAAGTGTAGATCTGTACTTGGCAGAGAGGGGTGGTCAGTGGACTGGGCATTCACCGAACTTGTAGACGCGAAAACAAAAGACCCAAGACGTACGGTGAGGAGAAGCACTATGGGCTCCCTAAACAAGAGCGCCCATGGTAACACCAAAGACCTTGTGAGCATTTTCTTAAAGCTCAGCGGGTTGTCCATGTCCATCTTGGTCATATATGCCCTCCCAGTCACCTTGGTTAGCAACTTGGCCCTCTCACGCAGCAACACCGGAGCATACGTCTCGGGCACTATCAGCAGGCCAAGGATGGTGAGCACCCCGGCGTACAAGGTCAGCACGCCAAACAGCCAGCGCCACGATGCTCCCAACTCGATGAAGCCTCCGACCATTGGGCCAAGAGTCGGTCCGAGAAACGGAGCAGCAGAAAATATGGCGATGACCACGCCTCGATGTTCGGCGTCCCACATGTCGGCAATCTGGCCCCCTGGGACAACAATGGCGGTTGAGCCAATAACGCCCGCAAGGGCGCGGAAAACAATCAGACTTTGAATGTTCTGTGCGGCCGCACATATTCCGGTCCAAAGAGTGTAGAACATCATGGAGATCATGAGGATATTCCGACGACCCAGCGCTTCAGAAAGAGGCGCGAAGATGAGCGGACCGGTGCCAAATCCCAGAACGAAAAGGGAGAGACCAAGCAGAAAGACTTCTTGGCTACAGTTGAATTCTGCCATGATACTTTCGGTCGCCCCTGTATAGGCGGAGGAGGCTAGGGAGATACACATAGTCATAAAAGCCAACAAGGCACTCAAGATAGTCTTGCGCTTCATCGAGTAGGTTTTGGGATTGCAAGGGTCATCGTCTAGCCACTGGATAATATAAGGGTCGCTCGGGGTTCCGTTCCCCGTGTATCTGGCCTCGAGGATTCGATTGAAATCCGTAACACAGGGTCGCCATGGTCTTCGTTTGAGTGTATTTCGGGATGAGTCTGTGGCTTTCTCGATTGATAGGCGCCGAGGTGTGTGGTTTTGGCCATCCGAGTCAATATCGACGGACTTCTCCTTTGGCTGTTGGTTATCTTGGGCAGTCATGCTGACCAGGTGATTTGGTGTTATCTGTATCGACTCTGGGCGCGAAGACTCTGCGGGAGGCTCCTGCGTGTCGGCCATCGTATATCACATCTGCAAGTCAGCGTTGTACGCGACAATGGCAGTGGGAGATATCGTAGCATGTTGGATATACCAACTACAACATGTACTTTTGACCACCACATATTGCGCCATCTCGGACCCTTCTAAGAACCCACCAATTTGAGTCAGTTCAGACCGTCTTTCAAGTTCCGGGCGTCGCATATCATAAATGCTGCTTAATGGCCCGGACACCGGCACTAGTCCTGGACGCCTGCTCGAAGCAATCAGAGGTGTTGTTGTTGGTTGGACAAATGGAGCGAAAAGTGGCTACACGGAGACGCCGATCCGGAACTCTCGGCTACAAATCACTCCCGAACACCGCATTTCCCTTCCACTCCGAGATCCCAAAGTATCTTCACGCTGCGCACAGACGGAGGGTGTAGAGGCAATTAGTGTCATTGAAATCCTTGTCAAGCATCGATGGTTCATTCTTTTGCGTACATGATTTGAAGTGTCTCATGAGCTTGTTGATGACAAGACTTCGATCGGGAAGAAATCTAACATCTTGGCCATCTGTCCGAACGACCATCATCGCAGCCTCAAGCCCGCGATGCCAGACGAAAGAAAGATCCCGGCATGCAAAGAATGCCGCGAGAAAAAACTGCGATGCGTCTTTGAAAAAGACGATTGTTGTGTCAGGTAATACCGGCGCCTTCCAAACCAGACATCACCCATACTCACTCGATATGCAACAGATGTACAAGGCTGGGAAAACAGTGTCTAATCCCCGAAGCCAAGCGCAGAGAACGCAAGGCCCGATGTGATTGGTAATCTTCCGTCCGGTCAAGCTCAAGGCTGACGATGGACACGCAGTACGTGGGCGAGTCGAACATCTCGAAAGCACCTACTCCGAGATACTGGCCTTACTGCGACGGAATGGAAACACCGAGTCCTCTCCGGCCGCTACCGCCAGTTCGCAGCAGCATCCTCCGTCGGCGTTGCAGAGTCCATTGCAAAGGACGAGCTTCTTGTCGGGGTCGGGAGGTCCTCAATCGAGCCTACCGGCCGTCATCGGCTCTGACATGCTGAGCCTGGATGAATGTGACGCCCTGCTCAACACTTACCGAGAGATGTCTCGAAGCGTCCACCCGTTCGTGCTTCTTCCTCAATCTTGTCGTGCCGCACCACTCATTGAGGAACGCCCAATGCTGGCACAGGCCATCTTCATCGTCACATCCTGGCAGAATCCTGCTCGTCAAGCCGCTCTTCGCTCCATCTTTCTCAGAGATCTTAGCGAAAAGTATTTCATGAGGTCTGAGAGGTCCTTTGATCTCTTACAGGCCCTGATAGTGTATTTTGGATGGTACGTCAACGGTCGCCACCCTCGCCGTCTTGCTTTCTCTCTCGGATCCACTGACTGGTGTTTCATTGTCAGGTGTCACTTCTATACCCACAGTTTCCCGTCAGGAGCTTTCAGGATGGCCTCTACCCTGGTGACCATGGCCATGGAACTCGGCATCACCCAAAGCCCGCTCACCGTCACTCAACACGAGGTTCTAATGAACTCTAACTCAATCTACCCACAGAGCAATGAAGGCACACCTTCGAAATTCTGGAATTTCGAGGCGCGGAGAGCGTTTATTGCCACCTTCATTATTTCAACTTTGTAAGACGAATGAAGAGATACTGTTACCCTCTGCGCGAGAACTCCACATTGACTGATTGGCAGTTGTTGCTTTACATTCCGCAAAAGCAATCTTCTACCACAGACTCCATACCTGCATGAATGTGCAAAGTCACTGGCTGCAGACCCTCAATACCCCTCCGATATGCTGCTAGCACCCTGGATCAAGACCATGGCTCTAGCAGAACAGGTCACCCAGACATTTGATCATGGTTCACGAGAGCGTGTGGGTGAACTCAATGACGAAAGGACCCAGCTTCTAGTAACAACCCTGTCGAAACAAGTCGAAGAGCTGAGAGCAAATCTCCCTCCCAAAAGCCCGGATACAGGTATATAGAAACTCTCCCCGAATGCCTCCTTCCCACTGCTCAGTCTTGTCCTTTGTTTGACTTTTTCATCTTCCTATCTCAGAACGAAGCTAACTGTTAATTTTCCTGCTGTGACTCAGCCATTATGTATAACCAATGCCAATGCATCATCGCCTTCATCCACGAAGTAGGCCTGTACGGACTGAGCCTGGGGAAAACACCCTCCGTCACCCGCATCGCACTCATCTACGAATGCCACACGGCGTCGATGAAAGTCTTGTCGGAGAACGTCGAACTGTCCCTCGAAGAAATGAGTCAATGGGGCGTCATGGAATGGCGCCAACTCAACCTGTGCGTAATGCTCAGCGCCAGGTCTTCCATCATCTTGGACTCGACGTGTTACACGGTCGAGTCGTCCCACAGAGCCACGTGGCTACAGAAATGTCTAGACACGCTCTGTCAGCGGATCAACGAGCTTCACTTGATGTCCGTCGGAGGGTCGTCTTCACAGGCGCAAAAACAAGATCACTTTTTCAAGCGTATAGCAACCGACTGGACGAATATCAAGACGTGTTATCAGAATTGTGTACAGAGAAATCAAATTCACCAGCAGCAGCAGCAACAACAACAACAAACTCCGATGACGACTGTTCAACAACGACTACCGCTGCCGCCGCCGCCGCCGCCGCTGCCGCCGCAGCAGCAGCAGCCACAAGCACCATTTGTATTTCCGTCGGCTGAGTTTCCTTTTGACTTTGACGTTTTTAACGATACATATTGGTATGGGATGGGTGAGGGAGATGTGGCGGGTCTCAATATAGCTAGTGGTTGGGGGATGGTATGATGCCAAAATATCGTATTGTACATAGATAGATACCCTTGCATATATTATAAGTAGATATGGAGATGACGATAAAGATAATGAGGTCTGTAGGGTCTTGTAGTGAGCATTTTGAGTCCAACAAGGGGATGGAGTATGAGTATAGTATCCAACACTCACCGGCGAGTTCTGCAAGGTAATAACTCTTGCAGGTCAGGTACGTACCTCGTCTAGGGGTAGCGGAGTGGCCCTGTTCAGGGGATACTGTAGAGCTCCATACGGGTACCTATGCTACGTACCTTCACCTAGGTACCTCGCGGCTGTGCGGCCTTACGAGGTGGTAATGTTTCAGGTAAATCAGGGTGGTCTAGTTAGCGTTACCCAACAGGCTGATCTGATGTCATGGTCATCGGAGGGTTGTGCGCCGCCTACAACCGAGGAAAATAATCCTTGGCCTTATGGTCTTGAGACCTCCAATTCATGCTCAAATTCGACCTTTAGAATTTTCCCACCTTCCACTGGAAACAGGTTTTGTAGTGTAGTGGTGATCACTCCGGATTTTGACTTCCACACACAAACTGTCAAAAACTCTTTCCGGCAACCCCGGTTCGAACCCGGGCAAGACCTCACTTTTGTTTTTTTTTTGTAGTGAAGGGACGGTTGAAGGGTATTATACACAACTATTTTCTGAATAGGTGGTTTCTGATGATCCCTCCCCCCCCCCCCCTTTCAACTGTTTGTTTCCAGCAGGTAAACTTTTTGGGGGGTTGGGATTCTGTAGATTATGTTTCGCCAGTGGCGATTTCCTCTTCTTGCTCTCTCACCTGCGCACTTGCGGTACCTACTTTTACTTACTCACCCACACACTCATCCCTTACGTAGCCACACGTAGTAGGTACCGTCTGTCTGTACCTGCGCGCCTCGACGGATCGAAAAGGTACCTACAAGTACCTACCTACTCCTGGATGACGCACCAAGTGTACCCCCACTCACGTCGCTCACTCGTACTTGCTACATGAGCCGAGTACCTCCATTACCTTCCCTGAGGCGGTCAAGTACCTTGGACACCTCACCTCAGGTGTCCGTATGTGGTGATGACGACTCAAAAAATCCATTGCACGTACCAAAGGTACCACCAACTGACACATTGCGTGACGCCCTCTCTACGTGCTGGGGCCTCGTGGTTGGGCAGTTCATCAACAATTCTAAACTAGAGCGCATATAAAGTACGACAACTGTAAGGAGTACAGTGTCAATCATTCTCTTCATTCGTCAGCCTTCACGAGTTTGGTTTTGATGATTCCGAGTCGACACGATCGCTCATCCAAAACCATCTATCTATCCCATCAAAGTTCTAATGTTTTCGGTTTCCTCTCTAGATACTCCGTATCTTCCAGGCCTTTTTTTCTTTCCCACCCACCCGGACGGAAACATCGTCCTTGCCCTGCTCATTAGTAGGGCCACCCATACATATTGTACTGTACCGTACTACACTTTATACACTATAGTAAAAAAAAAGACACAAACAGATTCGTCCTGGCCAAAATGACCATCGTCCCTTGTTTGGGCAATGCATGCTGAGATCCAGGTAGTAAAGGCTAGGCGATAAACTTCCCTCAAGTTCTCTCGACCAACACCACCCCTGGCAATCCGCCGAGAGCTTTTATTGTCATCAAGCTTGAGTCGTTGACAACTCGAATCCTTCCGTTGCTTCATCCTCTGGCAGATTAAACAATTCATTATATCCGTACTTTCTTCAATCGTTGACCTCGTCATCTTCAATATGGTTCTTTTCCAAGCCCAGGTTTCTTAACGCTGAAACTACCCAACCACTTTTCTCTTGCCATGACATGTAAGCTGCTGAGGCTGGCTCAGGCATCAGGGTCGAGCTTGCTCTTGCTCTTTAATCTCAATCTCGGGGCACGAAACATGAAAATATCACTTCACCTCCTGTTCAGAAAGTTCACATTTCCCGCTTGTGGCATGCTCAACAAACTGTCCGCCCGTTGAAAAACATCACCCCGGAAGAATTGGTCACCATACGCGCTGGCAGGTGTGCTTGGGATCGCCATTTGCATGTTCATGTTTGGCACCGTCGCCTGAGCAGCCGGGCCGAGTGCCGCAGATAATGGAGTAGCAGGCAACGGTACCGAAACAGGACTTATGCCGTTGGTCCCGTTAGGGAGACCAAGAACATTATTGACGTTGACCATTTGTTTGGGCATGATGGCCGTGTTCGGGGTGTTTGCTGAACTGGGTCCCGTTCCTGGAGCTGGAGGAACAGGTACAACAGGTTGTGGGAATTGGCTCTGGACAGCATGATGTCCCAACGACGAAGTGACCGTACTATACACCGAGGAATTTCCATCGACACTTGCACCATTCACGCCGTTCGCGTGTGTATAGCCATTTCCGTTCGTCGCTGGTGCAGACTGCTGGCTTGTCAACGTATTGAACACACTCGGAGGTGGCATCGCTGCGCTTGCACTGTCGGTGAGATATCGCCACGGACTCGTCTCGATCAAGCGTCCTGCTTCTCGGCTTGCTTTTTGCACTGGTCGTAACATGATGATCAACTCTTGTGACAACAGCCGAAGAGACTTGGCTTCCCGCATATCGGTCAAGAGTTCAATGAAGTTCATCAAGAAGTTCTTACACAGTGACCAAAGCGAGGGGTCATTGCGGCCAGTTCCTGGAACGCTGGGTTCTTTGAGGCGCATGTTGACCAGCCTGACCTGCAGTGCTTCGCTGACATCAATGCACAACTTGCACCTGTACACCAATGTAGACCATAGGTCATGTACAGACTTGGGCTGTCGGTTCTCCTCCGCTGCCTCGAGACATCGAATGAATTGTGCTTTGGCAATCGGAATGGTGTGCAAAGCAGCGTCGTACGCTCTGCTTAGTGCCAGGAAAATTTGTTCAAATATAGCTTCCTCCTGAGCGTCTGTAAGGCCAGTAGCAGGATTGACTCGAGCAGGATAGCCATTTGCCATGGGCAGATTGAAGGCTTCTCCTGAGCGAGGGGTGCTCGCAACCGACGAAGACATGCCGTTCATCATCGCAGCTCGTGAACTTGACCTCGACCTGAGACCGTTGCTATTTAATGTACCGCTGTTCGAAAATGTTGAAGAAGTGCCGGTCAAATTTCCACCGTTGAGCGTGGTACCAGTCAAGTGGATTGGCGTCGGGAGAGAACCCGAAGGTGCAGGTAACACAGGGTTTGGTGGATATGTTGCGACCGGTTCCGCGACCGGATGTTGGATGGCCGTGTCACTACGCAATCTCCCACCCTGTCTTGAAGGCACATTTCTGTCTCGGGTAGGGGTGATTGCTCGAACTGGTTGCGAAGGCGTACTGAACTCTTCGGGAATCGTCTGGATCGGGTGACTGTTTCCACTCGACAATTGTCTTCTGTGACCGAAACCTCGTGTCACGTTGACATCCGCACCGAAGCTCTGGATTGCGTTTCGAACCTCAATCATACTGCCGTATAGCAAGAGCATTAGGCTGCGGACGTATCGCACGTCGGCTCCAGCGACAATTTTCTTGACATTGTCCTGCAGCTGAGCTGTCACATGTGTGTACGCCATGATACACGTAGCACAGTCGTGTCGAACAGTGGATTCAACCCTCTGCACAGCATCCTCATCCTCAACGTCCACCACTTCAGCTTGCTCCAAAGCTTCGTTGAGTCGATCGACGTGTGTGGAGGCATTAAAGAAAGTGAACTCTAGAGTGCTCCTCCGAGGATCCTTGCCACGTATTGCAGCAATCAAGCCGGAGATGTGAGGGTGGATCTGGTAGAGTGCGTACAAGATGCCCTTGGCCCCGTCGATCACAGGACTATTCAACTCATTCTCGACTTTATGTTCCGGTAAGCTTGACAGTCGTTTCACAAAGGCAAGCCTATTCCGTCGCGAATCTCGGGGGCTATTCGGACTAGACGAACTGGCACCACCGGGAGACGATAGAGTACCATTCCGCTTCAGGACAGAACCATGACTGAAACCTCGAAGATGACTGTTCCTGTTTACTTTGAGCTCGTCAATGCTGTCGAGGTCTGGCTTTTCTCTCCTCAACATCCCCATCCTCTTATGACGGGCAGCCGCTGATGCTTGTAAAACACTCTCGCTGTTGCTTCGGTTTCTCTCGTTGCTATTTTGGCTAATCAGCGGTGCAATCCCCGGACGTCGGAGGGCGATTGATTGGGTGCCAGAAGTCATACGGAAATGTGAGCGCGTGGGGACCGGAGGCGGATGCGGCTGTATGGGTGACGATTTGTTTCCTTCAGAACCGGTTTCACTGAGCCCGCTGCCAGTACTGGGAATGACGGGAAATCTGCTGCTCAAAGTTCGCTTTAGAGGTTTTGGGGTCTCCATGGGACCCTCGTCGATCTGTAAAGAAGCTTCAACATCTATCGGAGCAAGAGTCGACGAATGCGCCTCTCTCAGATACCGTTTGATCTCGAGAGTGATGGCTGTTTCTCTCTCATGATCGGTCATCTCTGAAAATGATACTTCTGATTCTTTATATTCGACGACCCTTTTCAATCTGAATCGCAGAGGGTTTTCTGCGATCTTCAATATCTGAAGTTTCGTCATTTCGCATAGTTCGGTCGGCAGCTCCTCAACTCGGTTGTGCACCAGTGAAAATACCCGCAGTGACCTCAAGTTCTTTATATCAGGAGATATCTTTCGAACTTTGTTGCGGCTGATGTCCAAGATCTCCAGTTGGTTGAGCTTGTATACTCCCCGAGGTATCTCTCGAAATACATTGGACCGTATATTGAGGTAGCGCAAATGGGTACATTCGGAGAACCGGAGGGGTATGTGCCATATCTGGTTCTGTGAGAGGGACAATCTTTCCACCTCGTCTTTGATAAGATCAACCACACTCTCGGGCAGTCTGGCAATGTTCGAATGTCCCAAATCCAGAGTCAATTTTGGCTTCACAACATCCCTCACGGCCTCGCTGCCTGCGAGTGCATGTTCTGTGTCTTGTCTCGCATCTGCTACCTTCTTCTTGAAAAGTTCCGTGGTGTCTTCCAAAGACAGCAGACTTAAGTCGCTCTTTTTATTTTGTCCGCTGGCTTTCGCCTCTTCTGGCTTCGGTGGGGAGGTTTCGAAGATTTGACCAGCTTCGACACGTTGCGCTTGCGATCTCGTGTCTTCGCTGGAGGCTCGAGGTGGGCGGTCACTGTCGTCAAAGCGTGATGGTCGGCCCAACCGTGAAGCATCTTCCGGACGAAGCAAGACTCGCGGAATGTTGACTTGTGGTAATTCGGGCTCCATCATGTTCGACAAGATGGTGTCTTTGAGGCCTAGGCCAGAGATGTTGTCAATGGCCAGCATCGAGAATGTTGAATCAGGCGGCGGGTGGACCGGCCCCTCCACAGCATGCTCCTGTCGATCTCAACACTCATACAATCGAGGGGAAGGTCTGTCTATAATCAATAACGCGCCAGGCGTTGTCACACCATCGTAGAGTGCCGAAAAAAAAGGTGAAGGCCTGTCCTGGAATATGTGCAGGAGCCGGAGTGTGGGCGTGTGTGCAGATGCTGGCTGTGGTTCGAGCTGTACAATGACACGGTGTGGTGTTCGTGTTCTAACTAGGGGCGATCGGACGAAGGTTCGCCAGGAGGACAGTGCTTTTGTTGATTAGACCCGATGAAGACTGCAGCTTGAGCCGAGGGCTCTGGGACGTGGCATAAGTTGTTGATTCTTTCGACAGCAGCCAGTGGCCCGACGACAAGGATTGACGTTTGATGACAGAAGAGGTGTCTTTGACTGAATCTTTGTTGCTGTCTCAGACCAGTGCAGCGCAGTTTGGCGCGGTCGTCTCAGACAAAAACGGCCCCGGCCCCGTGCACGTGACCTGTTCCTTGCATTGGCGCCCCTTGTAAATTGTTAGCCTGAGCGGCAAGCAACAAGCGACCGTTGAAAGTGACAGGGATGGTGATTGTCCGTCTCTTGCCCTATCTGTATCTTGATAATGATCTGCCCTCCCATGGGCCAAACATCAGGCCACCACCACACGTGGTCATTGCCTCCTTGTATGCGTTCGAGCTAGTGCAGATAAAGCTCTCTGTAGGGACCGAGCAGTCATTGTCGCCTCATCTCTCTACTTGCGGAATATATACAGGGTGACAAGGGAGATATCACTGGTACCCCGTGTCAAGAGAGAAAGAGCAGACGCATCTCTTAGCCACACTCTTGCTGACTTCCATCTTCCATCAGTCTAGTCTCTGCGCCATAGCCATGCAGTCCGCCATCCAGGATCCAGCGCTCATTGTCTTCGCTGTCATCCTGCACTCTTCGCCATACACTTTTTCTCTCTGGCTCCCGCTGCTTGCCCTTCTCTTCACCTTCAGGTGCTTTCCACACTGGCCGGATGAGTTTGCCGCCTGCTAGAAGAGGATTGTTGCTGAATGCACCTTGACCCCCAACACTCAAATGTTGATCAGCTGGGTCTTCCTCCACACCGGCATTCTCTTCAGTATTGTCAACCTTCTCTGGGGCTGCAGGGACGTTCTGGCGCTCATATGTCCTGACCAGCTTCCCGTTCCTGATGCTCATGCTCATCACCGTCTTCTTCTTTTCCCACTCCGGTCTATTCGCCTCTTCCATCTCGCGAATGTATTGCTGTTGCCTTTTCAGCGCCGCAGCCCGCTGAACCGGGCTCATCCACTGCGTAGCCCCAGGGGTCAAAGTCATGTCGTAGTCACTAGCTTCATCATAAACTCGAGTCCGTTGAGCATTTTCTCTTTGGAACGCCAAAAGTTTATCTCGATGTGCCCTTGCTCGTGCTGCCGCTGATGAAGACTCGTCTCCTGAAAGTGCCTCGGGTGTTGATCCTCCGAACAAAGGTGTACCCCGACCGGAGTGTGTCTGGCCTGCATTGTGAGCAGCCATCTTCTCAATGCCACGCTCTTCTTTTAGTGCCTTGATCATGCTATCGACTTGCTCTTTTGACAAGATAGGAGCATCGCAGAATGAGCATGGCTGAAGGCCTTCTAAGGCGCATATGATCTTGCCACAATTCAAACAATTCGGAGCTGTCTCGAACAAGGGATGAATGGAAGCATTGCAGGTACATTTTCTTCTCTCTTTCGATAAAGTTGGATTGGTAGACAATTCTAGTGCTGCGATCGCCGCCGTCAAGTCGGCCACACTGGACGTGGTAGTGGTAGGGCCGCCTTTCTGTGGTGTCGCAGTTCCCGACTGGGGCTGCGAATGTGATGGATGAGCTGGCTTTTTCGACTGCTTTGATCGGACATTAGCAAATCCAAAATCCGATATCAAACTCCCAGATGCCGAGGGTGGCAATTTGTTGGATTTTAGAGCCGGCGAAGCATCTCGAGATGCCGCACTGGATTGCGGTGCAACACGAGTGGTACGTAATGGAACTTGGAGGGCATCAGCAGTGCCCGTCCGTGAAGGCGCGTCCTCATTATGGGAAACAGATTCCCGGGGTGATGAGTAATGGTCGTCTCCATCGTAGTGCTTGGTATATCCTCCAGACACATTACCGTATCCCTCTGGAGTGCGTGCAGGACCAGTTGCATGCAGTGGCGGTTTCGTTCTCCGTGCAGCCCTCTTCTTTGGACTTGGGACACCAGACTCATCCGCTGTCAACGCTGGGCGTGCTTGTGATGGACTCCTGTTCGAAGATACTTGTGGTCGGCGCGCATTAAAAGATGAGATGAACTCCAGAGCCTGTGGTGAATCGCCGAGTAAGTTCTTCAGGTGATCAGCACCCGCTTCTTTGGTGAGAGAGTTGGTGTAAGTTATGATCTCTCGAAGAGATTCGTCGTCGATTGGAAGTAGTCTCTGAAGACGGGGCAATGCCCATGCCTGCAGCTCTGCGCTCATATTGATCGAATCCTCAGGGTCAGGTCTATGTGAGAAGGAACCACACAGAGGAGTGTGAATCGCTCGTACGAGTCAGTATGTGAGAAGTTAATCGATAGAGACGTAGTGTGAGGCGTCGACGATTGCTAGTTGAGGCGGTTCCAACGCTGAAGATGACAAAGACTATTTTTCCACAGTTTTATGGTCTCCGCTCTAAATACAATGTTCGGTCCATCCCATTGCTTTCATGCCTGTCATCTCATACGAGGCCCAATTTCATATCCACGTCATCCGAATGAAAGTCGTTGTAACCTCTGGCCTCTGATGTAAAGCCATGATAGAGATATTGATGCGGTTACCGTCGTCTTTCATTAGGAGAACGATGCGCCTACAGTGCCACAGCCGAGTCGTGCGCAACCAACGCAATAAGAGCAGCACCTAAACCACTGCCGTCCTTCGCAAGTCCAATCCGGATACGCTTCTCGTCTTCGCCGATACCCTCAATCTCCCTGAAAGCTTCGCGGATATACTCCTCGAAGCCTGGGTAATACTCAACCAAGCTGCCATCCACACCTACATCAACAATCTCGTCCTCCTGTAACTTATTTGTCGCGATAATTATACCAGCAAGCGCGACCGCACTCAAGCGAGCTGCTCTTTTACCTATGGCATGCACGAGCATCTTGACAGCTACACAGTCTTCTGTGGATGCTGCCCCAATGTTCAGCTCCTTCTCGAGAGTTTGCTTGGTGATTCGTAGATGATCGGATTGATCTTCCTCTACGATGGACAGGAACGACGTGTCGATGCCCCATTGCTTGAAAAGTGCACTGTCCTCTGCCACTGTCGTGGTACTCTTGATGTCATTGTCGTGCGATGTTGCGTCTTTGAACAGGGCGACGCCAGCGTCAGGATGTTGGTGGAGGCTCAACAGTGCCCGTCGTAGGATCTCGCCAAGGAACATGCCGGATACACGCTTTTCAAACATCTGGATTCCAGGATTCACAGACTCACGATCCAAATCTATGTCGAATTGGGTGGTGGGAAGCACTTTGAGACCGTTGTCAAAACTGCCCCATTCTGAGTTGATGACCATGAGACCGGTAGACTTTTCGTAGTTCGCGCCACCACCAGCTTCGTCAACCGCTTTCATCTTTTTGACGCGGTCCAACTTCTCCACGTACGCTCCGTTTGTGCCCGTGCCAAAAATGGCACCGATCAATGTCTTGGTCTTGCCAGGAGACGTGTACGACCTTGCCATCAAGGTGCCCACCGTATCGTTGACCAGTGCTGCGACCCTGACAGGAAGTTTCAGAGCGTCGATCTCTTTCTGCAGCAACTCGCAAACATCCATGCCAATAGCCTCTGGAATATCGAATCCTTTGGTCCACCTCATGAGCTTTCCCTTATTGATACCAATCTGGTTCACGGGAAAGCTGAATGTGAAGCCTAGGTCGAAAAAGTCCTGTTCGACCGGATTGTTGCGGTGCTTCGAGAAATGTTCTTCGTGGTGCGTTTTGAGGAATGCTTCTATCTGCTGAGCAAGGAAATGGAATAGGTCTTTGGCATGCGTAGCCTCCATCAAGGAACGCGGGACTGCGACTTTCGACTGCTGTAAAGAGAACGACTGGTTTCCATGCAGGGTGATTGAGCATACTCGGAAGTTGGTCCCTCCCAAGTCAACGGCCAGATAGACACCCTAAATATACTGTGTCAGTCGAGTCGCTACAGAGCTTCTCATCCTACCTTTTCCGTGCCATTGGGGACTGACGTGACATAGGTTGGAATCTGGCTCAAGGTGGCACCGTCATTCTCCAGACCTTCCTGCATCTCCCGGATGAATTCCTTTACACCCTTGTTCACATCTTCCTTGCTATACTCGAACTCCACGATCATACGCCGAGCCTCCGCCTCGAGAGCCATGTTGGTTAAGCCGTGTGTAACAGGCAATTCGGCAGAAAACAGCGACTTGGGTTTGCACTGTGTTCCCGGTTCTAGCTGTTCGTAATACGCCTCTTGCTTGTATACACTTTCGCCAAAGGGACTGAGGGTATTTATAGAAAGCTCAGGCTTCTCGAGAGGACGAGACGGTTGGGCGTCGCGTGACGAAAATAGCTGTACGAGGAGAAGTAACAGTAGCACCAGGCCAGAGGCAAGGTATAGGAGGGGGTCCCGCGACTTGGCCGACAGCTTGACTCGAGCTCTGTACAGTTCCGTGCCGGGGATGTAGCTGCACAACTTATGCCAGGCAGACTCCTGGTGCAGCGGTTCGTTGCTAGACGAGTGACGAGGCGCCAGGTTGGCTAAGTGCGCCCAACAGGCCTATATGATGGATACTGTGAGGGGCTCTGAGAAACAAGGTAAAAATGTCAAGAGGAGGGGCAAGACCAGTCAAAGGCCACGACAAGGCAAGCATAAGGTAGCATGGGTGGATGTGGTTCGTGGGTCGACAGGTAACGAGCGAGTCAACGACTGCGAGGCAAACCTGGAGGGAAGAGAATAGCGTGATGATGATGATGATGATGCACCAGGTATTGGCGACGTAGCCATTGATGAAGCAATGTTGGCGAGAAAGTGACCTCGGTGGCTTGAAAATGTGGTGGTTCATGAGGGTGGATGTTGTTGTGCTGCATCTGCGTTCCTCCGGAAGAGAGCACCTGCTTTACAACCAAGTAGGTGTGCTAAGTAGGTTGCACCAGGTATTGTAGGCATGAGCTCTAGGGAAGCTTTGGCCCAGCAGGGCTAGTGAGAATAGTGAGCCTACACTTAAAACGTGAGAGGCTGCACCTAGCGAACCTACCTTGGGTACCTAGAGTTAGGTACTTAATGTATACCTAAAGCTGAATTCCATTGGCGCCGGGTTGGTGAGAGCTCCAAGCTCCGTTTAGCTTCTGTTGACTGCCGTTCGGAGCCCGGGACCTCAGTTCATACAGGTACCTGAGGTACGCCAACACCTACAAAGGCCAAGTATCCGCCTAGACAGTCGTGACTTGATTCCAGCTCCATTCAGGATGTCTCAGAGACCTTGGTTTCCTTCCTACGCAGCACATGGCCTCGAAAGTTCACTTTGAAGCAGCCATCAAACATTGATATCCCATATGAAGGTCCACGGCATACTGCTCATGAAACACTTGTGCATTCAATAGACCGTTGTACCTAGTACTTCAAGAGCTGCTGTAGCTACATAGGATGCAAACCTCAACAGTTAACTTTGCGTGCAATCATTCCAACGCTTCTCCTTGCCTCGTTGCAAGCTATGCACCACAGGTAAATGTGCATCACATCATATTAAATAACGTGTTTCAATGTTCGGCATCGCTGCCATAAATGTATACTTTTCGTTGCCAATCGCACCCAAAATCGACTTACTCCACCGGCTGGCAAATCCCAGACATGTATCAATAACGCCTTCATTCTGTTCATTGCAAGTTCCTCAAAAGAGCATATCACTGGAATCATCGTCCAAAGCTGCCTTCTCCATCGACTCATAGTCGTCCAATGTCTTGCGTCTCTTGACTTCCATTGTTCGGTCATTCAGCTTTGTCATTTCCAGTCTGCTCGCGTCTGATGCATGGCTTCTCCCTCCCCACGAAAATCGCTTGATATAGCTCCCTCGACGTTGCGGTTTGGGCTCTGAGGTTGTCCGTCCAACGTATGACGAGGATGAGGAGGATGAGGATGAATCAGAGCTCGAGGAATATGATCGTTTGTCCGCCACTGGGTGCATTGGTTCATTGCGCTGTCCCTGTGATTGGCGGAGACCATTGGCCGCTTCATCTAACATAAAAGCATCGTTGTGGCCAGTATTGCTTGGGCTTGAATCAAAGGTCCATCCAGTACTGAAGAGTTTCATATCTGGGTCTGTTTCGTACATCATCTTCATCTCGAGCACGTCCTCCTCTCCCCGTGGAGCGACACTGGGCCTTCTCTTCCACATGTGCCACAGAAGGTGCTCGCCTCCAAGTGCTTCGGCTAGCGACGTATTTGAAGAGCTCTGTCTTAGATCACCAGACATGGATTCTATCGATTCTTGGCTGGGAGTGCTGTCGCTCGGATTGTGTTCTGAGTCGTGATATCCTGGATGTAGAGCTGTTTGAGATTCGAAGCAGGTTTGTTGGCACCATGTATATGGACGAAGACACTCGTCCTGCTTGCCGAAGGTCAGACCGCAGGGTTCTCCTTCGGACCATGCGTGGTGGTCTGCCTCATTTAGCCGACGCCATTTTCCATGAGACTCAACCCCCTCGACCAAAAAGAGGTCCTGCTCGTGCTGCATCAGCGGATGCATGCGGATGACATTCTGAGTAAGCCAATCAGTCCCACCAATAGAGTCTGACTCTTGGGCTACGAACTCGTCTGTCATAGGTTCATGGAATGCTGTAAGCATCGAAACATCACTCATCTGCGACGTGTTACCTGTACTGTGCCTACGGGGGCGGGGCATGCCTGAGTGACCGCAATGGCAAGAGGCTCCGTGAGCATCAATGGCCATGTTCTTGTACTTCCAGGTCTCAACGGATTCCGACACCGCTACACACTCCTGACTGTTGACGACTTGTGACGTGACTTCACGGTTGTAACTTGCACAGTAATTAGCCGGTTGGTCGACTGTTGCCTCAACATCCAAGAGGTCTCCAGCTGTGTTGTCCTCGTAGCCTAAATACTCTGGATCGTTGCTACGTGATGTATCATCTTGCAACATCAGAGCGCAACCTTGCGTATCTTGACCGCCCGAGTCGTGTACAAAGTCATTGTATGCCCGGGATGACCATAGCGAACGTAGAGCACGCTCACCGTTGCGGTCCCGAAGTCCCCGAGCAAGGGTTAGCCAAAGACTCTTGTGTAGGTTGGCGCCGACCTCGCCATCATCAGCACCACTGCGCTGCAGAGAGAAGGCGGCTAACCATCTAGTGATGGCTGGAATGAAGGGACACTGATCATCAAACAGTTGAGCATACTGATGGGTAAAGCAAGGCGGGGAGATGACGGCCAATGGAATTGACTCCAGCTCAGTGGCACGTGTAAAACCTGCTGAAGGTCTGACTGGCCGCGAAGAGATGCTGTTACGGATACCCATATCGAGCAGCATCAGAAAAGCTTCTCCATCCAATAACGAGGTGGATGGCGACTTCTCCCGTGGGCCCACGCTATCAAACGCAGCCACAGGCTCAGGATCAGCAGGCCGACGATCGACTTGAGGAATTCGACATTTCGTTTCATGGTCTGGCTTACCGGAAGAAAGCATTCTTAGCTCGAAATCCTGGGGAACCGAGGAATGCCGCTTAGACTGGGATCTATGACCGGTTTCGGAGTTTGGTATTTGAGTTTGTGGAAGCGCCTCTGCACTGTCCTGATGGGTAAAATGCAGTGCTATTTGAATTTCCTTGATGGATATAGCTGGAATCGTCTCCGGACAGGTGGCGGATTGGCCATCGTCATTCAGGGACTGCATATACCTCAGTAACGCTTAGGGGTACTGTCATGTAGGTCTACCTTCAACTCGAGTTGGAAGCTCAGCGCCCTGGAAGAGGCCACACTCTGATCGCTGTCATAACGCACAGGGGAGGCATCGTAGCCAAGTTGGTCCCACAGCTACGGTGGTTAGATTTGGGGAATGCTCTGCCAACCTCTTCGACAGTCTTACCTCAGCTTCAGCAACCCAGTCAGCAATAAATCTGCCGAAACTCTTGCGACTTGATGTGATGAGCGTTAAGTTCAAATCAAGAGCAAAGGAGATCCGGAAAAGACAAAGCAGACGCTTGGATCGCGGGCACCATGGAAGCAGATCATTTGGTGACGGGGAAGAGACCTGGCCTGAGACATGCACTGTCGTGTCGGTGTAAAGTCGAACATCTGAGCGGCGGTGTATGAAGACACTACCACCGAGATTCAACTCCTGCATCACTGCACTGGGACATGTCCTGTTTGTAGCGCTGTCGTGATGAGGTGAGATGTCGAGAGAAAGGAGGATGAGGATGTCCCTATTGAGCGCTGACTAACAAACTTTCTGCGGCACCCGATATTTTCCCGTGTCTTTGGTTGCGTCCCGCGTTCGCCTGCGGGTCTCGACGATAATTGTTCCATACTGGCTCATGTTGTTGTCGTCGATCGGGTTCTTACGAAAGGCAGAGCGAAAGAGTTTTGATTTTGTTGAGACAGTGAGTCACTGGCGTTGCTGGATATATTGCCTCGACCCAGCAGCTTCTTCCACCGAAATGCTGCAGCAATAATCCAGTTTCTACCAACGAACAGCACAGCACGCTTCCCAAGCGTAATGGCGTCGCCTCGAGTACTTCACCTCCCTAGAGCCCAGTCGCTGGCGCGAGCGTGCGCGCGTACAGCACTGGCTCCTCCTGGATCCGCCTCTCTACGCCCCTTTCACTCGACCACACCTCTTGGTACCGATGGGGTATTCAAGGCCCTTACAGAAATGCGTGTGCGGAAGCCGTGGATCGAGGCATTGCGAGAAAGAAGAGAGGCAAAAAAGAACCCAGTATCCACACCCGAGGAGACCGTGAAGCCAGACTTGACGCCGAAGCGCATGTCGGATAGCTATGTCAGCGTGGTGCTCCCGTTGTCCGTCAGTGATTCCCCAATGACGAATACTTGTTTCGCTTCCTCACTTACCAATGTTCTGCTGTCACCTGTAGAAAGATCCATGGATGCTTGACACATATGCGAATTACACCGGACAGATACGCACCGGTACATTGCTGATGGACCTTGACGCCTTGGCTGGGGTGGTCGCGTACAAACATACCGGAGAAGGTGTCACCACCGTCACAGCTGCCGTGGACAGGATCACCATCAAGAATCCCATCCGTGAGATATGTGACTTGCAGTTGAGCGGCCAGGTGTCTTTCGCGACTGGCAGGAGCAGCATGGAGGTGACTCTCCAGATTGCCAAAGCGCCAGAAGAAGGTCAAAAAGTTGCTCCCGAGGATGTCTTCATGACATGTGCTTTCACCATGGTGGCGCTGGACCCAAACACCAGGAAGCCCCTCAACATCGCTCCGTTGCAGGTGACCACGCCGGCCGAGAAGGCCCTCTTCGCCAAAGGTGAAGAGAACTACAAGAGGAAGAAGGCCTTGAAGTCGTCGCACATCCTCGCCAAAGCTCCCGACGCAGAAGAATCTTCCCTGATTCACAAAATGTGGACCGACTCTCTTGCTTACGCGGATACTCACAATCCCAAGAACCAGCCTCAGAATGTTCTTGCCATGTCCAAGACACAAATACACAGTACTCAGATTATGCAGCCTCAAATGCGCAACAGGCACAGTGAGTTTTTCCCGCTCCTTTCCCCCTCCATCTGGATCAAGATCCTGGACCCCCGTTTACTTACGAGTTTGTTTTTCTTCCCTCTCCCACAGACTTTATGATTTTCGGTGGATTCCTCCTCAAAACCACATTCGAGCTGGCCTTTACCTGTGCGGCTGCCTTTTCTCACACCCGACCAAGATTCATCAATCTCGATCCCAGCACATTCGAAGAGCCGGTGCCGGTAGGATCGGTTCTTTACGTTGCCGCAGGGGTGTCGTACACCGAAGCAGACCCCAGCGGTGGGACGCGCATCCAGGTCATGGTCCGGACACACGTGCGCCCAGTCGAACACCAAGACAAAGAACGCAAGTCGACCGGAACATTTTTCTACACCTTCTACACTCCGGCCGACGTCAGTGTCCTGCCACAGACTTATAGTGAATTTATGGGCTGGGTGGCAGGTCGGCGCCGAGCACAAAATTTGGCTGCCACCCTCGCGGCGGATCCCCATCAGTTGCTTACGAATTCTCAAACCGAGCCGTTGACGGAATAAGGCGGCGGCAGCGGTTCCGGGCTCGAAAAGCAGCGAAAATATTCATTCTACGATAACTTGTTAGCCCATCATTGCTACAGGTCAGGTGGACCTGCGAGATAGCTTTGTTAGCTCGTCATTGCTACAGGCAAGTTGGAAATGCGACAAGCATCTGCACCGGGTCCCAGCAGTCCCACAGCATGGCTCCTGATGTGTCTCCCACCGCCCCGAGGGCGAATCTCATTCCTCTCGATCAATGGGAATACAGGACTTTGTCGTGAGCTAGAACAGACTGGTGCCGTCTGGCTCGTGGATGCTTCGTTGTTCGCTCAAAAAGAGACAGCGGACAGATGGATGTTGCGGCCCTTTGAGCCAGGAAATTGTTCGCATCTGTAGTCAAACAGAGTATGTACGCGAACTACGGACAGTCGAAAGAGATGAGAGCGACTCAACAGTTTCTGATCAAGAGTGCTCCGCAAATGTATGATCAAGGAGTGAAGCTTCAACCGATCAAGCATGCATGGCAAGGGGAATACGCAGGCGCAGCCATGAAGCAGGAACCTACTTCGAAAATGGCGGCCGAGCTCAGACTTTTATTTACGAAACGTACCGATCAAGCTCTTGAATAAGCTCTGATCCTTGTTAGCTTGACCCTGATAACCCGTAAATTGAATGAGACGACCATATGTAGAGAAGTATAATGCCGAGCCACAATACACAAGGACAGTGGACATGGGATACCCCGTAAAAGTGAGCCGCAACCGTAGTGTGATCGGAAAGAAAAAACAAAAAGCCACCCCTCCTTGAGACACGGTCTTTACACCTTGACAAACAACCTCCAGCCAGCCCTTCGGATCCTCACGATAAGCACGAGCGTAGTGCCGGCGATACAAAACACGCCCGAAAAGACCTTGAGGCCCGTCCAGCCACCGCCGCCTCTCAAAATGGCGCCGTTGACGGGGTTCGTCGTGAGGCCGCCTACCGCCGTGACGAACAACACCACGCCGATCCGAAAGCCTATGTCGGCGAGGTTCATGGGCGAAATCGCCATGACCAGCTGCGCCAGCAACGACACGTACGCGGCGGACGAGAAACCGAAAAGCACCGCGAACGCGACGATGGCGCCGGCGCTCGAGTCCTCGGGCAGCCACAGACCCAGGATCCAGATGCCGGAGAGGTAAGACACGGCGACGAAGACGTTGTAGGGGCCGAACTTGTCGCTCGCGACTCCGGCGGACAGTCTGCCGAACAGCGACGCCGCGTTGAGGATGGGCAGGAGGTATTGAACCAGCTCCGGGTCCACGCCGGCCTCGAAGGCCTGGGCCGGCAGGTAGTTGATGGGGACGAAGAAGCCGTAGCTGAACCAGAACGCGGCCCCCGTGACGAGGAGGAAGTTCAGTTCGGTAAAGGGCTTGCGGAGCTGTGTGGCGCTCACCCTGTGCTGGTCCGGGCACGGACGGTCAAAGGGGCGTACGGTCAGGTTGGCTATCACCAGCAAGAAGAGCATGAGGAAGGCCGAGACGCGCATGGCCCAGCCGAAGCTGACTTCACGGATGAGGTGTGACACCATGATGGGGAACACGATGCCGCCGGCGCTCGAGCCTGTGAAAAGGACGCCGAACGCAGCGCCGTGGCGCTTGCTGAACCAACCCTGGACAGACGTGAATGCTAAAAGTCATAGAGAAGAACCCATCGTTAGCATACTAGCATGAGCTATCGCATTTCTCCCTTTTTGGCTTTCATCGCATGCATGTATGGACAAGATAGATGGACCCATTGATTGTGGAATGTGCTGGTGAAGTACCTTATTGAACAGAGCGAGACGCAAGCGTACCTGGTTGGAAGATTGCAGAAACTCCAATGGCAGAACATACACCCTGGGCCAGCAGGATTTGGTAATACTCCTTCCCCAACGAGGCCATCATGACTCCGAAGACGTGCAGAAAAGTCCCTCCTAGAAGAAGCCAGCGAGGACCATAGTGGTCGTAGATAACGCCGATGACAGGACCCTGAGTGCGGCGATTCGTTAGCAATGGAGATGTTTCTCGATGCAGATACGAATGACTACGGCGTCCAACAATGAGCTGAAACAAAGGAATCCCCAGATACATATGACTGTTGATGCTGGGCGAGGGGGAGGAGTGTGAGTGTGAATGTGAGTGTGAGCGACATCACATACCATGCCCATCATGAAAAAAATTTGCAACGACGGAATCCAGGAAATCGTGCTTGGAGAATACTGACTCAACAAGACATTCTGGTAGTATTCCTGGAAGACACCGATGCCTAAAGAAGAGGAAGTAGCAGTCTGTCAGTCTCACAGCACCATACTTGAAGCTTTCATGCCAGCAGCGTCTTTGAGCGATCATCGACGGGCTAGGTGGGCGACTAATTTTACGTACTGTTCAACCATCCGAAACTACAGAACGAAGTACACCAAGCACCGAGGACGACGAGCCATGCTGCCAATCCGCCGTTGGGTGACTCGCGTGCTGGTGGTTTCGGTTTGGCTTCCTCTGCAGACTTCTCGACATCTGTATACTGTGTCTCCGATTCAGGTGCAGGGGCAGAGCTCGTGTCAGGGGTAGATTTCTTCTCCTTGTGGGAAGATCTCGAATTTCGTATGTCCGTAGACTGGCCTTCAGATATTGACGCCGCCATAATGGAATCGATATCTCCAGTGATTGTAGGTGAGGGGTGCTTAGGACCAACCAAGGATGCGAAGAGCAGGACATGGTAGCTGCTCCTGCAGTACCGTGGCTGTACTTTTATACCTTCTGGGACCGTGTAATTTGACTCTCGCAGGACGGTGGACCACCGAGATATAGACCCGAGTTCGGCGCAATTTTGTGATGTTCCTGTTGATGGTACTCGTACGGACTAACGGTGCTGCTGGATAGAAGTAGTGGTAGTCACCGGTCTTGTACGGAGTTGCTCTGTGGGTCCTTCGGGCGCGGCCTTAAATTTCGCAGAGCAATCCCGGCTTCAACTTGTCGCCACACCGACAATTCACAGCGTTTCGACAACAATCCTGCAGGGAGGGGGAGGGGGGAGTTGCTGGGCGTTTGTAGATTGTCTTTTCTCATAGCGAGCATTTCATTCGTAAAAACTGGAAAACGATCCTTGTCCTTCGTACTGGTACCCCTGAACTAAGGTATCGCAGTTCGGCCAGTCATCACTATCGAGATCGAATCCCAAATCGCTAAAGTCCTGGGTGCTGGCGAGGAACTCGTCTGTCGGATTCGCATTAACAGGCACAGAAGTGCTTTGATGGGTCGAGTTCATGGACGGATCGACGCTGGAGTCAGTCTGCGAAGTACTCGAGTAGTTCCCATGTCGACTTCTACTTCTCAGAGACAACGCTTTCAACTTGAGGGCTTCCAGCACTGCCGATTTCGGTCCATACCCAGCCGTAGTCTCGTGCCACAGCTCCGTTGAAAACAGGGCATCTACTGCACGCCACGCTCTATCCGTACTCGGCCCGTCAGGCTTGATGCACAAATGCCACAACACATACATTGTGACGTGGTACTGCGGGTACGCCTTCGCCGCCCACGCGTACGGCTTCAGCAAGTCATCGCTTTTGACAATTCTCGGCTGCAGGAGCTCGAGGGCTTCTTGAAGGTTCTCTTCGGTTGCAAAATCTTCACTTCGCGGGCTTGAATGATGCCGTAACAAGCTCCACTGTTGGCGTGTGACGAAGTCGAGCTTTCGTAGCAGCCACGAGGCACAAAAGAGAGTCATGCGCTGCTGTGGAATGACGGGGTTGCAGTTTTTCAAGCGCTCTTGGATGCGTTCCCTGCTTTGATCCATGACGCTTTTCCGCACATCTTCGCTGGGTGCTGACTCTGGAGACGAATACGATGATGTAGCGAGGGAGGCCAGTCTCTGTGCAGTCTTGACCAATTCGATATTGATTAGGTCGAAGGTCATGCCTGTCCAACATTTCTTTTCTGGCGGGAGTTCTTTCATGTCAGGATAAAGGTCCGTGTCATCGACGTTCAGAGGCAATTGGACATCGCACGACAGTAGGAGATACTCGGTGCTTTGGAGACCATAGTCTTCCCCTGCACGGCCGTCTCGACTCAGCAGATGCCACCATAAACGCCGTCGGATTTCGGACTGGAACGGTGACAGGCCTAGCTGAGCACCATCCCGATGTATGCCTATTGACTGAGCTAGACGGATGGCCAGACTGTTGAGTACCCAGATACCCCTGCCCCGATTATTGACACGAAGTGCTGCCTTGAAGGGCGTTAGTACATGATCGTCGACCCATAAGAAAGACCGAAAGTGCATACCAGATATATTGCCAATGCACGAAGTGATGTCACGGTTGGTCGATCTAGATAGTCAGCTTGTGCGAGGGCTTGTTCTAAACCAACCTTGAAATTGAGAAGATGAGGAGCTCTTTCGCCCCCTAAAATTGCATAAGCTTCTGTGTCGTCGAGAGCTACCAACGCACAATAGTAGATGGCAAAACAAAGCGCATGGTTCTCCAAAGGCGATTCGTTCGGTTTGTCGATGGCTAAAAACACCCTGGCCTCATCGGTAGGAATATGCAGCAACTTTTGACAAGCATGACAATCTACGTTGTTGAGGTAGACATTCCATAATTTCATAGCCACTAGTTTGGGCGGGTGGAAGGTGGTTGGTGTTTGCGCAAAAAAAGGAGACGAAATTATACCAAGTGGACTGAACGGAGAGATTGATGGGTGCTCAGTACGAGGAGTTGTCGCTGTAGCTTGGGCTGTCAGGGCAGAACCAATGTGTTGTTCCTATGATGGGCTCCGTGAGCATAAACGGTATGGTCAAGAAGTGGTGCATCGCGAGCCTGCAATGAAAGATACAGACATTGTAGAAAACTCACCTCTTCCAGGACCCTTGATAAGAGAATCTCATTGAAATACTGACTAGATGACCCCTTGTGGACAAGAATATCATCCCTTGTCATTCCCCTAGACGCCGAAGAGTGCATACCAGGAGTGGTGACTGTGCTGTCGGAAGCCGGCGCACTTGACGTTGCTGCAGATGAGGCTTGATTTCGTGCAATCGTGAGAGACTTCTCAAGGCTGGAGACCCGCGATGCCATCTCCTCCATCATGGTCATCTTGGTCCTCCTGGTCCTGGGACCTGCAGGCGGGTAATAGCATTGCTTATCTGACCGAGTGCATGCTGTACATGGGAGTTTCTTGTCGCATCGAATCTTTTTGCGGTTGCAACTGATGCATGAGCGGAGGTTCGAGGTTAGACGACCGCCTTGCTCAGCGTTGCGGTGATCTAAAACCGCACCATCTGCATCCGTGTCCATGTCCATAATCATTCTGGAACGACGGCCATGGTTCGGACAGAGCCACTATATCTTCTCGCAGCAGGTGGCTAATGGTGGACATGGATGAATGAACTGGAATGGAGAGTCTCTGCGGCGTCCGCGGGCCCGAGATGGTTCGGTGTGGTTTCCTTTCTTGGTAAGGACTCGTCACGGCGTCGGCCCTAAAATTCGGGCGTCTAAACACAAAACACCCAACTTGACCTCCGAAGTGCCTAGGAACCTACGTAGGTAGCGATTTATGCATGGAAGACAACACATTGTTGATGCTTCTACTTCTCATCTACCGAAGACCTTGGTTTCTTAACTTCGTGTGCTAAGACGCCGTCGACGATAGAAACGGGAGGATATTTGAACCCATGATCTAGGTGACCGAGATGAGGTACATGAGGCTCGGTGAACAGAACGGCATTATGAGGATGGGCAAGTTTCCTTTGGAGAAATTCGCCGAAGCGTTTGATGTCTGTTCAAAGATGAGTGGACAGTGATTGCAAGTGATCATTGCACCATAGATGGACGAGGGTTGATGAGGATACCATACTCGGTCTTGCAAGTTTGGTCGCAGATCCCAAGATTGATTGATAGTGGTAGGTACCTAGGTAGGTTGGTAAATAGATGGACTTGAGCAGATGATAAATGTTTCTCCCCTCTCATGGGTGTTTCGTTACATGTTCGCTCACATAGCATATGAGCCGTATCCCACGTAGTGCGACGAACACATCGAAATCAGTTTCAATCGTCAGCCAGTATCGAGGTCACATTGGTGCCAAAGCCGTGACGCGACATTGAAGTAGTTGACAGAAATCCGCGGCCCTTTCGCAATGTAAAACTGTTAGACGAGAACTTTCGAAATCCCGCTCCGAACGTGATGCGAGACATGTCGACTGAGCGAATGGCATGCTTGACCATCCACCAAAAATTGGTGGAGGTGTACGAAATGGAGTACTCCATAGTCGTGTCGTATGTGGAAATGACCTTCTTTTCAAGCGTTGGGTTGAATTCAATAGTCCATCGAACACAAGAAATCGTCTTCTTCTTTCTCAGCTTTGTTCTCGTCCTCTTTCAATCATCATATCGTCGACTCTTCCGTCGTCTCTGCCGATCCGGATCTCTGCCGTCTCTCTGTTTTCGTCTTGTCCTCTCATCGTCAGTGTCCATGGGCGGATACCCTTCTGGCGGCGCACTCATCCTATTGCGTCTTCTCGACGGCACTGCACCAACCAAGGGAGGCGACATCCCACCGCCGCCATTCGCCTGTGATGCATCCTGCCTCCTGGACCGTCTCTTCTCATGCTTGACATTCGGCGGCCTCAGGTCTGTCACGTAATCATACACCCTGGGGCTTTGCCTCAGCAAAACCAGCTCGGTCTCAGTCAACCTCGCCTCTGGGATTTTATCCTGTCCGGCTTTCTTACCCCCCTTTCCGCCTCTGTCCGTCCACACGACCATTAACCCATCGCCTCCATTACTCGGTACGTGCTCCGTGTCAAAAGTCCAGTCCCGTAACGCAGGCGGATCATAGACACCTCTATCCTGCACGCCTGGGCCCTGCAGTCCCAGCCTCGCACGCACACTCGCATGGATGTACTCGTTCGTATTCCTCAACCTCTTCTCCGTCGTCCTCCCGTCCGGATCGACGCGATAATACGCTCCCGGCGTTCTCGTCTTTGCGCCCGCAAGTGAATACAGACCCGTGAGGCTGTTGTAAATCTCTCCCCAGCCCCACCATCTCGTCTTCTGGCCCGTACTCTTGTAATACGCTTTGTTCTCGTCCCACTGCGCCATTAGAAAGTCCGGTCGAAAATCCAGAAATGGCTCCAACTTGCTCATCATCCACGCGAGTGTGATGTTTGCGAGTTGCTGGTCGTCGTACCCTCCGCCGACGTTACTGTGCACCCCGGGGAACCAGCACTGCACAAGGTTTGTCCGGTCGGCGTCCCGCTTCTCCCACACGGCTGGCGCAAACGGTCCCCTCCGCTCGTCCAGCGCGAGGGCCTGGAAAGCGTTCTCCACGCACGGGCTTAGCCTCGTGTCGTAGAAGTCGTACTTGTGCAGCCCCCTGGCCTGCAGCCCCAGAGACTCGAGCCACCCGATGCGCGGGATGCCCAAGCTGCCCACCGTGTCCCAGCAGCAGACGGCCTTGATGGGAACGTTGACGGTTGTGAGGCCTCGCCGGACCAGTTCGTGCACGTAATCCTTGTTAAACGGCCCTTTGTTGGGGAACGGCGTGTCCGGGAACCTGGAGACGTATCGCTGGTCCATCCGGTGTTCCCAGTCCTCAAAGATCTCGTTGAAGGACGGCATGCCCGCGCGCGTGAGCAGGCCCAAGTCGCCTATCATCCCGCCGACACTTCGGGCGGTGAAGGCGCCCCTGGAGAAGCCGATTAGGAAGATCTCGTCGCCCGGTCTCCAGTTGATGGCGATGTACGTGTAGGCTTCGCGCATGTTTTCCTTCAGGCCCATGCCCGTCGCTCCGCCGACCGCGCGCGACGCGGCGCCTCCGCTCGTGCCCACGCCAGCCTGGTAGTTGACGATCTGGGGGATGCCGTCGCGCGACGTGTCCTTGATCGCCCACCCGATGCGGCTCACGTTCGAGGGCGGCTGTTTCGTACCGTTGCGCAGGATCCCGTTGTCCGCGTCCAGCCACGTGCCGTCACACGTAACGATGAGTCGTTTGCGCGGGCCCTGTAGAGGTCGCTCGAGCGTACCTGGCATTGGACCTAGCGTCGACGATAGTGGAGGAGGTTCGAACCGCGATGGAGGTCTACTGGTGGGTGCGACGCTCATCGGAGGGGGCGGCGGAGGGTGTGCGAACACCGCAGAGCCATGTGCGCTGGTAGGGTACCCTGGCCCAGGAACCGGCGGTGCAAGGCCGCTGGCGACCGAGGATCGTGCGTTTGGAGGAGGGCGCGACATTACTGTCAGTGGATCAACCACCAAGTCCTCCCTTGGGTGATCGTGGTCTGTGCAGAGGATGGAGATGATGAGATCGTGCGCGCTAGGTCATGATACGCACAGCTGAGAGCGCTGTATACGATTCCCCGGCCGTCGTGTCTGTGCGTGATATTCTCTCTTCTTTTCCCTATGTTAAGCAATTGTCGAGCGCAGACAAGGCCGCCGTCGTCCAGAAATAGGCTTTTGCTGTGGCGCTTCCATCGACTCGGGCTGTTTACTGAGGGGTGCACAACATTGGCCGATCGAGGCGCGTAAAGAACATGCAGAAACGAAGACACAAGAAGGTGCAAGAGAAAAAGGGACGATGAGATTCATTGTAGGAAGCAGGATGGATTTGCGACACGAAGCACGAGTACAGGCGACTATTGATTGAATGGCTTCTTCCCAAGTCATCATCCCCAGCCTGCACCAGCCTGCGACTTCTAACATACTAGCAATCTATCGTCTGGTGACCCCCACCACGACCAGCACCAATCATCCTGTCGCAGGACGAGGCTAAGGTTCTACTCAAATCATAATCCCAGCCTCCTCGCAACCTCATCGTCCCTCTTGGTCTCTTTTCTGCTCGGCGCCGGACATGTCATCAACACCAAGAATCTGCACTGCGAAGTCGTTCATGCAGAGTGGCTGGTGGCGCTCTCGCTTAATCAACACTTTATGCATGCCCGAACTTTGTACTCCGTACCCGCGTCTGTCCGAAAGCCTTTTACTCCTGCTAATCTGAACACACTCGCCCTCAAAGCCCTTCCCACTGTGTCAGTGCCGATCGTCGCCCAAAGGCATCTTGCTGAGCGCGACTCCTGTTATCTTGTGGAATGTCGCTGCTAGGCTGGAGAATAAGTCATGTACAGGCCTATCGGACAGGGATTGAAATCTTCAAACCACTCCAGATGGCTGTCAGTGCTGCTCATGGTCAAGCTAATCAAGCCTGGTACACACAGCGACGAGCCGACGGTGTAAGCATTGCCCGGCTGCATGCTCACTGAACAGGGAAACCCGTGTGGATTTGCTTGAAGCGGTTGGTGGTTGAACGTGGTGGTACCGGCAATCGCCCCGTTCCCGAGGGCTGAAAGCGAGAAATGGAACGTGCCAAACCCGATCAATTTGAAGTAAGAGGTGCTGAGTTGATTCTGTTGAGGGAACAGAAATTGCCATGTGCACATCTGGCCCGAACGTTCCTCTGGAACATCAAAATTGAAAATGACAGACATATCATTGGCGCTGATATTCGGTGTAAGTGTATTCGGATAGGCCTTATCGGGATGACTTGACGAGATTGGGATCATCAGGTGAGGATAGTCAAAGCCAGGGAGTGGTGGTAGGGTCTCAGGACAAGCTAGACTCGACTCGACGTCTCGACTGGAGGCAGCGGTGTCGAGAGCTGGGAGAGCGACGATGCTCCTGCAGAGGCTTGTCAACAAGAGGAACACGAGATGCATGTTGGCGATACAGGAGATACGGGAACAGCAGCAACGGTTGACAAGTTCCAAGATCCAAGATCCAAGATCGCAGAGAGTGGGCGCCTGCTGAGGCAGCTTGGTATAAAAGAGTATGTCTTTGGAGCTCACAAGATCAGAAGAAGCAAGCCATGCTCAAATATGTCTTGCGAGGAAGGAACCACGCGGGATAAACAACAGCAAGAACAATGGTCATTCGTACCACCAGCAATGGCAGCGGCTGTGGACGATTTGGAAGCGCTGGCATCTGCATGGCAATGATCTATCCATGGCGCTGGATCTTTGACAGCATGGTCAGACAAAGTGCTTCATTTTCTTTTGCATTGTTCGCGATCCTGTCATTTTGCTGGCTCTGTCTGGGTCATCGGTACAATGAACCGAGAACATTGTCAATCAGAAGAACCTCCCTCGTGCAGTTCCCATCACATGCAATAGATCCATGAGACTCCGAACGCCAGCAGCCTATTTGCAATGTCAACTGTTCAAAATTTCACCCAGGGAAATCCCCTAGATTGTGCAGACTGATGTCCATCCGATCCCGAACACTCGGGCTTTCGTCCTCTTGCGAAGCTGCTTGCGCGGACCCTGCTACTGCATCGTGACCGAAAGAAACTGATCCGTTGACTTGAATGGCCGATTTTCGCGCCTCGCCGTTTGCCGCTGGCACCACCTTGCCTTGTTCTGTGACAACAGCTCCATTGGTGGCCATATTAATTTGATCCTCTCCTGCCACGCCCTGTGCGACAGCTCGTCGCGCCTCATCCATGACTTTAAGACGCCGGGTTTGTCCTCGGACTCTCTCCAGATGATCAAAATAGCTTTGGTTAACTGGAGTAATGTAGGAGCCACAGAAGACGCCGACCTCAAAGTCAGAAGGCGCATCGTGACTGTGAGCTTCTCTCGCCGCATCCACGCACGCAGCCTTCAAGTCGGCCAATGTTTGGAAAATGACACTGTCTGCCCCAATGTGCTTGGCGATCGCCTCGGCCCCGTGGTGGTTGTGTGCAACCAGCTCGAAAGGTGATGCCAAATCGATCCCGTAGATGTGGGCATGGGTGATGGGAGGTGCACAGCTGGCAAAGTGGACCTTTTTGGCGCCTGCTTCTCGTGCCATGGTTACAATTTCTCGACTCGTTGTACCTCGCACAATGCTGTCGTCCACTAAAAGAACATTGCGATCCTTGAACTCCATGGCCATCGCGTTCAATTTGCGCCTCACTCCTTTCTGCCTTGCTTTCTGCTCGGGCATGATGAAGGTGCGGAAAACGTATCTGTTCTTGACAAATCCTTGACAGTATTCCTTGTCTAACGCTTTGGCCACCACAGCTGCTGACGTGACTGACGTCTCTGGAATGGGGATGACCACGTCAATGTCAGCCAGATCTTGAGCACTAAGCACTCTTTTGACCTCCTCGGCGAGTCGGGATCCCATGTGCTGTCGGCTGCGGTGCACACTGATACCGTCCATGACTGAATCTGGTCGTGCAAAATACACATATTCAAATATGTCGGGAGCATATGATTTTCTCTCTTGCACTTGTCGAAAGTGAGGCGCATGGCCCTTCTGGACGATGACGGCCTCGCCGGGGAGGACATCCCGGATAACATCAAATCCCAGTTGAACAAGGGCAACCGACTCGGAAGCCATCATGTAGTCTTTTCCATGACCGTCCACTGAATCTCTCGAGCCAATTACCAACGGTCGAATGCCATAAGAATCGCGGAAGCCAATCAGTCCATAGCCAGCGATCATGGCCGTACACGCCCAGCCTCCTTGACATTTATCATACATCCTGCTCAATGCTGCAAAAACATCGTCATTATTTACTCGTGCCTTTCCGGTCTCGTTGAGTTCGTTAGCGAATATGTTCAACATCAACTCGCTGTCGCTGTCAGTGTTGATGTGCCTATAAGCCTCCCTATCGAGATATCTTTTCAGCTCCGGGGCGTTGATAAGGTTGCCGTTGTGTGCCAGGCAGAGGCCGTACGGGCTGTTGACGTAGAACGGCTGAGCCTCTGCGTTTGCGCTGCTTCCTGCGGTGGGGTATCTCAGGTGCCCTAGGCCCATGAACCCTGGGAGGTCAATGACTCTTGAACCATCGTGGAAGACCTTTGCCGCCATTCCATTTCCCTTGCACTGATATATTCTTCCACCCGATGCGCAGGTAGCGATTCCGCAAGCATCTTGACCACGGTGTTGAAGGAGGTATAGGGCTTCGTGTAAGTCGACTGCGGCGGATGTCGACGCCGAATTGGCGAGGATTAACGCAAGAATGCCACACATGTTCAATGAAAACTAGGACGACTATAACACAGTCAGTTCGGCCCGTGTAAGGATTTTGATATGCATGTGCGCCGCAAATGCCAGATCAGTCCAAAATGGTTGTTCCACAAAAATGTTCAGTAGTCTAACATCTAAAAAATAAAATGGGATCATCCCATAGGCAAGGAGGGAAGAGAGGGTGAGAGACGCGCACGTACTTATAGCATGTCAAAAGGTAAAACAAATCGTGGGAGTAACTGCCAACAGCGATCACGGAAAGACTGTTCCCTTAGTCTGGACTCGAGACTCGGTGCGCTTTGGACCGTGATCAGTAAAGGTCGTCTAAGAGGAAGCGCAGAGGCCTTTTGGAATATGGTGCTGCAATCCGCTGGTGTATGAGGTCTCGGGGAGGCGCAGAGACATCATGTTGAAAAGATTAGAGGAGGGTAAGTTCTTGAACCTTGCACTGGGGCGTCTTCTGGAGCAGAGCCGGCGACCAGACGACGACGGACGGCGGCAGTGGTTGACTATCCGCAATTCTCTGCTTGTCAGTGGTTGGCGAGAATTTTCTGTCAAAACACCAGGCGAAAATCTTTAACCCCACTGTCGCTATCGCTTATCGGCGTCTTCACCCGTCTCGGAGAGTGCAAGGAAGGTAATCCGAGATTCCGTCGGATTATTGTATTTCCGATTAAAGGGGCTGCCTCAGCCTTGTAGACCAACAACACCTCAATGCTTCGGCGGTATAGCTGCGTCTACACAGGTGGGCCTACAAAGCAGCTTGGATTGCAACATACTTCTGAAACATGTTTGCTGTACTGGACATCGGTGCCTCTTGTTTGCTTTGTGTCTCTGGTCGGGAGATCCGGGAATTCATCCAGCTTGACTTAGATCTACCAGACGAGAACAAATGTCATTTTCGTGTTACAAGGAACAGAGGAAATACTGCATGGGCTTCATGGTACAATGCATCTTTGTTATCGAACTGTCTGAGGGAGTTCTTAGCAAATTCAAGGAATGAGAGGCTTGTACATGTCTTGACACACAACCTCTGTCGATTGCCAGATACTGGCCAGGCGCAAGCCTAAGGCAATCGCGGGCATGCAAAGACAGATAGTACAGCACTACCATGCAGATTTCACTGTAACAATACCTGTTCCTCTCCTCTTCACGCAGGAATTTGCTTTGTCAATGTGGCGCGTCCATGCTCACTCGTTGAAATTGTTTGGCAGTCTCTCGCAGGATTTCTTTGATGCAATCGTCCCCTCCCGCTGAACTTCCTGACCTGGTGACATCTCTGTCTGTTTCATGGTCCAAGATTATTGTGTTCAGCGTGGGTTACTGTGCTCGTTGGCCCATACTGTCAGCATCACAAGGCCGTTGTATGAGCTGGACCTCCAACCCCCCTTCTTTTGGCTTGAGGTAGACAACTGACTTGGACAGGGTTTTCCATATCGGTCGAACGCATAGGCACTCCTCTCCGCATATCACATCCAGATACTTTTCGCAGAAAAGCGTGAGAAGGCCCTCGTGACCACACAAACCAACGGTACATCTTTTGCGTGATATCCAGCCCTCACTTGCCTGCAAAGGCAGCATATCTCAGCACGCGAAGATTCATCAATTTTCTGCCACTGACCTGAGTATTCAGATTTCGTTGAACATTTTGAGAAGAACAAAACACACCCTTCCGAACAACTCCACACAAAAGCATATCCATTGGGCCCTTTGCCGCGGACTTACGGTATACCCTTCTGCATCTCAGGTCGAGTTGTGAAGGAGGGCCTCCGAGCTCCTGACGGTCGACGAAGAAGATAATAAACAGGGAGCAAAACCAACAATGTCTCATCAAATAGTTGACCTCACAGAGGATGAGCCTGATGATGGGGCAGGTTTTGGGGGTGCCGGTGATACAGAAGAAACCCCATACATTATTGAAGACGACAGCAATGATTTTGAGAAGGTTCTGGTCGTGGATAGGGACGTCAGACTCCAGGATATTGGATTTCATTCCTGGAATGTCCAGCTGCGTGATGATAGCTTCCTCAGAATAACTTCACTTGGGACCGTCAACAACCGTCTTATCTACGTGCTTGGGAGGCGTCTGGTGTTGCCAAATAACGCCGTCAAGAGCGAGATGATGATTTCTGGAGAGGGAGGAGAGCTGGTTTGGGTGACACGGCTAGATGCGCAAAACAGAGAACAAGGTCTCGAAGTCCGATGCAGCCCTCAGGAGATCGACAGGTTCTGCGACATTCTCTTTACAAACTTGCCAGAAAGCGTCATCAGAGAACACCGCAGCAAGTCCAATTCTGACTATTTCTTCTGTCGCTATAGAAGAGCTGTTGCACTGGGTGTAAATGAAGACGGCGGGCGCCTCAACAAGCAGAAAAGCGGAATGCTCCAAGTCATCAGTCCAGAGCAAGCAGATGAGACTGAAACCAGGCTCCATGCTTGGCCCTCTCTCCGAGCAGAAGCCTCTGCGATTCGTACATCATTCCGAGGAAAGAGTGACATTGGACCAACAGGAACGAATTCCGACAGTTATGTCTTCGCCGACTTCTTCAGCGGTGCTGGTGGGGCGTCTCAGGGCGCAGTTGACGCAGGTCTGTCGCCCCTTCTTGCTCTCGACCACGATTGCCCTGCGGCGAACACCTATGCAGAGAACTTTGCCCTACGTGGTACAGTCATATTCAACATGGGGGTCACCGAGTTCCTGAGACTCAGCAAAGAATATGCGTCTGGGGAAGGAGCATCAACACTGATCGACATTGCACATATGAGCCCACCATGCCAGCCATTTTCTCCAGCGAACACCACGCCAAATCAGACGATGAACGAGCTAAATGAAGCAACGTTCATCACAGTCCGAGATCTGCTTGAGGCTTTCAGGCCACGGATTGTGACCCTAGAGGAAACAGACGGGCTTCTCAACAACAAACACATAGTGTGGTTCCGGTGGCTGCTCCAAACATTCAAGATGCTGGGTTACAGCGTTGTGTGGAGATCTGTCGAGATGGTCTACTATGGAGTAGCACAATCAAGGACGAGGTTGATTCTGATCGCTGCAGGGTACGTACCACTGAAATACGCTGGGGGAAGACCTTGGTTCTAACGTAATCACCTAGTCCCGGCGAAAGACTTCCTCCATTTCCTGACCCTACCCATAATGGACCTGGTTTGCAACCCAGACCCAGCATTTACCAGGCTATTGGACATATCACATTGCCGCCTGACCAGCACCTAGGTCCTGTGAATGGCTTTGCAGTACGAAAGCGCCCGTTGCCTTGGAATGGACTTGCTGGGACAGTAACGACAAACGGCGGCAGCAATAACTACCACCCAGATGGTTGGAGAAAATACACTGTGACCGAGTTGGCAGCGCTGCAGACCTTTCCACCGTCCTTCCGATTGCATGGCCGGGCAGTGACACGTTGGAGAAAGCAGATTGGGAACGCTGTTCCTCCAGCATTCTCCCGTGTCTTGTTCAAGTCAATAAAGGAGTGGCTTTGGGATGTCGACCAGGCGGAAATCGGACGAGCTGCAGGTTCAGGAGGCTGAGAATCGTGGACTGCAAAATAACAGTTCTATTTTTGTCTTGTGCCGTACGCACTCACATCTACAATTGACAGCGTGGTGCTATTGTTGTTGGAAGGTGGCCAAGTGGAATCAAAGAGCCAGACAGAGAAGAACAGATCCAGCCTTCTTCCTTGTCCAGACCTGTTGTGGCGGTATTAGACTACACAATTGAGCGTGCGTATGCATAATCTGTAGATCCTGGCATTGTCGTGTGGTCGTCCTTCATGCACAGACATCCCCGACATACCTGAGAACGCTGTGCCTGTCTTGATATGGTATCAAGAACGCACCAGGACGCAGCATGGGGCCTGAAAGGTCGATGTCCTGGGCGCTATCAATGTCGACCGTCATCAACAATGAATTTTTGAGAACGCTAACGTTGCGTCAGGCGATGACAGCAATAGCAGTACCATTGATAAGTCTGGATGGAATTTCGGATCAATCGCCAATAGTCAACGAATGTTCCCAAAGGTCGCTATCGTGATCCGTTGCCTTGCTGATGATGGTTCCTCGTACAACCACTCCATCATTATGTCGCGTGTCCATGTCTGTGCTTGGATGCTTTTTTCGTCATTGCTGTCATCACAGTGTACAAGTGTAGGGAGCTGCAGCTCATGTGTTAACCAAGGTGCTATCTAGGACATCTTTCCATTGATGCCATCTTCTTTCGGCAAAACCAGCAATTTTGGCGAGTTGTTCAACATCGATAGCGGAGCCGCCGTTCTTCTCAACACGCACTGTCGACAGTGCCTTTTCTTTCCCGCGAACATCCACGATGATAGTTCCAGTCTCTTCACATACTTCCTCCTCGAAACCGTCCATATCCATAAGAATCCAGTAGTCACCGCCGCCGCCATTTGCGTTGAGTAATCGCTCTTCTGGAAGATACACCCCGAAGCTGCTCGATACCGGCATGCCTCTCAGTTTCAGCTTACGCGCGTCGCTAATATCTGCTGAACACAGTATCCGTTCCGAATCCGGGTCCCACCACGTCCGTGGAAGTTTAACGTCCTTGAGAGCTGCATACAGCGCTAGCCATGCTGCATCGAAAATCGAGCCCCCATGACTGATGCACATCATGTCAATATACAACGTCCAGTAGGCTTTCAGCTGTGGGTCGCCGGTTATGCCAAGTTCAATATCTTGGGTTTCGGTAGGTGGGGTGTAAGATATCTCAAGGTCAGCCGTCCTGACCAGTTGCGAGGAGTAGAGTGTCGACAAGAGACGTTGAGATATGGATTGGGCCTCCACGGAAGGGGGAGCATTGACGGGATGCTTTGGCGTGCAGCCAGTCCCCAGTTCAATATTGGGGACCACCAGATTGTAAAGTCGAAGAGCAGGATATTCCTCTTCTTCATATTTGTCTTGGTAGCGAACATCTTGTACCACTGGAGCCGTTGGGTTGTATGACGAGGAGGTTTTGGTTACTCTGAAATTAGGAATTTCACTGACTGGAAGGATTTCGGCCCTGACACCACATACGATTGTTGTGGCTCCGATCTTGACCAAGGAAGACCCATTGCAATGGGTCAGTGAGCCTACATTGAGCTGGATCGGCCGAGGTTCTGAAGGGGCCCGATTGGAGGGACGCTTCGGAGGATTCTGTCTCAAATGCGCGTAGAGGAGGGCGTTGGGTGAGATCAGTGGCATCGCTGAGGCAGGTATGGAGGGTCCCGAGCTCGGCGGAGAGATGGCGGAGGGCATGTCTGCCGGTCTGAGAACCAATAGTCACTCACGTCATCATTGATATCAGCATTCGTTGCGGTGTCGCAGGTGTTTTGCGTTGTGGGAATCACGATCAAAAAATGCGAGTCCTTAAGCCAAAAGTTTGGACGTGGCGCACTCGTCGCATATGCAAATATTCTGCCGGCAATTGACGTAGGTGGTGAGCAGGTCTTGGCGCCTGGGTACATTCCGCTGTTGTCCTGTTCTCACTTCGATGGCATCGAATTAGTTCGGATTCTTTCCCGTGTTACGGAGCACAGATACGACGGTCTCTACCACGTCTTCAGAGCCAGGTAAGGCGACTGCTGGACCCACGAAGCGTCAACTACCCTTCAAAGCCAAGTGCGGCTGTCCTCCATCTCAGTACATCACTCTTACCCAAGGTTGACCGGGACCATCCCGGCACAGGAGGGATCCCTATTGGGCATCTCTTCAATTCGCCGTAGTCCCGGAATCGTCCCGCAAGTTGGAGAGTGTTTGGGCGAGAGATGAGGCGGGGATGCCCAATCACTGTCCAGTGACGGAGCTCGGCACCATGCAAAGGTGCTGGTAAAGAGACAGACAACGGTGCCGTAAGTAAGTCCCGACCTTTTATCTCGTTGATGAATGAAAACAACTCGGCTGCTCGTTGGTGCGGATAGTCCGAAATCCAAGTATAAATGTTACCAGCGTCTGCCGCGAGCCATCTCACCTCTTGGGTTCACAGCCAGTTCAGCACATAGGAGCGAGCGAGACACGCTGTGCACAAAATGACTGAGAATGTTGACGTACTTATCTGCGGATCCGGCTCTGCTGGTCTTTGTGCTGCGTTATGGTTGTCGATCTATGGTATCAAGTCCGTGAAGATATTGGAGCGACGGTCTGGACCCATGACCATGGGTCAAGCTGACGGGGTGCAATGTCGAACTGTCGAGGTTTTTGAGAGTTTCGGTATTGCCGAGGAGCTTCTCCGAGAAGCATATCATGTGCTCGAGGTGGCGTTCTGGTCCCCAGATGGCAAGGGTGGGCTCCATCGTAAGGGACGGACGGCAGATACCCAGCCCGGCCTCAGTCATCAGCCACACGTCATCTTGAACCAGGCGAGAATTAACGGCCTGCTGCTGGAAGCAATGCGGAAAGCGAACGGCCAGGAGGTTGACTATGGGTACACTGTCAAGACCGTTGAGGTGGACTCCGAACTGGCCAAAGTCCCCGATTCATATTGCACTACCGTGGTGGCAGAGAAAGATGGCAAGGAGGAAGTTTTCAAAGCGAAGTATGTTCTGGTAAGTATCTCTATACTCGGCTCGTGTCTTCTCTGATGGCAATGATATAGGGTTGCGATGGCGCCCACAGCATGGTACGCAGGTCTCTCGGGTATCGAATGATTGGCGATACAACAGATGCTGTTTGGGGCGTCATGGACATATATCCTCGAACAGATTTTCCAGACATCCGACGAAAGTCCACTGTCCATTCGGAGTCCGGTATGATTTTAATTATCCCCCGGGAGGGAGGGTCGTTGGTGCGCTTCTACATTGAATTTCCAGCGGGCACAAACGTCAAAGAAGTGACGCTCGAAGACCTACACAGGAAGGCACAGCAAGTCTTCAGCCCGTTCTCCATGGAATTCTCAGAGACATACTGGTGGTCATGTTATTGTATAGGTCAGCGACTCGCGGACCATTTTACCAAGGACAACCGGGTCTTTCTCACAGGCGACGCTTTTCACACACATTCACCCAAGGCCGGACAAGGGATGAATGTCAGTTTACAAGACGGATACAACATCGGCTGGAAGTTGGGTATGATTTTACAAGGGAAAGCTACCTCCGAGCTGCTGACGACGTATAATCTCGAACGCGGTAAAACTGCTGCCGACCTGATCGACTTCGACAGGTGGTTCACCAAGCTATTCGCTCTGAAGGAAGCCGGTCAGGAAAGCAAAATGACGCCAGAACAATTCCGACAAGCCTTTATCAAGTCTGGCCGGTATACTGCAGGCTTGACTGCCAAATACGAGGACTCTAGCGTCACGTCTGCAGCGGGAAGCAGGCAGAGCCTAGCCGAGAATGTAGTTGTTGGTATGAGGTTCCCTAATGCGCAGGTCGTGCGGTTCTGTGATGCGAAAGCAATGCCGTTGGTACAAGCACTCAAGGCAGACGGCCGATGGCGGGTGATGTTGTTTGCAGGAAAGATTGGACAGGCCGAAACTCTTGCGAGATTGAGAAAGGTATTTGCATGCCAAAGCAGTCCCTCTGGGAAAGCCTCTGACATTACTCCCAGGTTGCCGAGTATCTAGAGTCCTCTACAGGTCCAGTCCGTGAATATACTTCACCATCGGCGGACATCGACAGCTTCATCGAGCCAATCGTGGTCTTCAGCGGCACACGAGTAGAGATGGAACAGGAAGAGATTCCGGACTATTTCTGGCCAGTCTCTGGCAAGTGGAAATTGAGAGGTAAGAGATATGATCCGTAACAATCTGAAATGTGAAAGACTGATGACAACGCAGATTTACACAAGACTTTCGTCGACGACGAAAGCTATAACTCGGGACACGGCCACGCGTACGAGAAATACGGCATCGACCCAGATATCGGTGCCACCATCATTGTTCGACCGGATCAATGTATGTTGCACCTCTTTTTAGGTATATGCTGACTGTAACATCTCTAACGTGCCTTAGACGTCTCCAAAGTCACATCTATCGACGATGTCGAAGGTATAGGACACCTCTTCGATGCGTTTTGCGTCTCACGGACCGAGAACGGGATCCGGTGAGCCTCCTAGTTTTACAATAATCAATAATGGACCCAGATGTACTCAACCACGGGCCGTCGGGGACTTGGTTTCAGCTATGACGCCACCACAGAAGACCTCCAACAGCCAGCATGTTCACTGCAGTATGCTGCCCGACGACCCAAGCCGCAGTGTATAGATACTTGGGCGAGAAGACGGTCCAAATGAACAAATGCTCCCTGAGCACCATGCAAGCAACCATGACCGCCAAAGTGTGCACACACGCAAAAGTGGCCATGGTCGTCATCATCATTCCAATACCTCCCTCGCGAAGTTGTGATGCACTATAAAGCTGACACACCGCGAAGGCCCACCACACTGACCCAGCCCAATTGCTCACAAACGTGAGCGCGCCCACAGCCACGATATTGTATCCGCTGACTCCGTTGTAGGCGTTTGACAAATCGATCGTGGCTATAGAATTTGTGCCTCCGAACGTGAAGAATGAGGCATACTGCGCGAGGAGTGCAAGGATAGATATCTCGCTCACACTGTACTGTCGTCCACGTCTCAACAAGGATACTTGCATGCTGAAGAAAAGGTATAGCGGTACGTAGACGGTACGTGACTGCGTTACCAGGAACAGTGAGAGTACATCTTGAGCTGCGTCGAGGAACCCTCGGAGGTTTTCTACTCCCTGCCACGGCGCTTCATAGTAGATGGAACAGCCCAGGAGGTGCACCAGGCCTAGAAAGACGATCCGCGCCAGACTGACCAGCGGGTATCGGGATACGAAGACCACGAGTGGATTCAGAACTGGGAAAGAGCTGAGCAATTCCGGTGCGTCGGCCGCGGTGAAGGCAATCTTGAATAAGAACGCCGACATCGAGATGAGGACGGGGAGAAGACTCATTTGTCGAGTTTCCATCCACTTGACGACGCGACGAGATAAGTTCCGGGCTAGGTGGGCGAACGTGAGGATCACGAGAATCCACAGGACCCAAGAGTTCGGGACCAGGAGCTCGGTGAGCAGATCGGGCTCGCCGGCGTATTTCTGGCCTGTCTGACGCCAGCGTCTAGTAGCGAGGAGGAACATGAAAGCAAGAGCCGTCCCGGTTGGCCCCCCAAGAATAGAAGGCGATGAAGAGTACCGTGCGTCTTTGCAGAAGAGGACGACGAGCCAGGCACTGAAAATCCAGTACCAAAACTGGTGCTCCTCTTCGACGTAGCTACTGGCGAACATGGTAATGGTGTACATTAGCATCGTGAACCCCAACATTACGCCGTCGACGCCAGCGCGCAACAGGCTCGGGATGAAGCTGGGGAGACATAGCCCTAATGCGAGTGTTGCGAGGGCAATGCCCGCTTGCATCATTGTGAGGTCGTAGTTGCTCGCTGTTCCGCTGAGGAGCGTTTGGGCCTTGTATAGAAACGTCGTCAGACTGGGTATCGAGGTTGAGGGTGCTGTCCGATCCGAATGCGCTATTTCGACCTGGTACCATAGACATGCTAGAACCGAGGCGTCGTCTCCACTGGCCGTTGAGCAGTCAGGAGGTGCTTGGGCAAAGGCTGCCGGGAAAGTAGCTTGAGCTATCCTGTGGATCTGTTCGGCGTTCTCGTAGAGAAGATTGTATCGATCGCTTTCTACTGTCCAGAGCTCGAGAAGACGTGGGATGGCCACGCCAAGATTGTTTTTTGGAATTGGAAACCCCAACAGTGCTGCAAGCGTCGGGACGATGTCGGATTGCTCGACCTCGTCATAGTATTTGTAGTCGTGTGCATCGTGGACCGGGCTGTGTTGGCCTTCGAAAGCTGATTTGAACCTGGGAGAGATGAACGTCAGGGCGGTAGAAACTTCTCCTGGAGAAGACGCGCCGTGGTTCCCGCCCTCGTTCATCCCGTGGTCCCCTAAAAGTATCAGGAGGCACGACTTCATATGTTCCTGACTCTCCATGGCAGTGTAGATTTCGTGGACGATCGTGTCCATTTCCGCTTGTTTAGCTGGCATGTTGGGACCTTTGGGCCCCGTCTTGTGGCCTATGTGGTCGAGGCCGAGGAAGTGCAGGGTCATGGCTGACCAGTCATCATTCCGGAGCTCGGAAGGAACGTGTCTCGTGACGTTGTTGTCGACTTCGGTGAAGTCGGAGACGAAGAAGCTCGTGGTGCCGTCTGCGCGGTGGAAGAAGTTTGGGAATAGCCGGAGCCAGGTATCGTCCCCATACATGACGAGGTTTCTACCCTTTGCTCGCATCTGGGCGAGCCAAGAGTCCTGATCTCTCAGCGTTGAGGTCGTATCGGACTCGGCGAAGTTTAGGACCAGATCGACGAAGCTGGGTACTGATCCGGTGGTGATGGCCTTGACCCTGGGCATCGTGATGGTGGGAGCACTCGCATGGCCTGTGAATGGCAGTGCGGCGCCAGATCTGATCAGGCTTTGTGTGAACGCAAAATGTGATGCATTGCCGTAAACGAAATCGCTTCGTAGGGCGTCAACCACCATGAACACGACTCGATCGAAAGGAGCTGGTCTTGGCTGGTGGCCTTCAGACCACGTTGCAAGGCCGGTCAAGAAGGCTTTATGCGGAAAAAATCCTTTAGCAAATATGAGTAGTGATGTTATAAGGAGGACGTTCGCCAGATATAACGACGCCCTTCGGTAATGGACACCCGAGGCCATGGTGATCTGGGCGGGAATAGGCCCCGTTCTCCTCTCCTGACAGCACTTCCCTGCTTTGATAATGAAGTCTGGCCCATTGGCTCTAAAAGGTTATCATGGCATCCCCAGGATAAGGTTCTTCTGAAAGAAGTGTAAGTGCGAAAGTCTTAACACTGGATCAAGACGACAAAAGCAACACGATAATGAAACATGTGTCCTCCGTACATGTATGCATCTATCTAAATGCAAAAGACCCTCGGGAGATTTGATGCCAAGGTGAAAGCGCTTGAGATACCACTTGCGTCGCCCTAGAAGATACGGTGCAGTAGAGTTGCAATCAACTTCCCGCTCATCTTCGGTTTGCGGTGTTCTTTTCTCTTTCCGCTTTCCTCTTTCCTCTTTTCTCTTTTCTCTCTTTCATCAGCGCAAGGCTACAAAAAGAACACCAAATTGAGTCATCAAAGACAACGCTCAGTTGACCTAACCAACTTTCAAAATGGTAAAAAAAACAAAAACGATCAACAGTCAGGATTCGCTGCTCGTCACCGACGCAACTACTAACTGACCGGCTTGTGGCTTAAGTACGGCTGAGCGGACGGGAAGCCCTGTTGTTCCACAACCTATGGTCGATTGCGAAAGCAATTCCAACTTTTCATTATATGAACTGTGGTATTTTTGGATATTTGACCATGGTTAATCAATAATCATAATTCTCAATCTGCTATCCACTCGCCTTTGTCTGCTCGACGAATGGTCTGCCCGCCCACGGATTGGGATTGGTTCTTCATCGCTGTCGGGTAGTGTAAGGACTGAAGGATTTCCTTCTCCCTGCTCGACGAACGGCCTGACCGTAATCGGACCCGAGACCATCTCCTCTTGGGTATTGAAGACGAAGACGGTTTGAGAGGAGTGATGTTTTTGTCCTTTGAAAGCCCGGATACTCCGACTCTCATGTCTGTGCCGCTCATAATTTTGCTAGGCTTGCATTGCAACACTGACTGTCGTCAACACCCAACGGTCATTACGTTTGATTAGGCTTACTTGGCCTTTCCCTTCATTCATTTCAAGATGCAAGTTTGGGCCATGCGACTGGCGTAGGTTTTAGTTCTTTCGAAACACATCTTGAGTTGGATACCCTCGCTTGAATTTGCTTCAACGTAATGATCATCGTACAGAGCAACCAATACTTGTGCTATCTTGTCATATGACCATATCTTGGCCTTTGTCCTAAGTGTGGTCATTGCGTAGAGCTCGGTTTGCCATGCGTGCCGTTGGAGATATTCTTGACAAGCTTGAAGGGCTTGATCTTCGCATTCTTTCTGCTCACTCATTGACTCGCCCCTTTTTGCTTCGTGCCAGAGGAGAACCGCGATTCTGTTTTCGTTTCCTTGTTCGACATAGCGTATACCATGGTCGACGATCCAGTACTCTTCTTCGAATGCGTGCTTGCTCAGGAGATACCGCCAGAATGAGAGAACCTCCCACTCTGACGCGTCCTCCATCTGGGCAACGTCCCACAGGGCTCTCAATGTATGCCTGGGTCTATTGTTCGAATCGACAAGAAGAGACATGGTGTCAGTCAAAAACCCAACAGGTGTCATAAGAAGTCGAAAGAGGCCGAGGCGCAGAATAGATTATATCCTCATAACACTGCCAACTTACCCTGGTTATGTACCAGTAGTATTCCTAGGACCCTTCGATCCAATAGACTCCAGACACGTTACGGGGAGGACAACCCAACCCCTCTTTTTCCACGCGTTTGTGAGATGCTCTTCGTCTATCCCTTGTCGACTCATTCCTTCCTCCCCCTCCGTGAGGCTCACATATCTTTCTATGGACTAGCACTACTTGACAACGTAGATGATTCTGCCTGGGACTTTTTGCGGATGGTATGTTCTCGTGAGAATGCACATTATGTTCCGAGACAGAAAGTTAAAATCCGTCATGAAGGCGTTCATCTCTATTTGCGACAGCTACCCGATGAGACCACTGTTGAGTCACATGTAAGTCGCAGTCCAGTTGTATTTACACCGGCTGATCTCGACGTTGGCCTTAATGACAGTTAGAAGAGACATCCGGATAATGCGCAACGCATGCGACACTCTCCCTAGACCCAAGGCTTGTGTGGCTCTATCATCTTGCTCAGGAAAGGTCTCCACAATGACTTTCCACGGCTTGATTGACTTGATGTTCTCCATTTGGACCTTTTTGATTACCGAAACAAAATACTTATAAACCAGTTCCACGACCGGCAAGAAAGGCCCGTGTCTCAGAGGACCATACGGACCGATGCCAGTAAAATATTAGCGACTGGGCAATTGTTTTCATATCAGCATCCTGTACGTTCAAGAGCGGTTGTGTGCTCTCACTTTCAGGTATCGCTATCCCCATGTAAGAGAGAGGCTTCCCCTTGAACAGATCTTGAACATTTATACCATTGGCTATGATGGGAAATCGTGATACCCAAGTGGTGTCGAAGCTGGACAAAACTAATATTAGCACTGTTCTGCCAGGCAAAAAGCAAGAATCTCGGGTTATTCTCAGCCTGAAGCACAGATTATTACATCCACTTCATGTTCAACTTCATCGGAGTCAAGGAACCCCTTTTCCGTTACACCTTGTATTTCTTTTGTAAGTACGCGAACCTGAGGAAGAGTCAAGGCCTCGAGGAACCCATTGCCAGGCTGATGATATACGCTTAGCCTAGGTAGTTACAAGTTCAAAACTGGGCGGGAAAACTTACTGTTGGGCGTCGACATCCAACCCCAAATTCCGTCAGCACAATTGCCTTAATGAGGTCTTCTCGTCCTGAAAGCCGCTCTTTCATCTGGTTCGTAGAGAACTATCCAGCGCAGGCCGTTAATTGAGATCAGAGTCATTGCCTGTCGTGCTTGTCTTGCTTGTCTTGCTTCTGGTGTGTTGCTTCTGGTGTGTTGCTTCTGGTGTGTTGCTGAATCTCTGGTTGAGTTCGTCTTCAATCATCTTACAGCATTCCAGATACTCGTCTGGATGCTCTCGAAATCGCCTTTTCTATCTTTCAGAATCTAGATTCATTTCACGTCAGATTCGGAAAATCTCGGTTAACCGTCCTCAGGCGAGAAAACTTACATGGAAAGTTTTCCCCGTTCTCACCGGCGTGGTTTTGTGCAAAACCTGCCGTGATCCAAGTAGGAGACCTGACCCACGTGTATAGTTTGTCCATGACGCGAGCAATGTTCGCGGTAAGCTGAATGCCACTGCTCCCGGTTCCGATTACAGCGACTCTCTTCCCCTCAAGTTCGAAGCTCCGGTCATAGACTACCTTTGAACTGGTGTAAATCCTTAGTATCAGGCCATTTCCAGTCACTAGGCCAAGGGTTAGCAGCACTTTGGGATTTTTCAAATAGGTATCTTACTTGAGAAGACCACCGCCGCTCACAAAGCACGGTCGACCGGCGGGATGGTTTATTTCAAAACATAACTCGTCCATCGCCTGAATGTTGACAATGGCACCCACATGGTCATCATCGTCTTCATCCTCAATCTTCTGCCGTTACTAACGACAGCATCAACGCCCGCTCCCTTCCTCGCCTTGATTCCCTTCCAACCCTTGAACAAACGTCAAGCGCAATCCTCCATCTACCAGATTCTCCCCGACATAGGCACGAGCATCGACGAGTCGACCTGCGGCTCTGGCGTTGTCCTCACCTCTGCAAACTGTATCCGCTGTCTTGATGGCGTTACTCCTTGCCAAAGCATCCTCCATTCCTGTCACTGCTCGGGGAGCAGTTGTGCCTGTGTGGAAAAGTATAACCTTGTAAGCTACCCGCCTCCATGCTCACGCCACGTATCGATTGAGATCCGATCTTGAACAAGCCATGGATATTCCCATCGCTGCAGAGGTAAATGCATCACGTCGCTGACGTTGCGCAGAGTGCTGATTGCGCCTCTCAGGGCCTGGCAAGCTGCGGCTCCGAATGCATGCCACAAGCCCAAGCCTACTGTAATTCGGACTCATACTGTCCGACAGGATATGAGTTGTTGTCCCGCTGACTCTTCTGGAAGTACAACGATCTCTTCAGGAGCGACTCCTGCAAGCTCTTCTGAGGGTCCAACATCTCCCACCCACTGGAGGCCCGGCTACTACTAGTGCCGGGACTGGTTCGTCATCGCAAACTGGGAATACCGGACGCAAGCACGTACGGTTGTTCGTCGAGCTTGGTATGGGCTTGCTTTGGTGGCTGTTGTGAAACCCGGCATTTTAGGGACTTAGACGCTGGGATCTGAGGTGTCTGCGAAAGCAAAAGATGAAAGGAAGTAATTGACGTTGGGCTCAGGATAAAATATCGACCGACTCGGCTGAAGCTCAATCCAATTTGGATCTGGCTTTGATTGCCACGGTTGACTTCATATAGAGAATACAACGGCGCATGCGTTTCTGCCCCATTTTCCTGTGATGAAAGTACACCCCTTCCGGAAGACGGCGGAGTCAGCAACAAAAGCGAATCTACACAGGACGTTGATAAGGAAAAGAGAACTTCAATGGCTGTGCCGATTGTCGTTTCTTGGCGAACTGCAGTGCTCCTTCCGGCAATGGCACTCTGTAGCTTAGTTTGTGTTACAGATGAGCCAGATATTGCTGATACTGATATGACCTTGACGGCCGAACAGGCACAAGGTCACCTTGTAATTTGGTCCACCTCTTTATTGTCGAAGCGAAGAGACCGAACTTTGAGCCCGGGCCGTGAGGAGGGCAGCATTTCCATCTCGCGCCCTTCCCTCACGGAGCAGTGCATGGCTCTAGATTCCCCTTTCTTATCGACTGCCGCAGCCAGTATACTCTACTCTTGGGCTTTTTGTTAGTGGCGCTGTAATCCAAAGGGCCTTCAAAGGCCTGATGACCTTCAGATATCGCTTGCGAACCGAATACGAGACTTTATTTTCTATTATCATGCACTAATTGGACCGCCGCCCACCACTCAAGCAACCACCAATTTGGCTAAGCAATACCAAGCATACGAAGCTCGTTGCCATATGCTTAGTCTCCCCTTTGGGCCAGCCCCGTCCTACATAGCTTCTCAAAAAGTGAGCTTAGTTTCATCCTTGCCAGAGTTTCCGATCCTGTCAGTGGTGAGGAACTCGACACCAAAGGCCACACCTGGTACCAGCTGAACATTACGTTTTTCAGCTGGGAATCTCTTCCTCCTTTCCTGGAGCACAAGACCATTGAAATTTCAGGTTCCTAACTTTCGGCAATGCTGCACCTCCTTTCATAAATATCGCAGCTCTCTGTGAGAATGCTTCATACTTGTAACAGAAGACCAGTCGGACAGTCTTTCCTGTGTGAATATTGTGTCCATGGCAACGGCTCCCATTACGTCAGAGGCTCCGGTACCTCTAACTACGGTCTTCACTCCACCGGCATCATGCGCTCCAACATCTTTTGTGTTATATGAAGGCGATCTTGCAATCTATCCTGACCAAAGCCAATTTACTGGCCCATTACGAGAAGAATGCTTCCCATCCGGGTTTCACACGGCCAGTGCATTCTCTCCTGCCCCATCATCATGCCCCGTGGGCTATAGTGTTGCCTGCGAGACAACTTTTGGACAGGTTACAAGCGCTGTGTGCTGCCCAAGGTGTGTCACTCTATAAGAGCGAGATGCTTGAAATACTATTTCGTGCTAATATAAGATCACTCAAGTGGATGGCCCTGCACAAATGTCCCCTGGTCAAGTCTTGCGACATCTGGATGCCCATGTGGGAAGTCTTCGTATGGGTTGTTCATCTACACCGGCTGGTTTCAAGATGATATCGACTCGCCAGTATTCACAACCACTAATTTCGGCACGACCACGGTTTGGAGCATAGGAATGGGCATCTTCATAGACTGGCAAACTTCTGATTTGCCAGTAGAGACAAAGCATGCAACGCTCTCGTCAGCCACTAGTCAGATCAGATCGCTGCCTACCTCGACATCAGTATCGAACAGCACCTCCTCTTCTCTTACGTCAACAGGATCTTCCAGACTTGCAACAGGCGCAAAAGCTGGTATCGGCATTGGCGTTGCGCTGGCCCTCGTTCTCTTAATTGGTCTTAGTCTTTTGGTTATGCGGAATCGCAGACTTTCTCGAGAGCAGGCTACCAAAGCGATACATGGGAATGTTGCCGAAGGACCTTTACCACCAGAGCTTCCAAACAAGATGGACCGGCCTGAACTTGAAGGTGAAAGGGGAGTCGAGCTTGGTGTGGAAGAAATGGGGCATCAACTCAAAAACGAACGTATTGCAGAACTAGAAGCAGAACTTTCTCGTCTGAGGGACACAAATATCGCAGAGCTACCATAAGGAAGCCGATGCGTATGAGGGTATTAATTGTTGCAGGATATGACCTTCCGCAGGCTTATCATTGATCGGTGACCGTGGCAGATTATCAGCTTGCGAAGTTAGTTTTAAGCCGTTGTGCTGCGTAGCCTGATTCAAGCGCCTCTGTCACAATGGCCTTTACACCGCATAGCTCCCAGTTGGCATCCACGGCCATGTCTCCCTCTCCTCAGGTCGCCGACCCAGTCCAACAACACCAGCATAGCCATGATCCCCGGCCTACTTCTGGGCCATGCCCCGACTTCCCCGGAATCTCTCCTCGAAAGAACAATTCGCACTACGTCGTCATGTGTTGGACTAGGCTGAGTTGCGGGCGCGATCAACACCGTCTTTACAAGCCAAATACTCACGCCTAGCGCCTTAGCGCCTCCGGCGGACCGCCGACGCCCTCACGTTCCTTACAACTTTTGCAACACCATCAATTCACTGTCTCTAGTCATATATGACTATATTCTCGGCCTTCACAAGGAGGGTTTCTCTCCGTCTAGAACGTCGCCCGATAGAACGCCGCCCGATGGCGGCGGATGACTCCAAGCGGCGCGTTGTGCGACGGCGAGAAAGCCCTCCCTCGCAACGCTCCTTTTGCCTATATAATAGATAGGGATCTCTCTCCGAGAGAGGGAGGTCAGACTCGTCAATACATCAAATTTAGCCCCTAGACATCGCCCAGAACTGAGTGTTGCATAACATCATGCCTCGCAGGCTCCACGGATCAGCCGGACCCCGGAAGTCCCCGACGACAAGCAGGACGACGTGCGACGCTGGAACGACGAAATCATGCTCATGCCGGAAACGCACCTAAATCTGTGGGAAGAGTGAAGGCCCTAGTTCCACGTCTTTGATTTTGACTATTGCAGTACAGCTGGTGCGAGGACAACAACAAAGGTGAAGACTACGTGTTAAAGCAGGGTTGGCGCAAGAAGAGATGAAGAGCTTTATCCGCCATGGGAGGGACGTAGCGACCCGAGTCAAGAGGCACTGGGTTGTGATTGCACATTGCCAGGACCACAGATCGGTGGGCATTTGCACTGCCAACGCGGTCTCGCGTCCAACTGTGCACGAACGTCCTTCCCAGTAGTCAAAGAGTGCCACATGTCATGAAAGTGAAAGTAACCATCAACTGAAAGCACCAGACGCCGATAGAGAGTGCAATAAGCTACACCGAATTGGTCCTCTAACCAGCACACTTTCCGCAGCAAGGTTTCTACCTGGTCAAAGTGCAAGATTCGATGAGAGCGCAGGAGGTCTCTCAGGCGACTACAATGCCATTTCTGAATCAGCTTGGCCTGTGTAGTTATCGCCCCATTGAAAAGCAGCCAACATAACACTTCCAGTGATCAATACACTGCATCACCACCATTCTGTGAGTTGGTCTGCTTCAAACACAGTCGTAGTGCTTCTACAATAGATTGACTGCAGACTCCTGATTCTGACATGACCGGGGAGATGATGTGTATAAACAGTATCTGGCTCAGAAGAATGCACCGCAGCATGGTTGTTTCTGCCGTGTTATCAAGTAGGGATCGAGGTAATAATCTTGAGGTACACTGCAAGCGGTAGGATACGGATTCATGATTTGCCAAACTTCTCTCGCGGTCTCTGTAATGTAAGCTGTCAGCGTGCAAAACTCGATGAAAGGCCTCTAGCCACGCCATCAATATTACTGGCTCTAAGCATTGTCCTTACACCGCCGGGTCATGCCACTACTCGGATATTTTCTTCCTTCATACACAAGGTCCTCCTCACGTTTGAGGTGCTGTGTGAACGGCAGCGGAAGTAAACAAAACGCTCGCTTAGGATTCATTCCGCACCATTCCGAAAGGGGCCAATCAACGGCAATAGCGCGCTGTCTCTAGAGCCACCTGTTCCGGCACGTCTCTTCTTCATCATCCTATCAACTTTGTCTATCATCCTCGCTCCCTGTGAAGGTTTAAGACTCAGTTCACTTGACTTTTCCTTACACTCGGATATCTTCGACGGACTTGCGGACATGCTTATTGATAGTTTCGGAGGAGATTCGTCCATCACACGCTGCCTATCAACGAATGCCTCTCGGATTCCGCGGCCAGTCCGCTCAGACCTGCTTTATCCGTGTCATGAAAGAAGATGTGCACGCTTCGTGATCATAACTCCCAGAGAGGAAACTCGAGCCGGCAAAGGTCGTCGCGCCCAATGCAGAGGACCATCGTCGTGTAGGCCCTATCTACGCAAACTTTCTATCTAGAACTCTTTGTCATCCCTTCTGAGACGGCTACAAGCATGTGAGGGATCATCCCGCGCTAGGGTAGGCACGGTTCTTTAGTGGCGGAAGCACTCCAGGTTATAAGAACAGTATTGTCCCTATACTTGTCCTCCAACCACTCCTTGGTAACTCACTCTCTTTGTTTCTCACTTTGCGAAGAGATACCTACCTGTGACAATGGCTCCTCACCCTTTGGATCTTCTCTCTCTAGAAGAGATCACACTCGCTCGGGACATTGTGGCCGGCCTTCACTCAGATGCCGTTCTTAGCTTTCGAGAGATTTATCTTCAGGAGCCCCCCAAAACTCAATTGGTCGAGTTCTTGACCGCCGAGCATGCAGGAGAATCAGCACCTGCGCCTCACAGAACAGCTCTGGTACAGTACGATGTTATCGCAGCAGATAAGATCCCCCACTACCACGAGTCCGTCATAGACCTGGCCGACAGGAAAAGAATCTCCCATTCGATTGTCGGGGAGAATCAGCACGCAGGATTGACATTGTATGCTCTCCCTTTCCTTCTATTCTGTTTGCTTACTCAAGCGCTTCAGAGACGAGTTCGACGTTCTAGTGGAGACGTGCAAGACGTCTCAGCTGTTCAAAGATGTATGCGCAGAGTTCACATTACCAGAAGGCTTCGAAATTGTCATTGAGCCGTGGCCATACGGCGGCATGTCAGAAGATGAGGAGAACCGCCGCTATTTCCAGGGACTTTGCTTTGCTCAAGACACAAGGTCCCAAAATCCCGATTCGAATTTCTATGCCTATCCACTCCCTTTCATCCCCGTCCTGGACTTCTACAAGCGAGAAATTGTCCGCATAGATCGTCTCGCGACAGGCGGTAAAGGTGACGCCCTCGACGCGAAGACACACTCAAAGAACATCATCGACCACTGCGCATCGGCCGAATATGTCCCCGAGCTGTTGAAGAACGGTACGAGAAAGGACTTGAAGCCACTGAATGTTCTGCAACCTGAAGGTCCGTCGTTCTCAATCGACGGACAGCTTGTGCAATGGCAGAATTGGCGCTTCAGAGTCGGCTTCAAGTAAGCGCTCATAGCACCCCCCAAAGTTGTCAAAGGCTAACCACCGGCTCGATTTGCAGCCCTCGAGAAGGCGCGACTATTCACGATGTCCACTTTGCCGGACGTAGCGTCATGCACCGACTCAGCATGAGTGAAATGACAGTGCCATATGCCGATCCGCGAGGCGCGTTCCCGCGCAAACAAGCCTTTGACTTCGGTGACGGGGGCGCTGGTAATTGCGCCAACAACCTTTCACTAGGCTGCGACTGTCTCGGCGTGATCAAGTACTTTGACGGCGCAAGCGTAGGACCCGACGGAACGCCCAAGGTCTCCCCGAACGTGGTCTGCCTGCACGAACAAGACAACGGCATCGGCTGGAAACACACCAACTGGCGCACCGGCCGTGCTGTTGTCACCCGCAACCGCGAACTCGTTGTCCAGTTCATCATCACGCTCGCCAACTACGAATACGTCTTTGCATACAAGTTTGACCTAGCCGGCGGCATCACGGTCGAGACACGCGCAACCGGTATCGTGTCGGTGGTCAACATCGACCCCGGCAAGAGCAGCGCCTGGGGCAACGTCGTCTCACCCGGCGTTCTGGCCCAGAACCACCAGCACATTTTCTGCGTGCGCATCGACCCTGCCGTGGACGGGTACACGAATACCGTGGTGTGCGAGGAGTCCCACCGCGTGCCCATGAACAAGGAAACAAACCCGAAGGGCAATTACTACGAAGTCCGCCAGACCCCGATCACGCAGAGCCAGTACCTCGACGCGGCACCCATGGATAACCGGATCATCAAGATCGTCAACAGCGGGAAGACGAACCCTGTGAGTGGCAAGCCCGTCGCGTACAAGTTCGCGCCGGCCGCGACGCAGCTGCTCCTCGCCGACCCGGACTCCACGCAATCGAAACGAGCCCTCTTCGCCCACCACCACATTTGGGTCACGAAACACCGTGACGGCGAACTTTACGCTGCCGGTCGGTATACGCTGCAGAGCACCCACGAGATCGGCGGAGTAGCAGACATGGTCAAACGCGAGGACAACGTTGAAAATGACGACGTTGTGATTTGGAATGTGTTTGGATTGACGCACAATCCTCGTGTCGAAGACTGGCCTGTCATGTAAGTTTTTCGTCCGCCTTCTCCCTTCCATCTCCTTCTCCTTTCCCTCCACCTTCACCGGACTATCCCAGATGGATACCGCTCGTTCTCCACGGTGACGCCACGAGAGTTCCTTGCTGACCCAGCGCCGTTATTTTCTTCAGGCCCGTCGAAATCTACCAGCTCGCCATCAAACCCAGTGACTTCTTCGCCGAGAATCCGGCCATCGATGTACCTTCGACCAAGAACGAGGCGTCGATTTTGACCGAAGGTGCAACTAATGGCTCGAGCTGTTGCTCGTGAACAGGAACGCAATTCTGGCGGGTGTGGGCCTTGATAAACGAGGGCATCGAGCAGACAGCTTGTCATAGGGGCGTTTACGGCGACTTTCTTTGTGTACGAATGACTATCAAGATCATCAAAACAATATAATGAAGGTCGATGCTATCATCGGCACATGCCGCTAAAAAAAAGTATATATACCTCAGGTAGCTTGCAACATGAATATTTACAAATGTTGTGCAGTATGTCTGGCAGATGTGCCTCGTGCGTCTCGACCTACGAGCCCTCACCACCACAGAGCTGTCTCAAGCAGGGTCGTCGGCTCAAGCAGTAGTACTATTACGGACGATCACCCTCTCTGAAAATCAACTTATACTGGCTCTCCCCAACAACGGCTCCGTTTCCTGATGAGCGTCCCTCTTGATCTTGAGCTTCTTTCTCTTCTCTTTCCTCTTTTTCCCACCGCCGCCACCACCACCAGCAACAGCTTCATCGTCAACAACTTCCTCTTCTTCCAACTCATCCACCCGACCGGGTAGTACAGTGTACTCGCCATTCTTGACCCGCGACACGACCCAACTGCGTTCGTATTTCGCTTCTGCGAAGAAGTCCTGGTTCTCCTCGAAGGTCCTGTTCCCGCTCTCCGGACAGTACAAGTAAGTCCACAGACCCGCGAGAGCGTTCGTCGCCGCAAACACCAGAAACAGATAATACTCCAGGTTGTTGAACATGATGGGGGTGAGCAGAGTCACGGCGAAGTTCGCCAGCCCCCAAACGATGACGCTGATGGCTGCTCCCTGCGCCCTCGCCGTGCTGGGGTATATCTCGGTCGGTATCAGCCACGGCGGCACGAGCCAGCCTATGCCAAACACCGACGTGGCCAGGTACAGAAAGACGATCCCGGGCACGCCGGTCGCCAGGAGGGGGACGGACAAGGTGCCGCGGTTATACACCAGCCCGCCCAGCAAGGTGAGCAGAGCAAACGACACGGAAAGCCACAGGGCACCGTGGACCATGAGCCTGCGTCGGCCTACACGGTCGATCAGAACCCACGCCCCGGTCATCATGATGAAATAAAACACATAGTTCCCCAGCGTGATGTACTCGGCCGTCACGACCGGGAATCCAAGCAGCTCAAAGATCTGCGGCCCGTACACCGACACGGCGCCGTACCCCGTCAAGGCCTGGTTGATCTGACCCATGACGGTGACCACGGTCGGGTGAAACTGCGAGCGCCCTGGCACGAGCATGTCGGCATACGAAATCATGCCCTCGTCCAGCTCGCGTGCGTGTGCCTTTGTGAGTTCCGCAATCCGATCGTCGACCTGTTCGGGCCCGAACACGCGAGCGATGGACCGTTTCGCGCGCTCCGTGTCGTCTTGCAGGACGCACCACCGTGGCGTTTCCGGAAGGAGGCTGGCCCCCGCGAAGAGGAGGGCAGGGTATACCTGCATGACGACGATGGGCACGCGCCACGCCCACTCGCTGAACTTGCCCAGGCTGTGCGTGATACAGACGTTCATGATAAACGCCATGTTCAGGCCGAAGATGTTGGCTTGGAATTCTTGTGCGAGCGCCGTACCCCGTGAATCGTCCTCTTGGAGTTCAGATGAATATACAGGGACGACGGCGTCGATGCCTCCTACAGATCACCGCCAATACGCGATTCTGTCAGCCAAAAATGTTCCTCTGTTCCCTCTCTAACGAGAAAAAGCACGCCGCAGGGAAACAGCTCTCTCAGTCTTTGTAAAGCCCTCTCTCTTGTTACGGATAGTACGAGCGTCCAGAAACAGCGGAGAAAAATAGGTACCAACGCAATTCCATACATACCAACACCGAACCCCATGACAATCCGTCCGAGAATCATCGTCGCCAACGCCCCGTCGGATCCAACATTCCCCATGCCAGCGACGAACATGAGCAAATTCCCCAGACTCGCCGTGGCAAGACACGCAAAAATGCCAGGCTTCCGACCTTTGTCGTCGGCGAACTTCGAAGCCAGCACAGCGCCCACCGCACAGCCGAGATAATATACCGACACAATGACACCGACGAGGGGCGAATCGGACGCGACGCCCATGGTAGACAAATAGTGGTAATTCGTATTGATAAGGGACATCATGCCTAGGTAGAGTTACAGCGAACCGAATGAAAGGCGTGTGAGTAACAAGTCACTCATTCGTACCTTGGTCGTATCCGTACAGCGCAATGGCCGTCGAACTAAACAGGACGACCTGTGTCTGCTTGTCCATGATTCTTCTCATGCTGAAGCCGGCGCCCATGGCGGCGTAGGGACAACCCAACGACACGACAGGAACTAGAGGGAGCTGTTCCGGAGAGGGAGGAAGCAACTTGTTCTCAAAGCTCTCTTCTTTCAACCTGTATCTTCTCGGGTAGCTACGTGCCTTGCAATACTCCCCACCAGTAGAGCCCGATCACAGTAAGGATTGGTAGTTCATAAACGCTCGATAAGATCAAGAAAAACAAGGGCAAACGGTGCCCAACAAAAAAGAAAGGATCCAGTCCGAGCCGAGCCGAGTCTCGTTCTTGGATGAAAAAGAAAAGCAAGGCCAAAAAAACAAGAGAAAAGGTAGGTGTAGGAAAAACGCTGTTGTTATAGTTGAAAGTACTTCGAAAGGGAGGGGCAAACCAAACACAAGGAAATCAAACCTGTTGAACCCTTCTCAACACGCATCATCGGCCTGTCCATATATGTTGTCTGGTCTGCCCTGCCGACGGCTCAGAATGGGCCTGGGACGTGGTTGTAGTCCAATGACAACAATGGACATTAAACTTTGGGAAGATCGTGATGACGTCTAGTGGTGCCCGACATAGTAGTCGAGGTTTTGCAGATCGAGTTGACATGATACGAATTGATCGAACGGGCAGAGATTGGGGTACAGACCATCCCCAATCACCGCACCATAAGGTATCTAGGTATACACGTTAGTTCTCACAATGTCCGATGTCGCTCAGTCGTTACGTAAAGACTAGGTACCCAGGCTGATACTTTGTGCAGGACGACGGAGAAGAAGAAGCAAGACTTTAGCAACTAAGTAATTCATACGGGCTTATGTAGTAAAAAGCACCCAGACCCTTGGGTCTAGTAACAACAAACCCCCATATGCTCCTTGAAACAATGGCCGTTGCACTTCTCCAAACCATATAGTCCGATAAACAGAACTGTATTGTGATGATGACTCCTCTCCCACTGCGCTCAGTGCCTTCAAGTCTCAAAAGGAGCAAGCAGTAAGAGCTAGCATCGAATCAAGGCACCCTTTAAGCCTTCTCGATGAGGGCTTCGAGTTCCTCCGCGACACGCTTGAGCTCAGCCTTGAGTTCATGGGCCTTCTCGGAGAGATACTCTTCTGGGGAAAATCCCTTGTTGGCAACGAAACCACCGTCATTGATGATCTCGGAGTAGTTGGACTTGCCACCACCGTTCCAGGCCAAAATGTTGGCAGTGTCGGCGGGGACATTATCCAAAGCACCCTCGGTTGCAATAGCAATCATGTTTGCCTTCATCTGCTTAGGAGTGATGTCTGCGACGGCATAGGCGGAGTCGCTAGCGGGTTGAAGAGACAAGAAGTACGCAAGGAGACCAGCAATATGGGGAGAGGCCATGGAGGTACCGGAGATGATGTTGGTTGCGTACTTGCTGCCAATCCAGGTGGAAAGAACGTTCAAACCAGGGGCGAAAATGTCGTTGCAGGGACCATAGTTGGAGAAGTACGCTCGCTCATCAGCTAGGGTAGACGCACCAACAGTGATGGCCTTCTCCGCGGCAGCAGGAGAGTAGTTGCAAGAGTCAGCGTTGTCATTGCCGGCAGCAACAGCAAAGTGAAGACCGGCGTCAACAGCGGCGTTGACAGCGAGGTCGAGGAGTCTCGACTTGCCACCACCCAAGCTCATATTGGCAACACTGCCCTTGAATCCCTTCTTCTTGCCCTTCTTTGCGGCACTGACGGTACTTGCGTGTGCCTCGGCGGCCCACTCGACGCCCTTGACAACATCGCTCATGGTGCCGCTGCCGTTGGACTTCAAGACCTTGACAGCATAAACATTGGCCTTCTTGGCAACACCGAACTTCTTGCCAGCGATAGTGCCGGAGCAATGGGTTCCGTGTCCATTACCATCAATATCATCATCACCGGCCGGGATTGTCTTGCCCCAGCTGGCACGGCCTTCGAAGTCAACGTGTTCGATATTGGTTCCAGTGTCGATGACGTAGGCGTCGACACCCTCGCCACCGTCGGCAGAGTAGAGGTACTTGTTAAAATCACCGAAACTCAACGCATCACGGTGAGAGATACGAGCAAGACCCCAGGGAGCGTTCTTCTCGAGAGAAGGCGATTCTTTAAGGGTATGGACCTCGGAGTCTCGTTCGACGAAGTCGACCTGCGCAGGCACGTGAGCATCAATCTTTGTGAGATAACAGGCGATAAGGAGGTAGTTGACAGTCGGGTTCGAAACATGAACACCAGCAGATGCTTATTCTGATGGGGCTCAGGTCATAGCCTGATGATAAGGGGGTCCAGATGATGGAAAGCGATGAAACACAATATTACTCACATCTGGATGTCTGCGGACCAGTTCGATGACATCTTCATCAAAGTGGCCGGCATAGCCCAAGAGACCGCCAGGGATGTTGTAGGTATGTCTCAAGCCCTCGAAGATGGTGTCATCTGAGAAGGGAACTTGACTACGCTTCCGTAGCTCTTGCTTGCTCGATTCTCGGGAGAGATGGACATCCTGGACCCAGGAATGATGGGCCGAGGCATCACGCTCAGTAACGTGCTTCTTGAAGACGACCATGTAGGAGTTGGGAATCTCCTTTGCGTTAGAGGAGGAGATGAGAGGAGCAGCATCGTTGTGGATGGTGTCAACCAGGACTGGCGAGCCCGCCGCCAGGAGAGGGAGGAGCGAGAGCACGAGGCCCTTCATGATGACAGACTGAGCAGCTGGCTTGAAGGCGGTGCAGGGACAAAAACACAAGCTGTACTCGAGATGAACGAGCACAACAATAACACGATACGATGAAAGTAGATAGAGATGAAGGATGAGAGGACAGTGGGAGATGGACGACGGAGTGATAGAAGAGAGAGAGAGGAAGGATGGATGGACCTGATAAGTGATAACAGGCAACGAGGAGGTGATTCACTGATTCAGATGATGCCACAGAGTGGGCAATGGCGTTTATCCGGAAACAGGATAAGACACACTCCACACGTGCACATGATTCGAGACAAGGTTGCCACAGCCACCGATAAAGAACATGCCGTACTCCGTATGGCCGGGGACAAAGCTCAACTGGCTCAGCTGGCTCAATAGGCCCCTAACGAGGCCCCGGACACCTAATAATGAGCTGATAGCCGCCCCCCAGCCACATTCTACAGCGCTACACCAGGCACTATTTGCACTCTGGCCTCCACTACTCCAGAAACCTTCAATGAATGACGCCGGCGGTACGGAGTAGCAAAGCCACATAGCAGCCTGCGTACTTATTGCCTATGTAGCTAAGGTCCTCACAGCTGCGGTATGACACTCCGTACTCCGTATCCGCAGCCAGGGAACTATATAATGAGCATCCGTCTGGTACTTGTAGAACTCGCAAGAGCTGGGCCCTGACTACCTGGCATGTTTCGACGACTCCAAGACACCGACACTGGCGCTTCGGGGGCTGTAAGGGCACCAGGGGGGCCTTACTAGCCATGGTCTCCGGATGTCAGCCAACGTCACTGCTAGAGTCTGAGTTCCGCACTTTTTGCAGGCATACACAATCGTACCCGTGCCTGGTGGTACATGCGCTCAGTAAAATATGAGTACAGAGTACTACAACACCTACTAGGTAGTATTAGACCACATTTGAGATATAGCAATACCGCCATTGTTTTCCTTTTCAAGTGTATATCTTATCAGCTCTAAACGCCAGAAAGTGTCTTCTTTGGGTTCAATTACTACCACTACAGGTGTCTTCACATTCACTGACAAAAGAGGAATCACGCCCTTACCTACCACGCTGTTAGACACATCTTCACCAAACACGATCAGCCTGCTTACGGATACCACCGGCCAAAAATGCTGCGATTGCTCTGATCCTCCCTCACAGAACACTGCCTCTTCTGCAATCCACATGCGGTCGAGTCAAATGCAAGCTGCGGTGTCAAGACCAGATAAGAGGGGGTTAGGACAAAATGGGCCTCACCGTGCCCGTACCTGGACGAGGCCGGGCAGTCTCTATTGCTGATATCCTTCGTCCGCAGGATAAAGACATAGCTGTCTTGGTGAAGAGTTTGGACGATTTGGACCGCTCCTCTTTTGCAAACCTGCAAGATAGTCTGGACCAGTCAGCCGCGTTACAACAACTGCGGCACTTTCTCAAGGATGACGCTGAACTTCACGGGGCCAAGAGTGGCTTCAGACGTGCTGGCGGTTTACAGGCACTGCTTCGTCTGCTTCGATCTTTGACCGATACCTATGGAGCGCAAGAAACCCCTTCGTCCAACATCAAAGTCTTTCTCCAGACACTGTCACAGTGGTTCGCCGTGCTTGGAGCTGCATTAGAAGGACATGAAGGCAGCCAAAGGTATTTTAGAACAAAGGTGGAATCCAACGGGTGGGAATCTTTGCAATGCACGCTGCAGCAGTGTTTGGCCCTTGTGTCGTGCCAAAGCAGAGAAGAGTTGTACACTGAGCAGTTCTTTGGTATTCTCTTCGCGACAGCCGCAGGAGTGGAAGTCGTCGACGATATCTACACGGCGGTCGAGCGATTCGTCAAGAAGCAAGATGTGGAACCTATCTCCGAGGGCACTGTCGGCATTGTACAGACTGCGGTGGCTAAGTCAATGTCGAGTGTGGATGAACTCGCTTTGCCCGAGCTCCTTACCACAATACTTGTTCTATGGAGTACGGGAATCAAGGCAGGACGCATATCACCGCGGTCCATGCGATTGACTCTACCAATGGGCCTCAGAGACATCCTTTCGAAATCCAGACATAACCTAGTCACCGCCCATACCGCCGGAACGTTGACAGCGATACTACAACTAGTGTTTGAAGAGCAGCTATCACCGGTTGAAAGGTCCTTGTTCAAAGAAGCTGCCTTAGTCCTCTGCCAAGAAGGAGTCTCGAGTCTGGACGACGCCCATTACCTGTTCAATCAGGCAGCATCATCATCTGATGGAGGGGCTTTTCTGCTGGATGCCGTGAACGCATCGAGGCAACCTCCTAGTGTCCAGTTCGACCTTTCTCAACAGGGTTATGCGTCTACCGAACTTGCAACCCTTGGTAGGCCGTTTCCTCCTCTTGAAACCCCCGGTTATACCTTGAGCCTATGGGCTCGTTTTGATCTGTTCGACACTCAAGCACATACCACCCTCTTCGGTGCCTTCGATAAGAGTCAAACTTGTTTCGTTCTGGCGTATCTGGAGAAAGACACACATCATCTCATTCTCCAAACGGCAATTCAGGGAAACAGACCGAGCGTTAGGTTCAAATCGGTAGCCTTTCAGCCAGATACGTGGTATCATATCTGCATAGTCCATAAACGACCGCGAACCACATCATCGTCGAGAGCGTTCCTTTTTGTCGATGGAGAGTTCGTGGAACAGCAAAAGGCAAACTATCCCTCAGCTCCTCCTGGTGAGCGTGGACAACCCTACCCTAAGGTTCAGGCATTCTTCGGTACGCCTCAGGATCTTTCTCCTCGCGCCGTGGGAACCGCTTGCCTCTCTAAATGGTCATTGGGCTCTGCGATATTATTCTCAGACACTATGAGCGACGATCTGATTGCAGTTTTCTACCATCTGGGCCCGAAGTATCATGGCAATTTCCAAGACTGCCTTGGATCATTTCAGACCTACCAAGCCTCAGCCGCCTTGAACCTCAGAAACGAGATGCTGCATCCTGGGAAGGAAGACCAGTCGGAGCTCATTTTAGCGATTAGGAAAAAGGCCAGTCACCTTATCCGCGAAGACAAAATCCTCATCAACATATCTGCCGCCACCATTGTGGATGACGACGATCGAAATAACATTGACGAGAGTCAGCTTGTAAAGTCCCTGTCAAAATTGGCGGCTAAAAACCTGGTCGCCTATACACGGTCCGGCACTAATGCTGTTGCGATCAACGGTGCGGTGCCTGCCATTAATGATGCTCTTACACAAGCTCGTGGCGTCTTTCTGCTCATGGGCGACCCAACCGTGACTGTGCCACATTCCCTGGATGATGCTAGCTGGCGCTTAGGTGGCTGCGGTGCTGTTGGTCTTTGTCTTCTGCACCGGGCTCGAACCACGGAAGAAGTTGCCCTTGCCGTCGATATCCTGCTGGAGACCGTGCGCTACAGCTGGAGGAACAGCGAGGTGATGGAACGCGATGGAGGATATTCTATCCTAGCAATGATTCTGAAGGAGAAACTCGTACTTCCCACACAACAAAACAGTGACTCAGCAAAGACGACGATTGCCATTCCCACTCCTCGGCTCGATAGAAACACGCTGAGTCTCCAGGTTTTGAAGTCCATACTGTCATTCACTGGGTATGACCACGAAAACTTGTCAAAATCGGTCATCAATAACCCCTTGGCGTACAAAATTCTGATAGCGGACAGCAGCATCTGGCGCTGCGGCCCTTTCCCTGTACAGCAACTATATTTCGGACAGTTTCTCGTTTTTGCTGAGCAGAGTGAGTTCAAGCGATTCAACTTGAAGAGGCTATCCAGAATGCGAGTCCTGAAACGACTTATGGAAGCTTTGAAGTCAGAACCTGTGTCAAGGGCTATCATCCCCATGTATATGGCTGCTTTTAAGGTGCTCCTGCCTCAGTCCCTGTCTGCGGAAACTTTGCGATCGCTTGCCCTATTTGTTACTTTCTCCGTTAACAAACGTAACGCTGGTCTGCAGTTCCGCAAGCCAACACGTCGAGAAGCTCGCCAACGAAGCTCCTCCGCAGGGTCTTCGAAGAGTGGCAAAGATGAGGCCACGTCCAACTTAACCCATTTCGAGATAGGCGTTGAGGTTCTCCGGTTGTACTCGGACATGTTATGCCGCAAGGATGACGACACTATGATCAAGAAGTTTGCGAAGACAGTCACGAACAAGTGGCTCCTCTATCTACTCTCAGAGACTTCCCCGGAAGTGGTCGTGCTTTCAATGAGAATACTGGCGCGGTTGCTCGTTGTGCATGGGGACAGCTACGTCAAGAAGTTCAAGGACAATTCCAAAACATCAGGCTTCACCGTGTTGGCATATCGACTCAAGCGGTGGTGGCATCTTCCAGCTTTGTGGCCTGCATGTTTTGCTATTTTATTCAACCTCGACGTCTGCAACCTTGACCTGGACAGAAATTTTGATCTATTCGGCTTCATCGATCTCTTCGCGGGTAAGAAGGAGTTTTCCGTCACGTACCCTGAAATTCTCGAAGTTATCATGGCTATGCTACAGAGCGGCCTCAAAACGATAGTCGCGTCCAAGCGCCACCAAGTTGCTACCACTCTAGCGCCTCCTCTGGAAGACCTGGATCAGCCCCCTCAAAGGCTGTCGATGTCAACAATGGCACCACCAAATCCACTCCTTACTATCGTGACTAGCCAACATGTCGAGACCCTCGATACTGTAGTCAGATTCCTTGCAGATCTCCACACAAGGTCACGAAAATTCCGAGATTTTACAGCGACCAACAGCTCGTCGTATATCCAACAATTGCTCGCCGTGCTTTTCCCGGTAGTGGTGGGTTCTGATAATGTCGAAGCACGAACTGAATTGGATGCTCGAGATTCCATGTTGACGTTTGACGGTGCTGATGTTGTTGTGCATCCTTTATCGACCACGTCGCCCATAATACGTACGTCGGAGGTGGAACCATCACCTGTAGGGTCTCGGGGCTCGACACTTCGACGAGGGTCCTCGTTTGTTCTAGTCACACGAGACCAGACTCACCAAAACGGCAACGGCAATAAGAGCGCCTCTGCCGACGGCTCTGACTCCGCAACCCGAAAAATGCCAGAGCTCAACGAGGGCCATTCGATCGTACAAACTTTACTAGAAATAGTTGTGGCTATTTTTCTGGACCAGATTTTGACGAGAAAGGACTTTCCCGGGCTCGGGCTGTTTCTCAAAACGCCGCCTGGCTTTGTCGAGCACCAAACCTACTTTGAAACATGGATTTTGAGAAATACAGTGTCACAACTTTCGACCCAAGTCGCTTTGGACCAGAAAGTTCTGACTGAACCCAGAGTTTTGACAAACCTTGCGCGTCTATTCAGCCACCTCGAAGAAGCCCTTTTTGAAGGCTGGTTCATTGGAGGAGCTGATCCTGTCCTTGATCTCGCAGGCTCCATTCTCGAGTTCCTTCAACGTCCTGACGTAGCAAAGATGAAGAGTGTCCGGCTGTGCGCACAAACAATCGCGATTATTCGTGCTGTTGTTTTCCGGATAGTCCTGCTCAGCTTATCATCAATCCGAGACAACCAATCATTGCCTTTTCTGGGGAAGCTGACTTATTGGCAAACAGTCTTGCTCTCTGCCGAAGAAGCACAGTCGAGCAATTTACAACTCATTTGCTATTTGCTCTACGCACAGCTAGTTTCGTCCACGGATGCTGTTCGGCAAACGGCCGCCAATCTTTGGAGAATTATTCTTGTTCAAAAACCGCATGAAGCTACCGCCATCTTTGGGCAGACGGATACAAACGAGCAGAAGAGCCTTACCTCTGGGTTTGCAAAGGTGGTGGAGCTCGACAATGAAGCTTTCCTGCATTGGGTGGATGAGCACAGGAATGAATTAGACACGTTGTTCTTCGACACGCTCTCCAAACAGTGGAATAGTTTTGTCGCCAACGAGAATAAGCGTACCGAGGAGAATGGTCGCTTGAGAATTTCCCGCAGACGCGAGAAAGTGAGGCAGTGGTCACAAGAGGAAGCTGATCGCGAGGACCTGATCCGCCGGCATGAATTAGCGTTCGAGAACTGGACAGCCAATATATATTCGTCGGAATATCTCAAGCATCAGCGGCTCGTGCAAGACCAACAAGACGACCTTCTTTACACAGAAACCAATTTCAACCGAATGCAGAGGGACACCAGCAGACCAGGAGGATTATTCTACGCCAAAAAGGAACAGAAATGGCGCCTAGACCAGACGGAAGGTCGGAATAGAATGCGCATGCGACTCCACGAAGACTTCAGCAAAGCAGAAACTGACCAACCGAAGCGAAAAGGATCAGAGGTGCCACCATTAAGGCTTGACACTCGCAATACGAAGATGTCCACTCTTGAGGCAATCGGAGCAACACCTGGTGGGGCGACACCCATGGTTGCAACACCCCAACGCATCAACACCGGTACAGAGCCTTTCCCTCAGATCGAGGAGGAATCCTCTGGTCAACAGCAGCAAGATGACTCCGTCAATAATGACGAGAGTGAGCAACAGAGCGAAGCAGTAGACGGCGACGACAGTTTCGAGATGGTTGAGGATCCCAACGTAGAGCTGGAGGACTTCGAAGATAAGAATCGCAAAGTCATGCGGAGTCTCCACCGAGGTGATCAGGTTAAGCATGTCGCCAACATTTCTCGCATACTTGGACTTGAAGCTGTTGAAGGTCTGCTCATCCTTGGCAAGGACTACATTTATCTCCTCGACAACTTTTTCCAGCGAGCAGACGGAGAGATTGTGAACGTCTGGCAAGCCCCTGAGGAGGAGCGGGACCCTTATGTCAGGATGATATCTGGGAGAGACGTTTCTGACAAAAAGCATGTCTCCAGGAATGAATACCATGGGGCTCGCAGTTGGAAATGGTCAGAGATCATCAGCGTTTCGAAGCGTCGTTTCCTATTTCGAGATGTGGCGATCGAGATCTTCTTCAGTGACGGCCGAAGCTATCTGCTGACCGTCATCTCCCCTTCTGTTCGGAATGAATTGCATAGCCTCGTTAGCGCCAAATCTCCCTCCCCAAGTGCGCTAAGCGCTGCACATCCCGAGACGGCCTGGCGTTACGAAACCTTGAGGAGTGTCGATGACGAGCCACAAACTCTTGGTTCAAAGTTCGCAAACGTATTTGGACAGCAGGCGACCTACCTCGCTGCAACTCGAAAGTGGCAGAAAGGAGAAATGTCAAATTTCCATTATCTCATGCTCGTCAATACGATGGCGGGACGAACATACAATGATTTGACGCAATATCCTGTGTTTCCGTGGATTATTGCAGACTACACGAGCGAGGAATTGGACTTGTCGGACCCACGAAGTTTTCGCGATCTTTCCAAACCCATGGGATGCCAGACTCCGGAACGAGAGAGACAATTTCGCGACCGTTACGAAGCCCTGGCAGAGATGGGAGACGCCAGTACTCCCGCTTTCCACTATGGGACTCATTATTCATCTGCCATGATTGTGACTTCCTACTTGATCCGACTGCAACCTTTCGTCAAATCATACCTACTCTTACAAGGTGGGACGTTCGACCATCCTGATCGCATGTTCTTCTCTGTCGAAGGGGCGTGGAAATCGGCGTCACGCTTGATCCCGACAGACGTGCGTGAACTAACACCTGAGTTCTACTATTTGCCTGAATTCTTGGTGAACGTCAACAACTTTGACTTCGGGACCAGACAAAACTCGAGCGAGTCGATTGGCAATGTCGAGCTACCACCCTGGGCAAAAGGCGATGCTAGGATATTTATAGCCAAGCAACGAGAGGCTCTCGAAAGCCCTTTTGTCAGCAAGAATTTGCACAAGTGGATTGATCTCGTTTTCGGCTGCAAGCAGAAAGGAGAAGCGGCGGTTGAAGCCGTCAACGTCTTTCATTACCTCTCGTACCAGGGTGCTCGCGATCTCGATTCCATTACCGACGCCCGAGATCGACTGGCGACCATAGGAGTCATTCACAATTTTGGCCAGACGCCCTATCAAATCTTTACCAAACCCCACCCGGCCAGAGAGCAGACCCGGCATAGATACAAACGTTTGGACACGGCTGCAGAGTCTTTGACCAGGGTCCCTTCGACTCTTTTGGAGACGGAAGAAAGGATTGCATCTCTCAGCTGGTCATGGAAGTCCGAGCGATTGTTGTGCTCTGGTGCCTTCAGGCTGAACATACCTCCAGACTACGAGATGTACATGGAGTGGGGGTTCTCTGACAACAGCGTCCGTTTCTATTCCACGGAGAGTCGCAAGCAAGTTGGCCTTTTCGAGCATTTACATATTGGACAATTGTCGTGTGCTCTATTCACCGATTCAAGAACTTTGGTCACGGCAGGCACTGATTGTACAGTTGCGGTCTGGACAGTGATTGACACAGGCAAGTCAGTTGAATTGCACCCTCGAGCGACTCTGTTCGGACACCGAAAGGCCGTGACCGTGCTGGCAGTGTCGAGGGCATTCAATGCACTATTATCGGCATCGTCAGATGGACAGGTCATGTTGTGGGATCTCAACCGATGTGAGTTCAATCGCATGCTCGACGATCGACTTCCGGTGACATGTGCCACAATCAATGACGTTACTGGGAACATCGTGCTCTGCCATGGCCACGAGATCAGTATGTACACGCTCAATGGTGACCGATTACTACGCCAGGACTCCGGGGATCGATTGCAAGAGAGCATCGTCTCATGTGCATGCTACGAGGGTGCTGGCAACGAATGGCTTGAACGAGACCTTGTTTTCACAGGCCATAAGAGAGGTCAAGTCCGGATCTGGAGCAAAGTTGTGCGTGGAGGGCGATTCGAGTTGGAACTCATCCGTCAGTTGAATCATGCGGATAACAGCAGGGATGACGGGGCCAACGTCAGCGCTGGCATCAGTTGCATTCTGCCAATGGCACAACTGGTGTACACTGGCGATGAAGACGGCAGAGTGGTGAGTTTTTCTGTATGACTTTTTGGTGGGTTTCAGCTAATCGTCCATGCAGTATGAGTGGAACTGCGTCCAGAGGCATTGAAGCGCAACACGCCGGAATGGAGAAGCGGCGCGAGGCATGATTACTCGTTTGATTTCACAAGCATAGCGAGGCGACGAGGCGCATCAGCACCATGACTGGTGGGTTTGAATATGAAATGAGCGGCCATGGGCATTGGATTTGTGTTTGGAACAAGTCCTGCGATAGAGACGACGAATTGTAAAAGTTATACTTTGATACAGATGGTGGTGAAATGAGTTAGACAATACAGTGAAGAATCAGCCGCGTTGAGACTGAGACGATGACACGTGAAATAAAGTGCGTATGGCACACTGCCTCTACTAATATGGCACGTCCTAGGACGTTCAGCCATGATTGACTCATCGACCAATCTGCGTGGCAGAGCCAGAGCCAGAGCCAGAATCGACAATCGGCAATCCCAGGCCAGCTGAAGATGCGTCGGCAAAGTACTTTTTTCCACTGTGACGACTCGGGACTGGCGGTGTCGGTGTCGGCGTCGTCGTTTTATGTCAAAGCCTCTCACGTGCAGAACGGACAGCCAGGCGCGTGTGCGTTGGGCGGCTCCGCCTCGCTCGCAACAGGGATGTATTCGTAGTTGCTTTTCTGCTTGGTCAGGCAGCAATAAGGACGGTGGGACTGGGCCAATCGATGTGATACACGACGCGTGTGTGTGCGACAGTCCTGTATCTTGAGTTCCGTTAGCAGCAAATGGCCAAGTGGATGGGCTTTGCGATGGTCGATGATGGTCGAATACTGTATCAGCCTTGGTGTGTAGTTACTAGTCCGTACTTTTCAAATTCATAGCTGGACCGGCAAGGTAGACCTCTCTGCCTCATCAATCGTGGTCCTCGTCCCTGGACCTCGGAACGTGAAGGCTGAAGCGACGCATTTGATGAGATGCTCTCGACTGAGACAGCCGCTATGCCCCTTTCGTCGTTAGTGGCTGGCATTGCCGGAGCAACCGCGTGTTGATGTTTGTTGTTCGATCCATCCCCCGTCACATCCCCGGCCACCGACTGGCACTGGGCTTTGTGATTCGCACCTAGCGATGCACTATGCGCAGGTCGGTTGTTTTCTTTGCGGTGTTTTGCTGGGCACGGCATGCATGTTTGCTCCTTAAATTGCATTGGCCTCTTCTTGAACCCTGCCCGTCTTCCTTCTTTCTTTTCCTCTTCTACTTTTCCACACCCCCCAGACAAAGTACAGACCACCTGTTGTCCTGTTTCCAGCGTGCATTGACTCGTTCTTCTTTCTCCTTTCTCTCTTGAAACCCCTCAACTCAAGTCTCTTACTCTCGACTGCCGAAAGGTAACCCGAGAGTTCGAGACGCCTCAAGTCTGGTCAATCTGGACTTTGACGCCCGAGTCCCAATCCCCGTCAGTGTCTTCCCGTCTACGTACCGGAGTGACGCCGAAGCTTCTACCGAGGAGACCACCACCACCTTCACCAAGGTAGAAGCAGACTCCCGCCAACAACCCTCGCGCGTCGGACGGGAAGATACTCGATTCTCCAGGGAGGAGGTTGACATCACCACCAGAGAGTCCAACCGTCCGCGCCGCGAGCAGACGACGCGAAGGGAAGAAGACGTCCGTATCTACGAGGAACGCGATCGACGATATCCTGAAGTCGAACTTCGTCGAGAAAAGTATGTGCTCCAACGAGGCCCCCTTAGCACGCATACCCCAACCGTGCACCGTCATCCACACCACGGATCGTGTATGCGTTGACGCCCATCACGCATTGACCGCCGTCGATCAGCCGGTTTTTTTGGTTTGCAGAATGAGATGACTGACAGGTCTGTGCTTTTTGTTCTCAATAGGTATCGAGGCCCCGCTGAATTCACCCGCAACGTCGACGTTGACATAGACATCGACCGCCGCGAAACCCGAGACCACATCGACGTCGGAAGACCACAACAGTCCTACGACACCCGTGCTTACGAGACCCAACTCGACATCACCGAGCGAGACTACCGCCGCCGCATCGACCCCACGTACGACGTCGAATACGAGCGTCGTCGCCCCGTGCAAGCAGACGTAACCGTCCAGAAAGAACAAATCACCACCACCACAACCGACACCGACAGACCTCGCAAGATGGGCTACTACGACGACGAAGGCCAATACCACAGCTTCCGCCGCGGCGTGGAGCGCGCAGCAGACCGAATCTTGCACCCGTTTTCAGGTGGACACCACCATGAGCGCGACGAGGTGGTCATCACTGAGCGTGACAGCGGCCCTGCCGGCGGCTCGTCAGGACCCGTGCGCGTCCGTGACGGCGCCATCGAGCAGGTCCGCTACGTCGAGCCCCGGTTCGGCGGCAAGGGGGTGCCGATCCAGTGCCACTTCATCCGCATCGGCGACATTCTGTTGCTCCAGGGCCGGCCGTCGCAGGTCATCCGCATCAGCATGAGCAGCCAGACGGGCCAGTACCGCTACCTCGGTGTGGACCTGTTCACCCGCCAGCTGCACGAGGAGAGCTCGTTCATCAGCAACCCGGCACCCAGCGTGGTCGTGCAGACCATGCTCGGTCCCGTGTTCAAGCAGTACCGTGTCTTGGATATCAGACAGGACGGCCTGATCGTCGCCATGACCGAGACCGGCGATGTCAAGCAGGGTCTCTCGGTCGTCGATCAGGGTGGCTTGTTCTCCCGGATCGAGCGTGCGTTTGGCGAGGGCTGTGGAAGCGTCAGAGTGCTTGTGATTAATGACGGTGGAAGGGAGATCGTGGTTGACATGAAGATCATTCATGGAAGTAGATTGTAGATGAGAGAAGAAGGACAGAGGAAGTTGTTGTTTGTGTATGGCGAAGGAGGACAATCAAAGGGAGGGAATGAGACGGAGGTGAATTCATATTTATGTGGCGGGTTTGGGTCTCCTCGGTATGTGATTGATGTATGTGTATGTATGCATTCTCGCTACCACCTCTACTGTAAGGAGGAACAGTACATGCGAAGTATACCTGTATACGTTTATACACCTACTCGTTACGTATCTGGTCACCTTTAACCAAGGTACCTTGGGTAAGGTGTCACGTAGGTGATGACAACAAAGCTGTGTACGGTGTTGAAAAGTGGTTTCAGTGCTCCGTGAGGGGAGCGAGGGTGATCTCGTCCTCATTTTTTACTCTCCCAGAGTGCGTCCTTCATGCCAATGGGCCGGCACATATTATTGTTTCTACTCGATTTTACCTCGAGAAACCTGGAAGACTCATCAACCAGGTCCGTACGGACCTGGATGCATGCGTGCGGTTTTGTTGTTGTTGTTGCTGCTGCTGCTGCTGCAGCACTGCCTTGAGACCTACCGTCGAGGGAGTTGCTTTGTCGTGTACAGTGCTGTCTGTACCTCTGCAACGTCGCATCGTCTACAAACCAAAACCTCTTGAGTTTCGCGCTCAATGGCACACACACACACACACTCTCTCTCTCTCTCACACACACACACACACACACACAGAAGAGCCACGGCATGACGTATTTTCATTCATTTCTGACATTTCAAATCTCCACCAATAACGTGGGTATATCAAGTATTACAAAGACAGAGTTCTCCTGCGTCGTAGCTAGCTACGTACACGAGGTATATAAAAGTATGTACGTTGACAGGAAAATATGCACACTCAACAGTTGATATTCATGTGTATGAGAAAACAACAATAACAACGCCATGAGTTCAGCCGCGTTCTGAAGGCGGGTGTCTTTCTTCCATCCCATGGCTATACTCGCCTTGGGAGATGGAAAGGTACTGTACATTCCATACCTCTCACTCATTACCACTTCGGATCAGTGCGTCAGTGCGTCTCAGCATCCCTCCTCGGACTGTATCCACTCTCCGGCACGACTTCAAGTCCGGTCAGTGTGAGGCGTCCGTCAGGATCCAGGGGTTATAGACGTCGGCGCGAGATGTAGTCCTGTCGTCTACGACTTGGAGCCCCTAGACTGTGTTGGGATGCCATCCCCAGTGTGTGACCTCGGCCCAACTCATTATTCCAATTTGACCCCGGCCGGGCGTTACTTGATCATGGAAACCTGGAGCTGCTGAAGGGTGTCTCGGGAGAATCGTCTTCCACACCGTACTTCGGCACTATCTTCCTCGTTCTGCGAATGATTCTCCTCGTCACCATCATATTGATTCCCATCTTCATAGTGCCAAAAGTCCTAATAATACCACCAACGCTGTCGTCATATAGCTACTGTACCGATTCGTCGTCATAGGCAAGCCGGCATCACTCTTTAAATCCGTTGTCGTAAAGACCAACGAGCTGGAGATCTGCGACGAGTTGAAGCAGTTGCTGGCATTCACTTCCGGGACGTCCTCGGGTTCGGCGAAAGTAATGTCAACGCAACTGTACAGAGCGGCACCGTGAACGGCCGTTTCAATGACTTGGATGGTCGCATTGTCTCCGACTTTCACTGAGGCGTTCGCTGGCAGAGGCACCTGAGGGAGGCAAAACGTCCCAGGGTAAGGGTCCTTCGTAGGCCCGATGAGCTGTATGCCGTTCACCATGACATTGGACATGTTGGGTGGGATCGTGCCGAAGCCCAGGTTGATGTAGATAAAGGCGGTACCGTGGCCAGTAAACCAGCCTGGTTGGAAGGAAACTGCGCCGCCTTTGACGGGCCATTTTGTACGGTTTGTAGATGTGGGCATTCCACCGCCTAAGAAAAGACGTCAGTATGCTGCGCAAACTCAGTTATCCAGCTCCGGCACTCAACGCACAAGGATATGACCATTGCATGCCATACGGCCAGATATAGTTGCCGTCTACATTGGCAGTTTCCAGCCCGTTGGACTCTTGCACCGTTCCATTCGAATGTAAATTGTCTCCCCTCCAGCCCGGGTAGTTTATAACGATATGTCCGGAGGTAAGTGTCAGGAGGGATAGGAGGGCGAGTATCGATCTCGAAAGCATTTTGACTGGGGAATGCAGAAAGGTGTGTGCCTCGAGTTTCTTCTGGTTGTTCGTGAAGTCGGGATCGGATCAGAAAGAAGATGGCACAGTCAAGTGGTCTTCGGACGTGCAAAACAGCTCTCAGAGCCGTAGGATGGGAGGTCGTTGAGAGTACGTGTACTTGTAGGAGACAATACCTAGGTCAGCAATGGACGGCCTTGCGATGGGCCTGGTCGACGGAATGAAGGGCAGCACGAGGGGACAATCGATCAACTTGGGCCATTGCGGAGGGTTATACCCGGCAGCGATAGAACGAATAGGTCTCTCGACAGGCGCCCAGGAATGAGACGCAGACGCCGTGACTGGACATTGCTCTGAGTGCGCTGTGATGGGCATTTTGATTCGAGATGGGAGCAGCGGCTGCGGTGTTGGTCAAGATGGTGGTGGATGCCGTGATTGGGTGCAGTCGCCGTCTAAGCGCTGGCGCTGGCAGGGGTTGTGCATGACCATCATCGAGCCCAGTCAATCAGACTCCGAGGAGGGAGTACAGAGGGATGTTGTTCAACCTGTCCAGACCGCGAAGCGAATGAGCAATGGAGGTGAGATTGAGGAAGTCAAAATGATCATCTACAGTACGACACGGAGGCAGTATGAGGACGACGAACACCCACACTCTCTCCACCATCAACGTGATAATCAACCTCCGGGCGGCTGTCGATCATGGTTCGCTCTGGTGATGTTTCCACCTCCTGGATATGAATATGGACAGTTCATGATTTCATGCAGGAGACATTCTCACAGTCACCTGTGCTCGGGTGTGCAGAGGGTTGGCCCAAACAGTACCATACTATTGTGTGTATTTTCCGCAGCCGGATGATCCAAGCGCCCAGAGTCAGCAGTTCTCGATCATGATAATCAAAGGTTATCGATCTCCCTTCCCGTGGGCTCGTCAATGGTTGGTGAAAGATGGGCTAGTGTGCTTACGTACGATCCCATATACTGTACCTAGTTTTACTGTACCGACACAACTTCAATGTCACTTCTCCTTCTTCACTCCCTTTTCTCATATCAAACTCGACAATTAAACTTCCCTCTCAACCCTCAATCCTTCTCCATGGCTTTAAAAATCCTCGTACATCTCCTCAGTTCGTGTTCCTTGACACAATGCGCATGTTGCTCGTTCCTTTCCCGTCGTTTTCGTCCGTATCTGGCTCAACTAAGCCAACTGACCTGCCCGCTCTCTCGTCCCTGGGCAACAGCACAGGCGGCATGCCCGGCATTATTGCGTTGTTCCATTACAAATAACAGATTATAAATCGAACAGTGCACTGGAGTCCAGAGAGAAGCCAGAAGAACAAGGTAAGACGAAGGGAAAAGCAGGATTCAAAAAAACATATTTGTGTACTTTTCTTACCTTATAAACCCTCACCTTTCTCACTCTCAACAACAAGAACAACATCACCCTCTATTCCTTCAACGACACCAAAACTCAATCTGTTGAATTCTCCTCGTATCTACCAACCTTCCCTCCACCCCCCCAAAAATGCCATCTTACCTCATCACCGGCGCCAACCGTGGCCTGGGCTACGGCTTCGTCCAGCAGATTCTTCACCAGGACCCTTCCAACGTCGTCATCGGACTCGTGCGTGACAAAGCCAGCGCCGACGCCAAAGTGGCCGGCGCCGGCCTCAAGAATGTGCACTTTGTGCAGGGCGACATTTCCAACTATGCGTCGCTCGTCGAGGCGCGAGAGGCCGTGTCTGCCATCACCGGCGGCAAGCTCGACTACCTGATCAACAACGCCGCGTACCTCGGTCGCACCACGGAAGGCGCCGGCATCGAGGATTTCGTCGACGACGCGGGCATCGAGAAACTCAACAAGGAGCTCCGAGACGCATTCGAAGTCAACGTCGTCGGGGTCGTCGATACCATCAACGTCTTCCTCCCACTGATCAAGAAGGGAGACGTCAAGAAGATTGTGGTCATTTCTTCAGGTGTAAGTTTTTTTTGTGTGTGTTTGTGTCCGTCTGTGTGTCTTGTGTGCGTTTTGATTTTTTGATTTTGTTTTGGTTTTGACAAGCGGTCGCAACACCACCCCCCCC